ATAAATTTTAATATGCCAATAGTGTGTGTCAAGGCTGCCTCAAGTCTTAGCTCACAAAAGACCAACGCCTACGTCTTCTTGTATACAAAGGTGTTTATTGCAGTTCATGGTTTGCTTGACATCCTAGGCGCGCAGCCTCACGTCTCTTACACTAGACCGCCGAAGTCCCCTCTGAGTCAGTCCCTCCTCTGCACCAATTTAAGAGACTTGCGCTGCTCCACCTCTTTCTCTCCTTCCTTTTCCGCAGGGTCCTTCTGCCCCCTGGGGTTGCGCCCCTTCTGGATTCCTCTGACGCGGAATCAGACTGCTCTGCCCCCCTCCTGCGGGCTTTGGGACCTGGCCCCTCCTCCGGACTCCCTGCACTTCCGCGCGCCTCTACATTTGAACTAGGCGCGCGCGCCAAACCTTTAACTTTCCTTTTGACAGTTACACTACTCCCTTCACTGCTCCCCTCCCCTTCCGGGAGGGCGGCTTCCTCTGACACACTGGAAACTCCACCCCCTTCACTGCACTTTGGTGGGGAGGCTGGTCCTGACGCCCAGCTGCCACTTTGGGATCCTCCGCTGGCACCCTGCTCCTGACACTTCCCCTTCTGGGAATCCTCTGATTCGCTGGAAAGACTCATGGAATCCCTTGAGTCATTGTCATCCTCTTCCTCGCTGGCTTGGAATTCCTCCCCCTCGCTCTCCATCTCCTGCCTACCCTGTGCCTCTCTCTCTGAACCCCTGACAGTGTGTATTACTAGCTTTATTCTACGTGCGACTTTTGAGGGCCAAACTTGATTTTTGTTTTATTGTTTAAATACCTTCATCCTTAAAAAAGAAAGAAAGAAACAGAAATCCTAAGGCAGCTTTCAGCCAAATGCATTCCTTATCTTATTACAGAAATGTAATAAGACTCAAAACACTTAGCATTTCCTCATGACATACCATGCACAAAATGGTAAAAATATAAATATATGCAACTGCATGTGGGACAGCAGCGAGGATGATCAGTTTGGATGTGGGAAACCCAGGTTCCGTTCAGACCACATAGAACCTAAGCTAAGCTACTTTACAAGACAGAGAGTGGCTGAGAAACTAAGAGGCAGTTCAGAGCTCTTGGAGGGCGGGCAGAATTACTAGTTAAGAAAAATAAAGCTCCCAGAACGAGGACTAGCTTGGCATGCTTACATTCTGCAAGCTGCCTCTGGGTGCTCTTTGCCTTTGTGCTTCTCATTTGGGTAATAAGCAGTCTTTATACAAATGCTTGTCCCCTTCCAGGCCAAGACATCAACACCTCAGCTGTACCTTACCTGTGACAGAGGAAAAGAGTGGTTGGCACACGAGTGAAGCTTCTGCTGGTCCCCTTCCTTTACAGCATCCAGAATCTTGGAGGAAGCAGATGCTGAAGTCTTGTGTCATAGGCTGCTACAAGAAACCTGGCTGGGAATGAGCTGCTACCAGGGCCGTCTTAAGCATATCCAGTGCCGTCGTGCAAAGATCTCTCCGGCACCCCCCCTCTTTCCCAGAGTTGACCTTTTTTTAGGGCTGGAGGAGGCAGGCAGCGGCTGGAGGGCAGCTCCTCTGGCAGAGAAGAGGCAGAGGCGGGACACAGCACCTCCTGGCTCAGCCAGCAGCAGTAGGCAGCACACCGAGCAAGTGGCCTGCGCTGAGTGAGTGAGCGGGGGCACATGTGCCGCTCCCGCCAAGCGTTGGCTCAGTTTTTTCCCTTTTAGCCTTCTGGCGCTTGCTCAGCAAGCTCATTCGGTGTTCCCCGGACTCTCGCCTGGCATCCTCCAGAACTTGGCGCCCTGGCACCCCGCGCCGCTAGCCTCAACGGGTAAGACGGGCCTGGCTACTACACTATTAGCCTTGCCACTGTCAAAGCCCAGCTGCTGGTGATTTCCGAGGCAATGGCAAGTAAGGAATACTTTGCATAAAGACTAGGGCCTAGTAATGCTTGTGCATTGGAAGACACTTCCATTTTGGAGAGGCATGGTGCACCCTGTTAAGTTGTGCGTGAACATATCAGACAACACAGCAATTCTTCAAACAGCTCTTCTTTATTCAGAGGCCAGAACAGAACTGAACTGAAGGGCTCAGTCAGCCTGCTTATATAGAGCTCCAGTACCTTGTTACTGTAACAACTTTCTAAAACTATCCAATCACTGAACGTCACTTTTGATCCTTCATTTGCATAACTATCTACAGTATCCCCCTGCTGGCCCAGGGTGAGAACTTCAGTACATAATACACCCTACATTGCAATCTGTATTTTTGAGCTTATTCTGCACTCCTCAATCCCAAGCTGCTTCTTCAAAGGTTGCCTCAATGTCTACAACAGATGTCAGTAGCTTTAGCTGTTTTCCCACGAGTTCCCCAGATTAACCCCCTTTGTACATTTTTCCAGCTAAGATACTACCTCGGCTGTCTTCATCTCCTACTAGTGGGTAGGCTTGCCTTGCTTGTAAGGGGATTTTCAAACCTCTTTCTTGAGTTAACCAGGTTTGGGGACCAGCCCTCAACTAGGAACACCAGGTTTTTACTGTAGTTTCAGTAGCATCAGAAGTATTTAAATGTTCCACTCAGCTCCACTCAAAGAGCTTTCCACAAGTCTGAGGAGAGAAAAAAATAATATTTGACTTGGAATTTGAAGCAGCCACTTCCAAGTTTGGTAGCAATATGCCACTTCTTCCTAAGGGATAGGTTTATAGAGTCCCCAAGGGCTTCACATAAAAAATAAAAAAAATCTGCAGCAATAGTTGTTTTCGGATATCCATCATTGGGTATCCTCAGGCAATGAAAACACCAAGATGTTTTGCAGAAGAAGAAAGGTCACAGGAATCAGAAAACAAGTCCCTTTAAATAGGATTTTATGCATTCAGAGCTATTCCTGCACAAACCTAGTACCATATTTAGGACAAAGGTTGCAAGCCTACACGTATAATTTGCTCATTCATTCATACTTTGCCTTTCCCACCTGTAAAGAAGGGCTCAAAGTGGTTCACAGAAAGCACAGATTTAATGAGCAACCTATTTTTTTAAAAAAAATACAAAAGCAGGTGAGAGAAATAGAAACATACTAGGGAGCACATCCTATTGAGCACTGGGATTTTCTGAGTAAACAGGCATAGGATTCTGCTGCAACTGATAAACTTGGGCATGAACAAATTAAGCTGACACCACAGAATGGTTGATTCAAAGGGCCAAGTGTAGGATCTTCCAAGTTCATGCAGCTGCTCTCCCATTAAAGAAACAAATCTCAGCTGCTGGACTATCCAATCCTAGAAGCAAGCAAGCTCATTTTCTTATGTAACAGTTCCCTTTTCAAAACTTGTTTTATATCTACACCTAATGGATTTGTAGGAGCTCCTAACATTAAGAAACGCTAGCTGACCGCAGGACCAACCCTCTGGCTATAGCAAGGAACCCATAACAATGTCAGCTAATAAAGAGATTTTGGGAATCTTTGTAGTCATCCTATTCAGACCCGAGCAAATCAAGTCCCAGGACCTCCAAATGAAAGTTACTGTTGTTATTGGAGGTAAGTTTATCTGCTTAAATTGCAGCATCAAGGAGTAAACTAGTTATCCCTATCTGAACAACCTGTCAGTCCACAATTTAAAAGGTTTGATAATTAACAAAGTTACCACCAGGAAAGGACTTGGACCAAGCCCAAACATGCCAGTGGAAACAACTGGTGTTGTGAGATAAACCTCTGACCCAACATGATTGGTTTTCTCCAATATCTTGTAGTTAAGCTACATTAAAATCAGAGGCACAGAGGCTTTTTGCACTGGTAGTACCAGTGTTATGGAATGTCCTCCTTGCAGAAATACAGACGGCCTTATTGGTAGGGGCATTTTTCTAAATCTTGAAGACATACCTGTTTCGGTAAACATTCCCCTGAACTTGAACATTCTGATCTTTTTTTAACCCCTATACTTTTAGCAGGTTTGTTTCACTGTATATTTTAATTGTGGGTGCTTTTAATGCTTTGATGGAACTGTATCCATATGTAATTTAAATACAGTCCCATCAAAACATTAAGAACACCCACAAGAAGAGTTTAAACAACTAGATCAGAATGTTCACATTCAGGGGAATGACATCCCTAGGAGTACAGAGTTGGGAGTCAAGAAAAAATTGGAGGATCGCTGATTCCCTGTCCCTGGCATAAGGGATTACCTACTCACAAAGAACAACTGGAAGGTTAGAAGAGCCAATTGTGCAGAGCTGCAGCAAGCAGCCTTTGTCAATGGGTCCCTTCAGGGCTCACAGGGCACAATTTCACACAGCACACTTGCCCACCTCTATTGCAATGTTTGGGGATTACTGGCTTGGCTTACGATGTGATAAGGTGACAGAAGACGTGCTTAATTCCTCCTTTCTCCTGGGCTTCCATGGCAGGAAGGCTATGATATACACTGGTTCTTATTAATAACAACAAATCAAACCAGATGTGTGGGGCAGTCATATAAGTTCACAAATAGCAACACTCATCTAGCCTTATCTTACGGTGTTCTGCTGCTTTCAAGCCATTTTTCTACAGCTCAGTTCCAATACCAAAGGTGAGCTAGGTAATGAGATAATTGCATAAAGCCCTTACAGGTCTAGTTTGAGGGCACATGGTGCAGTTACCTGGCAGAAGGTAAGCAGGTCTGAGTCTGGTCAGGGCCTGGATGAGAGATTGCCTGGGGGAGAGGGAGTTCCTTGATGAGAGGCAGGATATAAATGTAATTAAATGGGATGGGGGAGAGGGAAGAAAGGCCAGTTTCACTTCTCACACATGCACTTTTGAGGAAAAAGACCCCAACTCCCACCTTACATGTGAACAGTGCAGACAAAAATGCTTAACACAAGCTATATGCAAATATTGAGCTATATTCTTGAAGTATTCTCTGCTATTGCGGACATTCTGCTTTGATGTGCTGACAGCTAGCTCTTCATGACAACAGTGCTGGATGCAATAATGCCATCTCTGATGTTTGATGGAGTAAATACTCTTTAACATTTTTAATAAAATAGTTATTTTAATGCAGTATTTAAAATAATTTTAAACATCTGTCAGTAAGACTGAATACACAACCGGGGAAATGCTGTACTTTACATAAATAGTAAAGCTATGCATTTTATTATACAATTATCTTTCTTCTTCTGTCTGCTTTATCCCACCAGTATCTTGCTGACATTTCACACACACAAATAATTCACTGTGTAGGTTTAACTAACTTAGTTCAGTTTTTCTAACCGAGAAACTAACTAGATTAGAGCCTCTCAACATTCTGCAGTAGTCCTGGTATCTTAAGTTAGACGGTTTCCCCAATTTGTAAGGTGGCATACCCAAAAGCTTTGAAAGCCTTTAAAAATAAAGACTTTAATGGTAAAGACATTCAGCTGCTATCTCTTACCCATCCCAGTATACACCCAATGTTATACATTATGTGCACAGGGTAGTGCAGAATTTGTAGAAAAGTGCAAAAGGTGTCTTCATGTGGCTCTCCACAACCAACTTCTTCTGGAGTGATTCACTGCAGGCAAACCAGCAGGCTCTCTTTAAAGGCCGCCAGAACTATAACTTCAGCTCCTTGCAGAGTTTTGTGCTATCCCACGAAATGCCACAGCAGAATTTTTCTCCCCATTCAGCGGATTTCAGAATCGAATCCAAACTTACAGTTTAAGATCAAATCCCTGATAATTATATGTCTGCTCTTTGATTCCCATAAGGTAGGAAGCAGGAGATCAAATAATTATATTCTATACTTTACATAAAGCAGTGTTCCACACTGCAAGAGCCTCCAAGATAGTTCCCTGCTTTAAAGTCGGCACAGATGCAAAACCGAACGCATCCAAAGTCATTGTTATGCTGGAAATGGAATGGAAAGGGCAATCGGCCTGTGTTAAGTGTTCCACCGGATTTGCCTTTTAGATTTCAGCAACTACATTTCCAAAAGCTGCTCGCCTGAACTCTTACAGTTCCAGCTTGCTTCATTCGTCCAGTAGTACTGGCAGCACAAGCCATGCCACTGGGAAGTCCCCCTTTCTTTGGAGGCAATAGATTGCAGATCTCACTTTGGCACTTCTTTGGCTTGCTCCCAAGTGGTTTCTCTTCCAGCTAGCTATAGTGAACTCTAAAAACTAGGACAGCTAGAGAGGTTGAATCCTGTAGGCAACACACTAGCAAGCTGCTTGCCTGCTGGTTTGTGATTAAATACATTCGTCATACCACCCTTCCCCAACTGCAGCATTACAAGGCACAATATTCATAGGATAATATTGCAGATTGAAATACTGACACAAGTGTTGCTTATACTGAATTTCGCAGACTCCTGAAGCCTTCTGTCTCCAGTGCATTCAGGCAGCATACATGTTTCTAGTAACCACCCAGTAGACTGTTCTAGGTGGTTCCCTTCGTTTAAGAAAAAAGGAAAAGGAAACAGGTGATCACTGTAAACCAAGGTTTCAAGATAGTGCAAACAGGTGTTCTTTGGCAACAAATGCTGGCAAGCCAAAACGCAAACTGCCTAGCCGTTACTTCAGAAGAGCTCGGTACAAGGCTAGAGAGTGCTTCAGCTCTTTTTCTTGTTCCATACAGAATATCAAGTCCCTGAGGCAGATGCGTGTTATTCGTGGATGAAGATTTGGTTTCGCAAGGCTGGGTGATCTGTTTAAGCCCTAGACCAGGAGAAAGGAGAGAAAAGGTGAGTAGTCATTAAAAATAAATAAAACTCACTGTACAACGTAAGTGCAACTCCAATCTTATACTGCATGAGCTTCACCCCTCATTATTTGCCCTAACTTTAGAGGTCTCCCATGCAAGTGATTGCTTGACGGGGCACAGCTGTCTTTGTAGGAAACACATGCAGTTCAGTATGCTGAGACCCGTTTCTCAAATAATTGTGTTCAGAGTCTTCAGGAAAAAATAGGATAAAGCTCTTAAATGGCCTCGTCCTGAATATCCAAAACGAGACCTCAAAAAATTCCACCCCAGCCTTAAGATCTATTGGAGAGGTCCCATTATCAATACCCAGATATTTAAGGTGTGATGGCCCATGCGCTCCATGGTAGCATATGGAACTTTCCTAGGGGTCGTGGGGTAGCCAGAGCCTCTTTCACTTTTAGGAGAACAGCAAAAAGCCTTCTTAGGCTTCATGTCAAGCTATCTCACACTGCTTTTAAAACTGACCATATAACCTTAGTATATGGTTTCATTATTGCTGGAAGCCACCCAGAGTGGCTAGGGCAACCCTGTCAGATGGGCAGCATATAAAATATTATTATTAACATTAGCTGCTTTAAGTGGGACAGAAATATTTTTTTATTTAATCCAAACCAGCTTAAGAATACAGAACAAAAGAATTTTATACCTGTTTAGAAAGTAGGGAAACAATCCAAGCCAACTCATTTAAACGCTTGGCGATTGGCATGAAGTAAATCCATAAGAAGTGCTACTGCTACTACTTTGACATCAGCAAACTTAAGTTGCTGATGTCTTAAGTTGATACCCGCTTTCTTTCCCCAAAAAAGGACTTTCTCCTGCTAACATGATACAAGACAACACCAGCTGAAAACTGAAATAAGAATGCCATCGTTTTGAAGCTTTCCATTTGTTCAATGGCTTGGAACAAAATAGGCATGGGAGAAATATTGTGGCCATGTACAGGGAGAGAGAGAGAGGTCCCTCTTGCCTTGGTAAGACACAAAAGGGTCACAGTTCAAAGTAAGACAACCCCTTACGGGGAGGGGAAGCAAGGGGGGGCTAGCTTTGTAGCACAGCTGCCACTACAGGGTTGAAGAGAAGGTCACTCCAACAGGATGCAGCAGAAAGCTCAAGGCATTATTACAAATGAAACAAGCCTCAGGGGATTCCTCAGCAATCCAATAGCCATGTCCTTCAGAAGTCAAATAACTTTAGGGAGGGGAAAGTATTTACTTTCTAAACAGAGACCAGCTTAGAGGGCTTAAAACTGAGCATTCACACACAAACCTGTTCATTCTCATGTAGCCCTTTGAAAAACAAATAGTAAAGGACAAAAACCTCAAATTCCCCATGAGCAATCGCCATATCTGGATCCATCTCTCCACCCTTGAGAACAACCATAGCTTGAGCTCATGTAAGCTTTACTCAGATGTTTGAGTTCAGTGGGGCTTCCTTGTGGGATTGTGTGTACTGCAAGGATGGAGAATCTTTTCAACCTGAGGGCAAGCATTACCTGGGGTGGGGGTTGTTTTTGATTTTCTCAAACCAGTACAATGTATGTGGATTATGGGTTTTACCATATTCACAAAAGAGCACACATATTTGTGTATGCTTTTAATCATATGCAAATCTACATCCTCCTTTGCGTGGGGTGAAGGTGACAAACATAAATTAGGAGCCAAGTGCAAGCAAGCAAGCAAGCAATGTTTCTGACAAAACAATAATTGTATTTCTATACTAGAAAGGACTTCACCTGTTCAATTTCTGCCTGCCACACAGCTGTTCAAAGCACAAGAGCCCTGCTCTCCCCCCGGTGCCAACCCTAAACCATGCAAATAACACTCTTTTGATTTTCTCTGTAGATTAAGATAATGGAGAAAGACTGCCTGCCCTAGTTCTTCGCAGTTACTCAATACACTGCATAATTTCTGAAGCATATGTTACACCCTTTGCTCCGAAACCTCTTCCACTGCTTCCATGTTTGAAGGTGCTGGCTGCAATTACTTAGGGATTAAAATAAGTCACTCTGTTGTAAATCTGAGGAGAGTGTCTGAACATGTACATACATGCCATAAACCAGTCCCAGCATAATTTAACTTGACTCTCTCCCTGTCATCTCAAGTTTTTACTGACCATATAACCCTTGGTTATTATATTTGTCCTGCTTTTTGTGTTGCCTTCATTTTAGCCTCTCTTTCACAGGCCCAATAAGTAGACTACTCATAGCACTGGAGACAAGGTTGCCCAGTAATTTACATATCTTCCCCATGTATTCTCTTCTGTTCAAAGTACCGTATTTTTCGCTCTATAGGGCACACCTGACGATAGGGAGCACCTAGTTTTCAGAGGGGGAATCAAGGAAAAAAATATGATTTCCCTCCCAGACCTTCTCCCTGCTTTTGCGGGAGGTGGGGGAATTCCCCCACCTTCCACAAAAGCCCATAGGAGCCGCGCGGGCTTCTCGACCAGGAGGGAGAAGGGACTGACGTGGCCAGTCAGTCCCTTGTCCCTCCTCGGGGAAAAGCCCCCAAGAGCGATGCGCTCTTTAAAGGGTGCACGGCTCCTGCGGGCTTTTCTACGAGGTGGGGGAATTTCCCCACCTCCTAGAAAAGCCAGCAGAAGCCGTGCAGCCCCTTGAAAGAGCACACGGCTTCTGTGGGCTTTTTGACCGAGCTTGTGGGGCTGGCGGTGGGGGGAAGCGCTGCTTTCCCCCACTGCCAGCCTCAAAGACCAGACTCTCCTGGCTTCAGCGAAAGCAACGCAAAGCCTCCGGAGTGCAGGCATAGGACGCACGCACATTTCCCCTTAATTTTTGGAGGGGAAAAAGTGCGTCCTATAAAGCGAAAAATACGGTACTGAATTTGCAGCATTCACGTGTTGTCTCACAAAGCACAAATATAAGCAGTGCCTTTTTTTGTGATGGAAAAGAGTACCATCGCCTCTTTTTTTACTGGCCATGAGTGTTGGTTAAGGTTAAGTGAAGTTTTCCTCCGACATCTATTTAACCAAACAACACTTGAGTCTCTCTCAGGGAACTTTCCCAAGGCAACAGATTTGAGCTTCTCCCACACTGGGTGTGGAGTTGTTTAAACTTTGTCAGGATGAGCCCGTCATTTTTATGATTATTTTATATTGTCTTTCTTGTATATTATGTTTTATTGTACTTCTAAATGTTGTTGCATACACCCCCAATTTTTTATATGAGGGGCAGTCTAGAAATATTTTTATGAAATAGATAAATATGATAACTTAATCAAATGCACACAATAGCCCATATAGCTTTTAGCTTACATGTAGAATTTGAAAACAGATGTGCAAACTGAACTCTAAATGGAAGATTGGCATAAAATCTGGGAGACTTATCCAAGCCTTTCATTATGTGCCAAAATAAAAGAACTGTCATGCAAAATCCTATCTAGGGCTCCCCCCCCCCAAATAATATACAAAACCAGATTGGTCTCTGGTTTAAGCTGGCATGCATGTTATGTTTTTTAGATACTTTAATTGCTTTAAAATGTTTTCAGATTGTTTAAAGTATGTTTTCATTTCACTTTAAATTGTATTGTTTAACATTTTGATGTTTGTTGCTCTGGCCTCCTTTGGGCGGCAGGGCAGGATACAAATTTAATAAATAAAAGTGTACTTTTCCACATTGTGAGAATGTGAAGCCTTAGCAAGGTTTTTGTTTTTCCTGCTGCTGTATATGAAAGCTGATGAGTCGTATCACAGGCACCATCCTCCCTTGAATCCAGCCTACAATTTGCTGCATTCTTTTAATAGTTAGCATGACAAATACAAAGTTAACAGACATTAGCAATAATGTTACATGGTTGATAGACTAAGCTAATCATCACTGGTCCAAGCAATACTCAAGGGGCTAAAATACAATTATATAGTATCAATTCTCAAGAGACAATCAGAAGAATGAGCATTAAATTTAAAGGTTCTGCAATTTGTTCCAAAAGCATTTATATGTTTTCTTATGCATGTACAATACATACATGTAATGAAGTCATGCCAGGTAAGAGATCCACCCTTGTTTCTCATTTACCGTTGGCAGATAAGCTTGAGTTAGCCGAACAGTGGAATTTTTTTCACTCTCCCCATCAAGTCAATTGCAGAATATTCTCATGAGAAATCTACGCAGCAAGCTTTGGCCAAATGAAACAATACAAAAAAAGCTCAACAGCTTTTGTGTCTGGATTTTTTAACTTTTTGAAATATGGCAACCTTATGCTGTGCTGCATTTTGTTTTTTGAAAAAGTTTTAAACCTACACTGGCTTTTTAAAAATATAAAATAAAACCAGTAGAATTCTCATGTAAGACAACTTCCTTTAAGGTTTTTATTAGCCAATGCAAGATTAGGATTTCACAATGAAACCAGAATTCCGAAAACGAAACAAACTTCAGTTGCCAAAAGATTGTAAAGTGGAAGGCATGCTTCAAACCAGAGAATTCTACTTTATTTTTTTGTACAGGTCAAGTGCTCCCAGCACCACTGTGAGGTGCTCCATCAATGTGCCATATTGAAAAGCAACACTTAGAAAGAACTTCAGTTGACCTTCTATTTCTTACTGGGATGAAAAAGTCTCCAAGACAGCTCTCTGAGAGTAAAATAAGTAAATGAAAATACTATGCAGCACTTTTGATTTTTAAAAAGGAGAATGAGAACTCTTGGGACACCTCATGGCATGACAGACATGTTTTCACTTGAACAATTTAGGAATAAATGTGTATGTTTATGATCCAATTATCTTCACTCATGCTGGAACTTCACTAAACTGTCAAAGATCTGCAAGAGACTAGGTATTAATATTCTGTTGTGTAGCTTTCCTCCCCCAACTTACATTGTGACATTTCTACAAGTCCTTTCAAATGTAACCAACAGAGTGTTTTACATATTGAGACAAATTACTGGAAATGTAGTGTCAGTTTACTCATGATTATGCCCAAGATTCATGCTTACATGTCACTATCTGTGGCTGCATCAGATCCTTAATCTGTACCTGGAGGTAACAAATACTGTACAAAATGTGTCATGTTAACTTAATAGACGATTATTAAACTGAAATATTCTGGCTCTTTGCCACATCATTTTAGGCAATATATCATCAACTAAATTATAAAACTCTTGACCCTTCACATGTCATCAACGTTTGTGTTATCAATATGTTTAGCCCAGAGCTACAATACAATTAGTCATTTAAATTGCAGATATCTTTCACACAAGAAAATAATTAAGTTCATCTCTGTACAGGAATGGCATTCTATGGGCCTGTGAGCTGCACTGCTTAAACCTATAAATGGCAGCCTAGAATAGTTTAGCCAATTTACAGGCAAACATCTGACGTTGTGAGTGTGGCCCAAACTGACAACCTTCTACGAAATTCAGAGATAAAACTGAAACTCCACCATCCACTGACAGATGTGACATACAACACATTTGTTGCTTCCTAGTCTCTTCCAATGAGACCGTGTCTCAGTTACAGAGAGTCCCAAGATGCACAAAGCACTTACAATTGAGGGGGCTCAGTCAGCATGCAAGTCAAGGAAGCTGACAAGCTTCTGAACCAGGAGTAAGGAATCTGCAATCCTCCAGAAGCTGTTGGACTACAATTCCTATCAGCCCAGCCAGCATGCCATACGGTCAAGGATGATGGGGCAGCAGTAGGTTCAACAGCCCGGCTCTAGAATATACATTTGTCTGCACAATTAGCTAAAAGTCAGTCAATTTGTGCATTATTCCACAACCACGAGAGTCAGCACATAAGGGGGATTGAACTGTAACGAAGACACAAGTTTCTTTCTAGCTACCCTGTGCCTGTGTTAAGGAGTACAGAACATTAGCTCCACAATCATGGCAACAACCTGGTTGTCCCCATAGTTTTTGCCAAGGCACCAATAGTGTCAAGTATGGTGCACACAGGACGCGGGTGGCGCTGTGGGTAAAACCTCAGCGCCTAGGACTTGCCGATCGTCAGGTTGGCAGTTCAAATCCCCACGGCGGGGTGCACTCCTGTTGCTCGGTCCCAGCGCCTGCCAACCTAGCAGTTCGAAAGCACCCCCGGGTGCAAGTAGATAAATAGGGACCGCTTACTAGCGGGAAGGTAAACAGCGTTTTCATGTGCTGCTCTGGCGAGCCAGATGCAGCTTGTCACGCTGGCCACATGACCCGGAAGTGTCTTCGGACAGCGCTGGCCCCCGACCTCTTAAGCGAGATGGGCGCGCAACCCCAGAGTCGGACACGACTGGCCCGTACGGGCAGGGGTACCTTTACCTTTACCTTTACCTTATGGTGCACACAATGATACCGAAGAGATAGCTATCAACCCTATTTCACATAGATATGAACAAATAGGCACACTGCTGCAAATGATTTTTGAAGAATCATAACAAAAGGTAAATCTTGCATCAAACCTCTAATCTTCAGGAGAAGAGTGTCCAGGATTATGAGGTTAAAATGGCAGCATCAACACAGAAGAGGGTATTCATAGGAACCCTGGGATTGGAATGTCACCACCAACTAATGTTCTATATGTGGCAATGAATGGGAAGACTTCCTTGGACAGAGTTTAACTGCTTTCACAGGAAAGTGCCAAGGAGAAGTCTAGAAAAAGTGACCTGGCCCTCAGGTAATAATGGCAGCCTTCCCAGGAGATGTCCACCCAAAACACTTGGCACGTTGGGAGGGGCATGAGCAACATAAACTAGTTCACTCCCCCCCCCAAAAAAAAGATGCTTTAGCTATCCATATAACTGTATATATATATGAATTAAATGCATGCTTCTGGTGCATTACCACTAGTTTTATTTAACACTTATAGAAAGATAAATAACTGGAAACGGTCAGATGTGTGTCAAACTGCTTAAGCTCTTTGACATTTAACAGCTTTAGAAAATAAGTATCTTTGCACTCGATGGATATAGTTCTACATATTTAAATTAGACATGTTTTCTCAAAATATGCTTTTGGTGATTCCTAGTGTGTACAGGCCCCCAAGCCATATTCTTCCATTTCAAGGCCATCCTTTCATCTCTGAACAGAACACTGTTTACTCATCAGGATGTTTTGCTTTCCTTGTTATGCGTATACTGCAAGCATTCTGCTTCTATTAAAAAAAAAAGATTTCTCAGAGATTATTTGATTTAGAAACTACTTTATAGTCATAACTCTTCAGATCCATTTACAATACACCTCACCATTTCTAAACCCCAGCAAAGAACCAGGACACTTCAACACTGGTTGGAACAAACTGCTTAGTGGCTGGACCCTTTAGCACTCTAATATCCGACAAACTAAAAAGGAATTTGCACAGGAAGTCCCAGCATCTATGTAAAAGATTAAAGCTCCCAGAGATTTGTGTACTGTAAAATAATGTTACAACACATGCCACTCTTCCTCTCATGGTTAGAAATCTAAGCCTCTGCAGCATGGGCTGGCAAATATTAGTGGCAAAATTCTCCCACTCCCATATTTAGTGATATTAAAGATATGGCCCGTCTCAAATTACTTGGCAAAATTATATTCAAGAAAGCAGGCCCCATCACACTCAAATGTTCAACCTGGGTCATGTTACTTTTTCTGTAGGTGAATACCAAAATATATTCTTCATACACCTAAAACTGTTAAGTCTTAATGCAACATTGTGTTCCCACTTCACAGCTACACTTGCGGGTGAGCTGCAGTTGGTTGTCTCTCCCTGTTGAAAGTCCACTCTGGCCAACCTGGATTAATTTCTGTAGTGCAGGGAAAGGGGTCCTGCATGCCTCCGGATGTTGTTGGACTCCAGGTCCCATAGGTCCTTTCCAATGTGACCAAAGGCCAGGATGGTGGGAGTTGGAGTCCATCAACATCTACAGGTCCCCCACCTCTGCTATGTTTGGAGCATCACTTGTAGGTGCTTAGAAACCAAATGAAGTAACTGACTTGCTGCATATTTTATAGACACCCTTATAAAGATGCAAAGTGTAGGCATAGCATGCCTTAATGAGTGCTTCCCTTTATGTTGCACAAGATGTTGGATGCTATTGTTCTGATGTATAACCCTATTGCCACTGGCATTTTCATCTAGTGTTATTAAACACTTGTGCTGTAACCCTACATAAGGTAGGAACAGCATCAGTGACAGCAAGAATATGTCTAAGGGGCAGCCATTATATTATCCTCTAGAATTATAGAAAAGTAAAAGCTAAGAATAATTACTACCTTGCTCTACTGTAGCCTTCACCTACTTAATAGTAAACACCATGATTTACCTAATGAAAGCCGAATGGTTAAGGGAGGGACCTGGGAAAGTTGTAATACCAAGCTCATGATTTAAAATCTTTTAGCAGTAATTAAGGTAGATAAAAGCTCATTCTACAGGCTGCAAGAAGATAGCCACTAATTTATTAAAATTTCAAGGCACACACCCAAGCTCAAAGGCAAGATAATATCCCTGTTGGTGGACTGATTCACTTTTGTTGGCTAGTCAAAATTTTATTCCACCATTCTTGCCCTGAGAAGCAAAGTATCATACCAGAGCTCACTTGTCCCCTGAACATCCTTAAAATTCTGGGCAACATTGCTAGGGAACAACCATTGGTTTTAAACATCCCGCGTGCCTGCCCTCCATTCGCAGGCGATGGGTGCTCCAGTCCAACCTCATCGGGAGTACGCCATGTTAGCAAAGGCAAATAGGTATTTCAATTTAACTTTTAAATTTCTTTGAAATAGCTGGCTAGTTTTATAATGTGTGTGGGGGGGTGAAATGTATTCAGATGAACATTCTTGCTTTTTTAAAATATTTGTTTTATATCAAGACTTAACAGCAACCAAAATAGTTAGACAGAAGAAGAGTTCTCAACTGATGGAAACCCAGGAACTTTCCATTCACCATCATGCAGAAGTGAGTGGGATAACAAGAGTAAATGGATTTTCTTTCATTATGCGGGAACTTAGAGAGAGGGGGGGAACTACCATATTTTTCGCTCTATAAGACGCACCAGACCACAAGACGCACCTAGTTTTTGGAGGAGGAAAACGAGAAAAAAAATATTCTGAATCTCAGAAGCCAGAACAGCAAGAGGGATCGCTACGCAGTGAAAGCAGCAACCCCTCTTGCTGTTCTGGCTTCCGGGATAGCTGTGCAGCCTGCATTTGCTCCATAAGACGCACACACATTTCCCCTTACTTTTTAGGAGGGAAAAAGTGAGTCTTATAGAGCAAAACAATACAGTAATTCAGGATGAGAGTTCTGAAATGCTGTGAGACATCCAAGATAGGTGCAAAAAGACTTGAGGCTTACCTTAGACACCATCCAAATGATGCCCATGACATTTGCACAACCACAGCAAATGGAAAAGACACTAGCCAGCCTTGTCCTCATGCTACGTTTTACTACAGGAGTAGTAAAACACCATTCCTTTACAAAACACAACTCATAATCATGCAGAACTTCTCTGGATGCCAAGAGGCTGCTTCATTGCCGATAAAACTGATAAATATCAAGTCGCGTGAAATTCCAACAATATACAAAACAGAAACACAGTTCAGCTGGAAGATATTAAACCAAGAAGGGTTACTGCACGTACCTCCAGTCCAGATGAATCCAGTGGCCTCTTTTTTCTTGGCCCAATGGCTGCCAGGGCTGCATGGTTAGCCTCCATTTGCTGCATTTGTGCAAGTTCTAATTGCTGCAACTAATTTAGGAAGAAAAGAGGAAGTTATGAGTAGGTTGGTCTGCAGTACCCTGAAAGTCACGGCTCAACTTGAGTCAGTTAGTCTTAGCCTTGGCCAGTCTTCCACAGTTAGAAATTCATGAACCGAGCGTGTTCTTGTTTGCATGTTATCCCATTTGTATAGCAATAAAAAGATTCAACAAGAAGCATATTTAGGGACATCATTCTATAGGTCAGTATACATTTGTTTTTTAAAAAATCCATACTTCATTGGAACATTTACCATTTAAGAAAGTATGTAATAATCTCTTTAACATTAAGCATCCCATTCTCCATTTCCTTTATTAAAAATACAATTTATTCTGAAAGAATCTATAATACTATTTTAGCTTATGTTTCCTCCGTCTTGCAGGAAGCAATTTTGATTTATGAATATTTACCTAAACCTCATTCTGGCTGCTATTTGTAATAGGCTGAGATGGCTAGAGCAATGCAGGTTGGTACTCTGTAGCCACTGCATACATCTCTTAGCACCAGATCACAAATGCATACATGCAAGATACTTGAGAACTCTGCACTGTGACAAGATCCAAATATATGAATCACTTCTACTGAGAAGTATTGCACAGGAGGTATCAAGTTCCAACCTGTTAAATCTGCCATGGCCAGTTCACAAAAATAAGTTTACTGCATGTTGCAGACAGACATTTGTCCTATGTGAACCAGCCCCCATATACCTTTACACCCCAAATTCATCCCTCGAGGGATGAATTCAGCTACAGCAGCTTACAGCAGGGATAGCTACATGCACTCCCGATGTTGTTGCAACTGCCATCAGCTCTGGCCAACATGGCCAATTGCCAGGGAGTATGGGAGCTGGGAATCCAAAACATCTGGAGAACCACAGGATAGATATGTTACTTATTCCTAAACCAGATGAAGCAATGTCCCACCAAGTCTCAAGACTAGTACTCTATAGACTTCTCAACACTACTATATATTTGCTCAGAAGGGACAAGTCTTGAGATCAGAAGCCAGCCAGAAAGCATTTCAAACCCATTTTCCCTTCTTCGATTTTTCCATCTGCTACAAGTACAAAGATTTTTTAAAAAACCTGTGTAAAGATCAAATTGCTATGAAAACGTTGCAGAAATTGTAAAATGGTCTTTGTTGCTGCTGGCCTTTTTAATAATAATATATAGGTTTTTTAAAAGTCTGGTCTTGAAGCAGTCAGGAGTTTCTAGGTGACACAATAACCATTTTAGTTAATCTGACCTGAAGCACAAATAAAGTGGAGGCACATTTTTTTAAGCCCTTCCCAATGGTGAAATGGCATTTGCAGCATAGCTGTAATCACATGAAGCAATTTTTAAGAAGGGGAAACTGCTCTGTTCTCCTGTTCAGTTTTAAGAAAAGATTTCCTTACCATCTCACAGAAATTGGATTTTTCCACTTTCATAAAACTTGCAGACACACACACACCCCACCACCACATTTCAGTACAAGTAGGAAGGGCAAGTATTTTAGTTTAGGAAGAAGTACATTGACTTGTTGCTTTTGACGGTGTACGCTTAAACTCTCCAGATGCTAGACAGTTGATGGTCACTTGAACTATTGTTTTATTTTGCCCATGCACCAGGGCATTCTGAATACTTAATGTGCTTTAATAAACAGAAAGCATAATCTACTTCACTGTGGTACAGAGCAAGCATTATCCACCTGATAGGTACAGAAATAATATATTCCAGAGGGCAGTGAAGGCCCCAAACAGCCTTCAAGTGCCATTTTACATTCAAGGGAAGCTTGTTTGAAATCTTTTGCCCTCATAGGCTCAAAATTTAGCCAGCAGAATTCCTCTCCATGTTGCCCTTCCAACAGGAGATGCAAATGCAACTAAACTATCCAATGACTGTTGCACCTATTACCACCTGTCATGCCATTTGATATGTAAAACGAGTGACATTAGTTCAGGTCAGATGCAATGGGAAACTAATCTCTCATGGCATGAATGAGACATGGAAAGTTTCAGGCTTGTATGCACTTCCCTCTTGTCTCATCTACTTGAACTTTCAATCTCGATTTTGAACTGTGCAGTTTTACATGGTGTGCAAATCTGACTTGGTGCATTCTTATGTGGGACAGCAAAGAGCCCACAAAAAGAACAACTGCAGTTGAGAGTTTATAGAAACAAAGGCTACTATGCGGCTTTCATGGACTGATGGAAGGTTTTATTGGAAAATGTATACCTACTTTATTCTCCAAACTGAGAACTGTGTTAAGTCTGGGTGTCACGTTTTAAGGAGGCCTTTGGAAAAAACCTGTAGTGTGTCCAATAGGCAACCAGGACAAAAGGCAGGAAACCATGTCCATAATGAACTGTTCAAAGAACTGAGTATGTTTAGCTTGATGAGAGTACAATGGAGAAACAAGATAGTGGCCTTCAAATATATCAGGCACGTCCAACCTAAAGTTGGTTGCGATCTACCAACAAGTATCAAAACTGGCAGTGATCTATCACCCTCCAAAGTCATTTAAGTTAAATAAATAAATAAATAAATGGATCTTTATTTCACAGATATAGTAGCTATGTTTGGATATCATTATGACAGATCCAAATAGTTACTAGATGGACAAGTAACTAAACAAGTGAGAAAAGTCAAACTATATTTTTATATTAGTTTGCACAGATCTGAGGAGCCACTTCTCTCTCTCTCTCTCTCTCTCTCTCTCTCTCTCTCTTTGTTAACTCTTTCCCTTCTGAGTTGCTTCCTTCCTTGCTCCGTGATTCTCCTTCGCTGCTTCTCTCCCCGCCCCTATCAAAGGGAGCCTTCCCAAGCAGCTCCTCCTTGCGGCTCTGGCAGCCGCCCCCTTCCCCATCGAGAAAGCCAGGCTAAACCCACCTCCCCTCTTCCAGCAGCATCACACAGACCTCCCCCCACCTCCCTCGTGCCTCCCTCCATCTCCCCACATGCGCTGCTCAGAGAAAGGCCCTGCGATCGACCAGAAACAACTTCGCGGTCCACCGAGGTCTCGCAATTGACGTATTGTACATGGCTGAAATATATGAAGACCTGTCACACAGAAGATTGAGCAGACTTGTTCTCTGATGCTCCAGAAGAGCAGTTCTAGAAATAATAGGTGGAAATTGCAGGGAAGGTGATTTTGGCTAAGCGTTAGGAGAAACTTCCTAATAGCAACAGCTGCCCCACTAACAGTGGAACAAACTGTCTTGGGAGTTGGTGGGCTCTCCTTTGCTGGAGGTGCTTAAGGCAAAAGTGGGCAGGCATCCATCAGGGATGCTGTAGGTCCTGCTTTTAGGCAGGGGGTTGGACTAGATCTCCAAAGTCCCTTCTAGCTCAACCATTCTAAAAAAAAAAAAAAACACCACACACAAAAAAACCAAACAAATACACAAGATGAAAAATGCAATAAAACCAAACACCATTTTACAGCCTACAATATTCACGTATGGACTCTGCAATCTTCCTGCTCTCTTTTAGACCTTTGTTGTCAAAAAGTTCAACTTACTGTCTAGCACAGTGTTTCCCAAACTTGGGTCTCCAGCTGTTTTTGGACTACAGTTCCCATCATCCCTGACCAATGGTCCTGCTAGGTAGGGGTGATAGGAGTTGTAATCCAAAAACAGCTGGAGACCCAAGTTTGGGAAACACTGGCTTAGCAGCTTTTCCTGTTCCTGATTTATTTAAAAAAAAGAATGTATTCAGCCATCAGCTTCTCAAATTACTTCTTTGCTTGCTTCAGTTTATGCTCATTTATGAGAATTTCACCCCTCATTTGGATAAGACTTCTATTTTTTAAGGAACCCTTCTTCCCATTTATAGCTTCCTTGACCTTGGCATTTATGCCTGCTTGAATCCTCTTGGCACTTGTTCATCACCATTCTAGTCTGTAGTACTACTGCAGTGATGTAAAAGAAACTTCAAAGCTGCCTGAAGAGGTCTGACCCACCTGACCCACCCCTTCAACTTCCTTTTAACTAATCCCCTCATTTGAAAAGTTTCATCTTATGAAGGCAGATGCAAGTGCTGAAATTTCCAAGCAACTTTCCCCTTACATATTGTGGCCACTTTTCCCAAGTGGTCCAGCAACACTTAAACACTATATCATCGGTAGGCAAACTAAGGCCTGGGGGCTGGATCCGGCCTAATCACCTTCTAAATCCAGCCTGTGGATGGTCTGGGAATCAGCCTGTTTTTACATGAGTAGAATGTGTGATTTTATTTAAAAAGCATCTCTGGGTTATTTGTGGGGTATAGGAATTTGTTGATATTAGGTTAACACCTTGCCTCTTGTTCAGTGGCCTCCATGAGGAATGATTATGACTTAGAACAACTTGCAGCATCTTGAAATTTTGTCTGGCATTATCTTAAACCACATTTTACTTACTCAATGTGAGGATCGTTGAAACCACCACATCTTCTGCTCTGGCTACAGGTAAGAGTTGAGAGTGAAAGCAATATCTAAGCTTACCATAAAGCCAGAGGAAGGGTGATATTGGAAAGGAGAACAAATACCAGAAGGTCGAAGATGAGCTGTTTTGACCAACAGGTCAAACTTGTAATCATCAGGAATGGTTTCAACTTGAAAAGCAATCCCTTTTAGTTATTCCCATCCCAAAATCAACTTTGAAAGTTACCTATCAAGTTCTGTTTCTACCTGGGGAAATGATGGCAAGGCAGCATGACAGTACCAAAGCACTGTTATCCATGGAGTTGTGCATATGCAATATTGATAGATAGAACCCTGAAAAGAACCAGAGTGACTCCTCCGGTTGAATGTGCTTCTGGTGTGGGCATGAGTATACGTAACTGAAATGGCATATTACTTTAATTATTATTCCAATTCCCTCCCCCGGTGCTGAATTTTGCATTGTAAGCTCTTTGGGGCAGGCAGCTCACCTTTTGCACTCTAAAGCACTACTGAACACTAATGGAGTTATGTATAAGGAAGTCAAAATGTTTCCATAACTGGGCGATGCACCATTCTCAAGTCACTCCTCCCCACAAGGTTTAGGGTAGTAAAATGCACAACTAAAGGTAAATATCCATTAAGAGTATCTTATAGGGAACTGCTGTCTTGATAGCAACTTAGAGGGGCAGAGACGAAGTAGCATTAGGCAAGTAACAGTGGTAAGTTGTAAGTAATATGCATATTTTGATGTATAACGTCAATCCCTCTCAACGCGCCTAAGGAAACCTTCTGATGCAGAGGGTCCAAATTCCCTCACTTATGCTCTCCTTGGATTCTGTGGGCATTCCTTTACTTTGCTTGAAGTCTGGTGCATAGATGCCGAGACCATTTCACGGGATTGCCATTTGTACTGCCTCTCCTCCTACATTAATCCAAACAACGAGGGCCCTTTAAAGCATTCATAAATAACCTGCTGCTGCTGCTGCTATTGGCACTTAGAAGCCAACCATAGCAATGTTAAGCAACAACAAATTTGATAGTTCAAGAGGCACAGTTAAGAAAAAGATTGCTCAGAAAAAAACAAAACCACTCATTTACCACAGAGATCCTTAAAAATGGCATGGAATCAGTCAAGTAACTATAGAAACCAATTTCTTCAGCTCTGTATCACACATCTCACACCTCAATTGTCTTTATTATTGTCTGCTGTCAGATCCTTAATCAGAAATGTGAACAGGCTTGATTTATTCAGCGGGGAAAAGAATCTGTAGGTCAAGTAAAAAAAAAAAAATCTGACTCACACAGTCTTCAACCTTAGGTATTTTCATTTAATTCTGTTCCCAGTAGCTCTGGGGGCAACTCCAGTGAGATCCAATATTAAGGCTCAATTAAAATAAGCTCCAATTAGTGGAGCTTTTTTCTCTCCGGCTAGAAAAGTCAGGAAATGGATATTGGGAAATGTAAAAAGTCAGCTACTGAGAGGAGGCTGCAGCAGACATAAATGAACTTATTTGTTGATTTCTGCAGTTGCTATGCAGAGGCCTCTGGGAGTAAAAGCTTAACCAGTCTAAGCTATAAACTAAAACCCCTGCAGCTAAACATGAACTGCGTGAAACAAGGGCTCCATTCCAGAACAGAAAACTGCTGGGCCCAGAAAATTAAAAGCCAGAGGCGTTTTCCATTTAAAACTAAATCCCAGTACCGCCTCCCAGCCAAAGAATTATAAGCAGTATCAGATTTACAAAACGAACAATTACCCTGGAAAAATGTAGCCTATTGTACGGTCCCAGATGCTAAATCTCAAAGTGTCTTTTCCCCCCCTAATCCCACATTATATTCCTACCAAACACACTGCTATATACTTTAGGCCTGTCTAGAAATAGTTCTTTGTAAACTATGAAAATAAAATGTTAAGAGCTCATAATTCATTGACCTCATTTGAAGTGCTGCCCTTGCCTGTAGCAGTTCCTGTCCTTCCCCAAGGCTTCTGCAAATGGTATGCAACAGCAAAATAAACCCTGACCTAATTGCCAGGAGAGGAGGGCTGCCAACCTTCCCTCAGAATACAAAGGCAAAGCGTGGGGACTTGAAAAAGTCATACCTCTTTTGCTTTCTGCTTTAATCGCAGCTGCTCCGGATCTTCTTTATTGGTACGGCTCTATCAAAAAGGAAAGGAAAGAAAAAGAAGGGGGGGAGGGAGAGGAAGAAAAAGAAAGACGTTTAATAGAAATTACTAGCACCCAAACACAACATTATCTTTAAATATTTAATAAGTTACAATTTTCTCTTCTGATTGGAAATCTTAGCTGCAGGGAATGAATGCCTCAAGCCAGATTGGCTCTCTCTTTTTCACACACACACACACACACACACACACACACACGCACAAAACCCCTCTCTTCATCAGGGACTGCTGCCTCCATTCTAGCCCAGAGGAAGCTTGAACTAAAAATGATGCTAACATTGTCAGTCAGGTCCAGCCTAGGCGTGATGATGTTCATGTCAGCAACAGACACTTGGGAAAATGAGAAAAGCAGCAAGGAGGGAGATAAAAAGATCCAGCACCATATTTGATGGGCATGCAGAAGACCTCCTTAAGGAGCCTATTTTTTCAGTTCCTATATTGGGCCATTTTAAAATAGGTCATTTGCAAGAGTTATAATAGGTTACATTTAATAGGTCCCAGGCAGCTACCAGTGGATCATCCAGTAGGGGAAGGAAAGACTTCTAGGTCCATTAGCAAATTGGTGTAACCTTGAAGCTCCTAGCTCAGTGCATAAGCAACTTGCTGAAGGCCACACAAAGCTCAGTCAGCCCCTGCAATCTAATGTGGGATAATAGGAATGTACCCTTTAAGTTAATTCTAAGGTATGTATGGGGAACCTCAGGCCTGGGGGGGGGGCAAAGGTGGCCTCTCCAGTCCTGTATCTGGCCCTCAAAACTCTGCCCAGGAAACACCCATTTCCCCAGGCCATGCTGCTCACCAGCCCTACTTTATACCTTCTTCTTGACAGTTTTTGCCTGGCTGGAATCTGTCCTTGAACTCTGCTTGCTTCGTCGGAGGATAGGGAAAGGGGTGTGTGTGTGTGTGTGTGTGTGTGTGTGTGTGCGCGTGTGTGTGTGAACTGCCCTACTGTACAAAGGTAAAATTCCTATTTGTTGCACCATTGACCCGTGGCTGTGGTTCCAGGAAGGTTGCCAACAACCTTTGCAAAGGTTAATGCTGGGTTACCTTGCAAACCATAGCCAGAATCCACCTGTCCCAAGATACAGTCCCCTGCCCAGTAGTTTGCAGGGGGCTAGAGTTACATCTTCATCAGATCCAAGTTAGACACACTGAACGCTATATAAAGAGATAACTTCCTGCACTTCTATGCTTGGCTACTGCATTCTGCACAGACCCATGAACATGCAATATGGAGGTCTCTGGCAAGAGGTACCAGCTGCCAAAAACTGAGAAATCTGGTGGGAGATGACTGAAGTGGTTTAAGAACTGGAAGCAGAAGTGTTCTCTAGCTGCTGCTCATCCATTTTTGTCTTCAACATGAAGCAACAAAAAATAATAATAGGATAGGCTATAAACTCCCCACCGTCTAGTTCTAATTTTTGAGTGTTTGGCTTTGTCTTATTTCTGTTTTTAACAAGAGCAGCATTCAGTAAATGGTCTAGAGTCATACAGCCCAGACATAGGCTTATTATCAACAACTTTGAAATAGTGATAAATAGTAATATAACCAAAGTGTATGACGTTTTCCTATTTGCTTTTAACATCAATCTTATTTTTTTCTATGGGATATCTTTCCTACGCATTTCAAGTGTCAAGGGGGCGCACTGGCACCACACAAACACACACAAATGCAAGAAGTGTCCATAGATTACAACATGTTTGGACTCAGCAGCCCTGTTTAGGGAATTTTTAAATGTTTGAAGTTTGATCATGTTTTTAATATTCTGTTGGGAGCCACCCAGAGTGGCTGGGGAAACCCAGAAGAACAAGAAGAGTTTGGATTTGATATCCCGCCTTTCACTCCCTTTAAGGAGTCTCAAAGCGGCTAACATTCTCCTTTCCCTTCCTCCCCCACAACAAACACTCTGTGAGGTGAGTGGGGCTGAGAGACTTCAAAGAAGTGTGGCTGGCGCAAGGTCACCCAGCAGCTGCATGTGGAGGAGCGGAGACGCAAACCCGGTTCCCCAGATTACGAGACTACCGCTCTTAACCACTACACAACACTGGCATCACACATTGTGCATCACACAATGCCAGCCAGATAGGCGAGGCATAAATACCATACCATACCATAAAAAATATTATTATAGAAAATATTGGAAAGATGGAGAGTTGTACTCCGCTGTTGCGGAAAAACTTTGCCAGAGTTCTAACCTTTTCGGTAAACCTTGGGATCCACAGAGTCCATGAGAGCCCCCCTGAATCCCTTCTCTGAGGTCCAACTTCTCAAGGTACCCAATTACTGTAAAATACCTATCTTCTACATGGATGTGCTTGTATAGTTCTTTCAGCTGCAGCATACAGGCAGCAGCTAGGTCTAGGAATATTTAGCTGCCGTAAGTCTTCTGCAAATAACAATCCTCTCACCTTGGCTGCCCGGAGCAACACCTCTCTCTCTTCTTCATCCTTCCTCTGCTTCTCGATCTGGTCCAACTGCTCAAGAAACCGAAGCTGGGCCCTTGTATCACTAGTTATTGTGTACTTGTCATTCCCCTAAAAAGCAGGGGGGGGGGGAGAGAGAGAGAGAATTTATGGTTGTTTTAAAATACAACATGGACCACTGGCCCCCACCCTAGTTGTTAAAAGCAAGTCAGCTTGCATTAACATAACAGACAAGTTTAAAATAAATTCAATGCACATTTGCTTACCAAGATTGCATCTGCTTATTTTATTATTTATTAAATTTAAATTCCATTAAGAGCTACTTTCCTCCAAAGCGTTTCCAGATTTTCAGTTAGCTCATCTATACTAGCTATTAAAACCAGCCATTCCCTCCAACCCTCCCCTCCACAAAAGAAAAACAACAACAACAACCATTTTTGCCTATGTCCAGTTTCAAGCTTCCAAGCTCAGAAAACAGGCCCAGTACTGAACTAAACTGATGACTGAAGACACTTAAAGGCAGGGAAGGCATATAATTGGAAGTATGCTGTACCTCAGTGACAGGCATGCATGCTTGGGATTGTAGACAGTCCCAGGAGGAATCTCTGGAAACTCTAGTTAAGAGAGAAGCCTGGAACTGCTACCAGTTAAAGCAAACATATACTGGACTAAATGAACCAGTAGGTGGAATTGGTATGTGGTAGCTTCCTTTTGGTTATTGCCATTTCCATGACTGCATTTTATTCTTACAACCTAATAGCCAAGAACCTCCTGCATCCATGAGGAAGCATACTTTAAGGCAGATTTTAGATATAGGATGCCAATACAATTACTTTTTTAATTTTAATTTTTTTAAAACCCACTGACTGGAACAAGACTGTTAGGAGACCAAGAAGCTTAATGATTATTTCCTTTACCTTACAGGTCATCGTACGATGCTGAGCAATTACAGTTAGTTTCTCCAGAAGCCCTCTTAATCTCTCTTGTGTAGCATGGGAGATCAAGTTCAGAACATCTGAATTAACTTCCGTAATGTCATGGCTTTTACCTGTGGAGGCAGAGAAAATCCATTACGTGTTTTAGTACTAGCTGATAATTGAAATAATTAGCACAGCAGGCATTCTGTTCCCCCTGGAAGTCATACCCATTATGAATAAAGGTTTGGGAGATTGTGATTTTCCTGGTAAAGCCACAACTTCAAAGATCTTAGACATTACATTAATAAAACCTAGCCTACAGCTTCAGAAAATAGACATTGTTTCACTTAGCCCCTAGAATCACTTTCCTTGCAAGGTCATTTATAGGACAAAGTTAATAAGAATACAGAAATCAAGCCTTGTGGTTGGGAGAAGGGAAGGAGTAGTAGCTGTGGAAATTAGTGCCATATTCGGTTAATTTCAGTAATTAAAAAAAACACAAAACCACACGCACAGTTACGTTTTGCCCTGTTTTGACACAGTGCTTGTTAAATCTTGACATGTTAATGAACTGAGAAGCTTTTCGCAACATACTGGGCCTTTTTCATACTCCAGTCCAGCCAACAGCATATGGCAGCTTGACCCAGTGTCTCAAGGCAACAGCTTGGAAAACAGCTAAGTCCAACAGGGCCTTAAAGCGGCCCCCTTTCCTCTTCACCCATAACTGCAGCTTGCCTGGGTGAGCTCTGCTTCTCTCTCGTTCTACATCCCTTCACTCCCCCTAATATTTTCAGAGCAATGGCACAGAGGCAGACTGCTTTAAGGAAAGCTGCTTGAACCCTACACTAAGGCTAAGCATCTTCTCTGCAGTGCTCTGCAGTAGCGCATGTAACTAATGAAGGCTTCCTCTGGTTGACAACAGATCCTGCTTTCAGCACAGGCTTCGTAAGGTGTAGCAGCTGCCCAGGCAATTCAGTGCCATGGAAGCAAATTTACTACTAAATGCAGACCCAAAGGCATTTTCCTGAACCTGCACTCTCTCCCCTTCAGAGATTTGAGAACTTAAAACAACAAGTATACTAATGTAGAAAAGGCATACTATTTCATGCCAAGAATAAAATGTACCCTCCAAATAGGTGTGCAAGGGGTTGCTGGCTGCTATCATGAACCTCAGCAGAGACTAAGACAAGCTACTGTTTTAATATTAAAATGGTCACCTTTTACATTAAGTTGTTTATGGGCAGAAAGCATATTCCAACATTTAGTTTAGGCTGCATTTTACACTTATGCAAACCAGCTTCACTGTTGGTAGCTTGCAAACATTTGCTGAAATTAAGATGTTGAGATTTGGGAAAACAAAGAAAACTAGTATTTGTTTAGAGCAGAGATGGCAGATTTGCAACCCTTGGGCCAAATGCAGCCTCCAAAGCAATTCTGTTTGGCCCCTGGTGGCCATGATAAATTTTAAACCAAGGTGTGTGCCCACAGTTTCATCCATGAAGGACAATGAAAAATGCTACTTGTACGGTATTAAATTCACACTTCTAATGTTTAACTCTTTGGGTTTTGCATGCAGAGTCCCCGTTACTATACAGCGTCTGTGCTCTATATCTGAAACACTTCCAGCTAGATGATTTAGGCTTTGTAGGACCTAGCCACCTAACTTCAGTTTGTGGCCATATGCTTCTGCCATTCTCCTTCCTCTGGCTGAGGCCATTTTGGGACAGGGGAGAAAAGCTGGGGATCAAAGTCAAGGTGGTTTTGGAACAGACTTTCACATGACATAACCCCTTTCCAGGAGCAACCTGTGGCCAAGACACACCTGCACCTTCTACCCCCACCCCAACCATAGGTGAAAGGTGCACACACCCAAAAAGATGTTTAAGGGGAAGACAACCCTAGAACACCCCCTCCTATTTAATTGTACCAATAGTGGGATTTGCCTTAAGCACTGCTGTTGGACCTCTTTGCTGTCTGGCTGATGAGTTGGGCACTATCCTTCTCATAGCTGCTTGGTCAAATGGCCCCAGAAGCCTATGCACCAGCACAATGGCTCATGGAACATCTCTCTGATCTACTGCTTCAAAGATGTATTGCTGGCCTGCTCAGAAATAGAACAAAACCCTCAAACATCAGTAAAAAAAATCTCATCAGTAAAGGGATTTCACAAATTGGAAACCACCACCTAGAAAGCCCCGTCAGCAATAAATATCAACTGGGTGCCACCAACAAATCAGGTCTCCCCTGTTGATTATAGGTCCAAGATGGCTTGCGGCCCGAGCCACATAGGGCTGTGTATGCTGGTATTAACACACTAAACAGAGTCCAGTAGGTCATTGGCAACCTGCACAGTGCTTTCAGGACTGATGGCAGTCACATTGTGTTGCCTCACTAAACTAGCAGCTGCATTCTGCACCAGTGGCAACTTCCAGGCAGTCTTCAAGGGCAGTCCCACACAAAGCACATTGCTGTAGTCAAGATGGGAGGTCAACAGAGCATGGACAGTTGTAGCCAGGCTATCCCAGTCCATAAACAGCCACAGCTGGTGAACAAACCAAAGACGAGCATAAACACTCCTAGCCACACAGACTGCACTTGGGGATGCAGTGACAGGCTGGAATCTATAGGTACTCCCAGGCAGCAAACCTGTTCCTGCAGGGTGAATGAAGCCCTTGCAAGAACAGGTCATCCACCCAATTCCCATGTTTCTTGCTTCAAGATTTCTTGGGCAGGGGTTGAAGTCTTTGACTGCATGTGTTAACCAAACAGATGTGTGTTAACTATACATTAGCACTGAGTAGTAAAGACTGCAAAGCACTGGCCAAAATCTCTAGTTTCCCATTTATAAGATAAATATTGCTTCATAATCTCACTTTCAGTGCTGCTGCGATCCAAGCTAATTTGCTATTTAAAAATTTGGCTGCTTAAATACAAATTCTGTAACTCAGTACAGAGCAACACCAGTACATTCAGGAAATATGTGGTGTCAAAGTTAAGACTTATGTAGCCTGTTTTGAATTCTGAAGTATCCGCCCCCCGCCCCCAATTCTCTCACCCATTTCTAGGATCTTCTTCTGTAGTGCATCTGAAGAAAGGAAGAGTTCTTCTGGACAAGACCGGATAATTGCGCCGATTGCTTGAGATTTCGGACCGAATATGCATGCACTCTCTTCACTCAAGTTGACCCCAGCCATAGAAGTCACATCGTTGATGTCATCTTCATCTCTACAAGCAAAAATTTCTATTATATTTTGTATTGGGTTATAAAGGCAAACTGTTCTATTAAGTACTGTGCTTACCAACATGACTGTAGGTCCTGTCACTAACTAGGCTTCTTTATTTCTTTGATCTGCGCTAGCTAGAATTTAGCACTGCAAGTTCAAGGTTTAGGTAAACTTGGCAACTTTGGCATCGTTTTCTACAAATGACATAAGCGGGAAAGTGAAGGCTCCTGAGAAAGTCATCACTGACCATGATTAGAAGTATGAGGGTTGAGTGAGACATTAAAAACAACAACAACTGAAGAGACTTTGTGGGTAGGGAGATTAGGATCAGAGAAGCAAGTGGGAACGTCCTTGTAAAGAATTCAAAATTCTGCAGAGGAAAAACTGTTGGGAAAGTGGCAATTTGAAGCACTGAAGTTTAACCCCATTTAGAACAGGTAACTGACTGATTGCCTGGACACGAGAACCACTTGCCCACAGAACCACTCTCTCTTGTTAGGGCTTAATCTCAGTTTGTTGGGGGCCCACCATACAGCCCACAAGTACAGCCACACACAGCCGCTCTTGATTAGATACTGTGGAGAAACAGAGCTGTGTGCCACCAGCATACTGATAACACATGGCTCCATATCCCCCGATGACTGCTTCCAATGGGTTCATATAGATGTTAAATAGCACTGGGGAACAAGCGAGTTCCCTGCAGCACCTCATAACAAATGTCAAGGGCCTGATGAACATCCCCCCATACCACTCTTTGGAACTGATGCTGCAGGTAGCATGAACTGGCAGCACCTATGTCACACAGCCAGTCCAGGTCCATGGTTGATGGTATCAAAAGCCACAGAGAAATCAAGCAAAAGCACAAAGGTTGCACTCTGCTTGTTGCACTCCCTTCAGGGAGACCAAGGTTGATTTCATCCCAACATCAGGTCTGGAACCAGACTAAAATGGGTCCAGACTATCGGTTGTATCCAATAATGCCTGCAGCTGCTCTGCCACAACCAGCCAATGACTACCACAGACTAGGGAATCCAGGGCGAGCTTTTTTATAAAGAGAGCAGTGGACACAGAACCGGCTCCTTCAAGGTAGGCCTAATACTTTAAGCTTGCCAAGAGCAAGATCACATAGAAAAATAAGCACAGTCAAGTCAGAAAAGTATTCGATCTTTTCGTTTAAAAATTAAGGTTATCAGAGAAATTAAGGAGAAACAAGGACTTGAACTTGTCTGTGTAATGGTTGAAGGAACTTTACTACAACAACAAAATGAGTAACAAGGGTATATTGCAACATGAGTTCAATTGTCCAATTAACCTAATATTTAAGAGAAGTTGATAAGCAAGCTGGGGCCATTCTAGTTCATTCCAGTAGAGTATTTGATATGATACCACAAGGAAAAATACTCATTTCAGCAAGCAAAAAAAGAGTTACAAGTATTGAAAGAAAAGAAGTGGGATTTTGTTGGGATTGGTCTTGAACCCATTTGTTCATATTTTAGTGAACATGGTATTAAAAATGCACTTGAGGGTCAGCTGAGTAACATGCTCAAGATTAGGGGGTGGCATGAATTGATCTTTTCATTAGGACCTAGCAAGCAGGTATGCATGGGACCGAATCCCCAGGATCAGAGTGTCTGCCAACATCAATAATATTTCTTCCTGTGGTAGTTATGGATTATCCACAGGAACCATTAATACTGGGACATTTATTTTATCAATTACAGAAGTTGCTTCTCTGCTTAAGCATTTTATTAGTTTGGCTCATAACTATGTCTTTAAGTGTGGAGTACACTGATCTAATCAAAGTTTCCAATTGAAGCAAGTCCCTCCTGGTTTTCTCATTTAGTATCTCATTTAGTAAACTTTTCCATGAAGAAACACACACAAAATCTTGACAAACAAGTCTTTAGCACCCTCTGCTGTTCAAATATTGGCCCTGCACTTTTCACTATTTTAATTACACAATTGTTCTAAAAATAAGGACAGGCTTGAGCTAAAGCCTGTAAGATGCCAGCCAGAGGCTGCTAATCAAAATCTGCATGGAGCAATTTAAAATTTAATCTAGGATTAGGTTGGTAGCAGCAGCTACATACTCATCTGTGTTCATTGTCTTTCTTTATATTTAAGAAAGCTCTCACACAGGTAAAAAGCTAAATTAAGACATCTGGACAAAAGTATGATTGTTCCAGCTTTAGGATGAAGGATTTCAGATTACCATTCTTTTTACCGAAGTGTGATGCTACAAAAACAATGGCTCCCAAATGCTGTTCACCATGGACCACTTGAAAATTGCAACAGGTCTTGGTGGACCAACTTAATGTTTTTTTCTGCATGTTGTAGCGATTTTAATGTGCTGTGCTAGGTGCTGCATGATTTTGATCATATTTTTATTTCCCATATGTTGTATGTTATTGTGTTACAATTTGAATTCCGTAGAATTCAAATTGTAACACAATGTAAGAAATGAAACCAAGAAATAGCAATACAATTAAAATGAATATGAATATTTAATGTGATGTATGCACCACCTTCCACATTCAACCACAGACACCCCATGTACCATATGAATGAAGCTCTATGTGGTCCACAGACCAGAGTTTGGGGAAAGCATTAAGTCCCCCAACCCCCAAGTACATAGTCTTTTGTAGGTAGTGTAACTTCCAGCTAGACTCTGCAGGCACAGATAGTGAAATAATCTTCCTTAACAGCCATGAATTAACACAGTTATCTTTCAGTTTTAATTATATGGTAGAAGTTCAATAGAGCATTTGATGCTGCTAACTGCTGGGATGTCAGACCTTATGCTACAACTTAGAAGCAGTAGTGAGAACAGAAACTTCCTGAACTACAGCTAAAGCAGCTACCCTAACCTTCCACATTTGGAGGGGAAAAGCTCCCTTGCTACAGTCTTTTGCCATAGTATAAAAGGTAAAGGGACCCCTGACCATTAGGTCCAGTCATGACCGACTCTGGGGTTGCGGCGCTCATCTCGCTTTATTGGCCAAGGGAGCCAGCATACAGCTTCCGGGTCATGTGGCCAGCATGACTAAGCCACTTCTGGTGAACCAGAGCAGCGCACGGAAACGCCGTTTACCTTCCTGCCAGAGTGATACCTATCTACTTGCACTTTGACATGCTTTTGAAATGCTAGGTTGGCAGGAGCAGGGACCAAGTAATGGGAGCTCACCCCACCGCGGGGATTCAAACCGCCAACCTTCTGATTGGCAAGTCTTAGGCTCTGTGGTTTAACCCACAGCACCACCCGCGTCCCTGCCATAGTATACTAGCACTAAATTAGTAGAGTTGCTCTCACATCTTATACCTACGGCCCTCCACCAGATATTGCCAGTCTTAGGGTTACTGGGCCTACCTTATGTACACTGAAGTGTCTAAAACTTAGCTGAATGCCATACTTATGCCCTACGGCCCCAGCCAGCATGGCTAATGGTCAGGGATGGAAGGAGTTGTAGTTCCAACAACATCTGAACAGCCAAAGGTTCCCCTTCAGCACAAGATGCCACTGACATCCTTGCCTCCCTCCCCAAACCCAAAACATTTTATGCATGGCACAGACTTCTACTAAATCCTTGTGCTATTACACCAAAAGGTAGCACAACACTAGTTTAAGGGGACAGGCTAGAGCCCAATAAAGGAAGGGGCCAAGATGTTCTGGAGTGACTTTTTGCCCCAAGAGTGGACTAAAGTAATGTGTCAACCTCTGAGCCTTCTATGCAACAGAAATCTGAAAGGGATTTTCCTTCCAGTTACTGGCCACATTCAAATGATTTTTCAGGGCGATGAAAGCAAATGCAGCTTCTTTTCCAACAATCACAGACAACTAGACACATCTGATTTCAATTGAAATCTGTTAATAAATCTCAAGTCTGTATTAAACCCTAGGTAAGATTCAGCTTCCACTGCGGGAGGCAGTGGAAGACAGAAGTGCCTGGCATCCTCTGGTCCATGGGGTCACGAAGAGTCGGACACGACTAAGCGTCTAAACAACAACAACAAGAAGATTCAGCTAACAGGTATGATACCCTTCTGAACCCTACAAAAAAGCTGCTGGGCTATTTAAAAGGAATAGAGTTTGCTGACTTAGAATTAGCTTAAATCTATCAGGAGTGGGCAAATATAGTATATTTGACTACCTCAAACCCCAACAGAATAACTAAGAAAATATGGTATGTAGAGTTATTAATGAAGCTGACTTATTTTCATCAAGTTACTTTAGAAAGCAGCTTAACAGGATCAGTGAAATACAATCTTTGTTCATAATTTATGGAATAATGTTATATTACAATTACTTTTTCTTTAAGTGTTCCAACAAGAATTGACTGAATTATCTAATTTCATTAATATTCTTTTTTGAATATTAAGTGTGCAATTAAAATCTGCTCACATATACTTTACAATGTATAATTTGTTCAAGCATTTTATTCATATTACTTAGGATAAAGCAATCTCAAATCCAAAGAAAACTCTTTAAAATGTGGGAAGATTTAGTTCCCACAGACTTAAATTGTATTGTCCTTCAGTGAGGTAGCAATACTGATATTTTGCAATGTGCAAATTCATTTAATGAGTTGGACAGTTAGAAGACAGGATAAGGAGTTCAAAATAAAAGAACTAGGATTAGCAGCTAGATAAATAAAAGCCTTGACTTCAGGAGCATATAACCCAATCAAGCTCTGGAATGTAAATATCTGAAACAGCTGGCAGGGCAAATTTTAGGCTTTTCCTTTCATTAGCACTAAAACATCAGAACCAAGGAAGCAAAAACTCCCATCAGAAATCTTAAATATTTATTTAGGCATCACTCGATTCTCTGTGGCTGTTTGCTTCCCATCCACCCCCACACCCTGCCTCCCAGCCAGGCTTTTGCATAGTACACAAACTTCCGACTTTGTTTATTTTTTACCTGAAGGATTTTGTTCCCTTCTCCCTTATTTTATTTCTCTGAACAGGAGATGCTTGAAGCGACAGAATTTTGTTTCCTGGCAGGGTAATTTGTTTCACAATGGAACCTAAAAAAAAAGATGAACAATCTGTAGCAGAAAGCAAAATCCTTAATGACATTCAGCGCACAGCGCACCCAAGAACAGATATCTGGAGAGACTGTGTCCAGGATTTTTCTTTTCTGTTTTTTTAAATGAAAGCTGCGTATTTGCTTCAAGGTCAAAAAGCAGTTCCCATACACATTATCTGCTCAAGTTATTTTATCAGGACATGGACACCTGGACAACTGTGCTACAGCCAAGAATATTCCAACATTAAAGGTATCTGTAACTGTTGCCTTTAACAAAGGCTGCTCCCTCTTGTAATTAAGAGAACTTTCCAAGTGATTTTCAAGACAACTGCTTTTAGCACAGTTAATACATTTGCTGTGCAAGGTCCAGCCATCTTTCTTAAAGGTTGTGGATGGGTCAATGGATAGTACTGTGCCAATATTCAAGAGGTAGCATCTATCACTGGGAAAATGCACTTCTGGTATTCAGGATATCATGAGAAAGCTTAGGGTAAATGGTACAAGCCTGGGCAAACTGCTCCTCCTCAAAACTCCTGGCCACCTTCTAGTGTGGCCAAGAAGACAGAACAGAAGCTTTTGCTTATTCACAGTGCAGTGTTACATCTTAACCCTAAAATGGTTAATCTTATAGATGGTTTGTAATGGAAAGTAGAGCTTTGAACTCCTTGTTGAGAGGAGGGGAACTTCAGCAGCCCGAGGCTCATCCGGGTTCATTCCTATCATCATAAAACCATCATGATAGCCAAAGCTCAGCTATCATAAACAAATGCTGGAATTTGTTTTCCCATGTATCATGGCACCTATTATTTACATATTCATAGTTCAGACTTTCATAAAAACATCAAATTGGTATACAACATTTAGGAATACAATCCACACATTCATAAAAACATTAAAAACCACCAACAAATACTGAAAGGTTAAAAAGAGATAATTCATATTAAAAAGGCCTGTCTGAACAACATAGTTTTCAAAAGACATTGGGAAAAAAGCGAGAAATGGTTCCTGCTGAATCTCTACTGGACGTGAGTTCTACAGGTCTGAAACTGCCACACCCAAGGTCTGGCTCATAGTAAAGGCCATCAAATATCAGAGGTAAGTGGAACCACTAGAAGTTCCTCATCAGAGGATCTCAGTGATCCAGATGGAACATAGAATCAGACAAACTCTTAATGCATTTTTGGCCCAAGCTGTTTACAACTTTTAGCCTGGAAAATTGGCAACAAGTGCCGGTTTCTTACCAGCTGAGTAACATGTTGCAATTAACTACAGTGTGCAACACTAAGAGAGATGCCCAAGTTCACCTTATCCCCGTTTTAAACATTTTTTTGAACCTGGTGACTTCAGAGTTGAATTACTGCAACCAAGCAATTCTATGTGGGGCTTCCTTTGTGCTTAACCCAGAAACTGCTGTTAGTGCATACAGCTGCAGTTCACTTGCTGCCAGGAATGAGAATCTGTCAGCATGCAACACCTCTGCTCAGAGATCCGCAGTGGTTGTCATTTTCTTACCTGGCCAAGTATATAAAGCCACTTAATGGCTAGGGAGCAATTCAGTTGCGTGATCACCTTAACCCAAATGTGCCCACTCAACCACTTTGATATGTGGAACCGGCACTATTACATGTGCCACATAATACTAGTTCCACAGCTGTAAGAAAACAATCTTTGGACACTTTGGAATTCCCTGCTTATTGACATCAGACAAAACATTGAGCTGTACCACTGAAATGCAGGACACCCCACCAAGCACAGAGATACATTTTGTAAAGTGGAAACAGCATGGTGCACTTTCTGGTTCAAATCAATTTTTATTTTATTTTATTTATTGAATCTATATACCGCCCTATACCCGGAGGTCTCAAGGCAGTTCACAGAAAGCTATGCAAGCTATGGTTTGTGTATGAGGTCTGAAATCAGCCAGATAACTTAACTGTACCTGCAGGAAGCTGGCTAGACTGGATCAAAGTGTTTAATGGCATTTTTTCACCTGATTTGTTCACAGCATGGAGTGAAGCCTGTTCGAGTGTGACCACTTTTTTCAAGATACTTCCTGAAGGCTGCTGGACTATCTGGAAAAGTTACACATAAAAGTACTCAGCACACATTGCAAAACTAAACAGTCACAATATTAGATCAAGTTAGTCATGCACATGAAAGTGCAACACTTGCATCAGGGCTGACCAAGTCATCCAAGATCAAGCTTGTAAACGACATTAGCATGTCAAATGGCTTTAAGAAGTCTGACTACACTCCCCCTTTTTCAGCAGTAATGGGTACAATCATATTGGCAGGACACATGCTTTGTGAGCATTCCAATATAAACTTATTTGCACACTTAAAAGACACCGATAGAACCACTGCTCAGTGATCTCCCTTCTATCAGAGGCACCAAAGTTTGCAATATGGAACAAGCCCTTCCCAGTGGCACCAATGAGATTATGAAACTTTCTCCCCTTGGTCTTTCCTGTTTAGGATAGCTGGAATTTGCTTCAGAAGGGATTTGTGGATCTGGTGAATTTATGAACTTGTGTCAAACCGCTGGTGCTCCTCTTCGATTTTTTTTTACTGTTTTATTGGCTGTTTGATGTTGGTTTAAACGCATGAAACTGCTTTGGGGATAATGTCAAAAAGCAGGATGAAATTATCTTAAATAAATCTGTTTGATCATAAAATGAGATCAAAGCTACCTACTGCTACGACTCAAAAGGGCAAATATCAGAAGCCATTTTGCCATGGCTCACAGTTAAAGACATTATGTACCCCCAATGTTTTACAAAGACTAAAAGTGCCTTCTAACCTCTCCTGCTCCCATATATTCAACAGCTTTCCAGAATACTAACAAGTTTGATGTAGGGGTTCTGCGGTGAAGTTTGAATGGTGTGAACTTTATGCCAAAAGCAGGAGATGCTTAACCCCACCCCAAACGTGAAAAAATAAAAAATCAGGGTCAAACTGTTCCATGGGAGGAAATTAGAATCTTCCCAGTGAAGTGAACCTCTGCAAATAAGAACTAGATGGGCATTTTAAAACTGCCAAGCGAAACATTGACGTTTTCTTCAACTGGACTACAGATCACATCATCTGCTGTCACTTAGCCCTAACTCTCAGGAATTATTAAAGTTGCAGTTCCACAGCGTCTAAGGATCCCAAGGATGAAGAGCACCAATTCTAGAGACAGAACAGTCCAGAAAATGTTATAGATCAGACAGAAAAAACACCCCTGTCCTTAAGAGGCCATTATCTGATACCTAATCATGGAGCTCTTCACACAGTGTATATGTACAATTTGCAGCACTGCAAATTTATTAACCTAGGGAAAGTCTGCTGGATCAGGCCAATGGCTCATCTTGTCTAAGCATCCTGTTCTTGCAGTAGCCAAGCAGGTGCCTATGGGAAATGCACAAGGAGGACCTGAGAACTCTCCTCTCCTGCAGTTTCTAGCAACTGGTATTCAGAAGCAAACTGCTGCCAACCGTGGAGGCACAACACAGCCATCACAGTTAGTAGCCACTGGTAGCCACTGAATTTGCCTGAACCTCTTTTAAAGACATCCAAGATGGCAGCCATCACTGCCTCCATAGCTTAGCTATGTGCTGCTTGAAGTAGTGCTTTCTTTTATCTGTCTGTGAAAGGTTTCCTGCTCTCCTTATCAAACAGAAAATAACTGCACAGTAACTTTAACATCTCTTTCAGTTGGTAGATCAAGGAGAAAAGGGATGTCCAACAACAGTACCTATGGTGACTTCAAATGAGACAGACTTAGAAGTGGGGAGCTGAGTCAACCATCACCATTCAACATTTGTACAGCCCTTGAACATTCAAAGCATGTAACATAGTCTTTAATCCGTACAATAACCCAGTAAAGTAGACCATATCCCCCCAATCTGTATTATGGGAATGAGGCCAAGATATAATGGTCTGTCTACGGTCAAGTACACAGAATGGGTGAGCTGTGCAAATACAAACCCAGTTCAAGTATTCATGCTCAGTAAAGTTCTGGTATTGGAATGCTTAGTTTACATTGTCAAATATAAAGCTGCTCTGTTTAGTATCTGCCAGAGTTTTATTCATGGAGATGGGTGCTAAATGTTCCTGATTCTTTGAGTGGACTGCTATCAGACAGATATATTCTTCAATGTTGCTTAGTACTCACATATGTCCATACTGCCCCTTTCCTCATATATTATTAACCTTTTAAAATGTACATCTCAGGTGTCAAGTTATGCAAGGTACGTAAGGGGCAAATACACATTTTAATTATTTGCTGATAAACTGCCTTTGAATTGCTGGCTCAGCTGAACTGCTAAGGTTAGCAAACTTCAGAGCTTTACAGATCAAGAGCAAGATAAACTTATCAACTGCTTTACCTTTACAGCCTGTGACGTCTGAGCTGAATGGGAAAGGACCGAACTGGGATGGACAACTCTGATAGTGATTGGTTTCCCAGCAACTGGCATTATGGATTGGAGAGACGCGGTCACTGCTGTTGTAGCAGTTGGTGCAGCAGTAGTCAAGGTTGGCTTCAGAGCTTGTAGAGATGTTGCTGCAGCAGAAGATGGCGGCTTTATAGAACTAGGAGCAGCAAATGCAGGTGATGACGACATTGCAGGGGTATGGACTGGTTTCACAACCTGGAGAGAAGTGGTACCAGTTGCCACCATTGCAGTGGAGGAGACTGGATGTACAGCTCTCACAGTAGTCGGTTTAGTGGAGGGAACGGGACTGGCACCTTGAAGGGAGAGTGTCCCTGACAAAACAGGAGTGGTCTGAACAACCTGAAGAGAACCAGATCCTCTTGTCACCTGTGATGTACAGAGGACTGGGCCTGAAGTCTGTTGGGAGGGTATCCCGGTCGGAATTTTAAGAGAGGTCGCAGTCACAGGAGTGCTGGCAGCAGGTACCGAAGAAGTGGATGATGCTGTGCTACAAATCGGAGGAGCTGTTTGTGGTCCTGGTTGTTGAAGACACTGCCGTATAAAGGCCTGTGCATCAGGCATTAATTGCCGTAAGGCAAACATACTTTTCTACGCAAGGAAGAAAGCAATAGAAAAAAATTAAGATCCTGCATTTTCCTTCCACCATTGACACTGCACTGTGTCTCATTGAATAGTATCAATGTCCTACTAAAACATTAAAAAGATAACTAGCAGACCAGCTAAACAATACAAATTATCACATCTGATCTTCAAGGAAGATTCCTAAAGTTCAGGCTGTTTGCCTTTGCAATCATTAACAAATCTGCACTTTGATAGGAGACTTAAGCACACTGGACAACATCCCAGACACATTTATGAAGCTGGTCCTGAAGTCCTGCTCTTGTTGCATGTGTGAGAGCCACAAGAACCTGAATGGGCAGGAAGTTTCCCCTGAATGGGTAGAATTTACCGAAATGGTACATGCAGGTTTGTGCCAGCTAGCCTCACAAACTTGCGGGTCCCACTTCTCATCACAACACAATGGAGGCATGGACAGAATTTTACTGGAAGGGCTCACTTTCCCACACTAACCACGTCATGCTGACTCCCAGTGTGTTTTGCTTTGCAAATTAATTCTCCTGACATTTCAAAACAACCTTTCACCCAGCCATCAAGGACCATCACCACTTTGATACTTAAAATGTGGAGCAAATTCATTTAGACATACCTTGAGAAAAGGGAGAAGATAGGGCTGAGGGGAAGACTTTAGCTCAATGTACAGTTTTCTAGTAAATTCTTCAGGTTCCATTTTGGCTTCCTAGATAGGAAAGGAAATGGTTGCACAAATGTAACGTGTCGTTTCTCCAGGTGTGCCTAAACTGAACCCACCAATTCACTCACTTTCTAGTACTAACAATTTCATACACTGAATATTCTATTCAACAATTAAATTGAAGAAAGTGTACAGTATCAGCAGGCTCCCAAAAGGAATCTAAAACAAATTCTTCACTGGTTAAAAACCAGCAACTGTGGGCAATAAGTAAGATTTCTAAGTTGTTACTAGAAACTTGGAAATGCACCAAAGCGGTAAAAAAATTTGCAATATTTCTGCCACATGACTAGAGAGACAGACTGCAGAGAGTCAAATTTCTCCTAGTTTGTATCCAGAAGCAGCTAAAATAAAACAAAACCCTTCCTATTTGTTTAGCTTCTCTTTCCTGTTTCCCACCTGTATTTGTAGCATGTGTTACTATAACAGGCAGTATTTAACTTGCCTATTCTGAACATGCTCAGGAAAAGCAAAAACAGCTACAGAAGTATTGCCATGTCATACACTCTACAATAGTCACTCTGTGAAAAAGAATGGGATCAGCTTCTGGCAATTATGACACTCCAAAATTAATGAGCATGCTGCAGAAGTCTAAAAGCTTTGCAAATGCCAGATATGCCATTTCCTGGACATATCTGGGGTTCGTCCATTGGAAATAGAGTCTGCGCGGAATTTCCAAAAATCACTAAAAATGTCCAAGAAAACCCAGATGTATGGCAACTCATGTCGAATTTTTCACTTTTTGAAATAGGGCAACCCTAGCATCTGCAAACTCATTTTGCAACCTAGACCTCCCTGTTTAAGGCACATGCATATCTAAACATGTTATAGAAAAACTTACTGGGCGGGGGAGGAGCTTTTCATTGTTTGAGAGGTCTGCAAGATTGGCTCACGTTATGGTGTGCCTGAGAATTCTGCATCCCTCTGAATGTTGTCCCAGTACTCATGTTAGGACTGGAACATTGGCCTGCAGCCAGGCTGCCTGCTGACTGGGATCCTTGCCTTATGCCATGCCCCACTGTGCACTGTAGCCAATGACGTTGTGGCCTCTAATATGCCCCCATGTAATTAATCCATCCCGTACTTCACACCCTCATTTCCTGTGTGCACACAAATCACTTCTGAGTAAATACATTTAGGATCAGGGCACAAATACTTGCAGATGAACTTTTACCAACAGACTTTGTACCAGGTTCTTCACATTCTGTCCCATTTCAGGTGCTTGAGGCCCACTGGACGCCAGTTTTATTAGTGTTGCTAGGAAGTTTTTGCACTTTTCCACATTTTCCAGCATTTCCTGATAGGAAGCCAAAAGAGTAAATTAACTTCTGTTCAGTTCTGAAATACTGGGAAAGGTAAGCAATCTTAGATTACTTTGCACTTACTTTAGAGGTGCTGGCCTGTGCTACTATCCTACTTTCTGTGTCAGGGACTGGCTTTGTAGCAATAGAGAGCACAGAAGAATCAGAAATAGGAGGCTTTGCCACTGGTCCCGTAATCAAAGACTTTGCAGCCACAACTGTGGTGCTGCTATTATTTGTTGATGCTATTGACTGGAAGAAATTAAACATTTAAGTAGCTAGATTCAATTCTGACAGGAAAAAGCAAAACTAAAGCTGCTACATTAATATTAGTATCAGGAAGGCACCTTTGTTCTACTGGTGTTGGTGCCTACTACCCTCCAACACAACTTTCCAAGAATGTCTCCCATTCACACTTTTTGGAGAAAGCAAACAGATACACATAATATTATGCACGCAGATTAGCTCGTGTGAACCTACATTTAGATTTAGCTATAACGATTTTGTCTGACAGATAATAATCCTAAAAACCGTGCACATTTCCATCAACCACCAGAAGCTGAGAATGACCATCACTGAAGAGAGCTCATAAAGCATTGTGTTTAGAGGTAGACTCCTTTATTGCAGTCAGATTCAGCCATTAGACACTACCATAGGCTGGGGAATATGGATGACTAACCCAACCCATATGGCAACATGAATGAGGCAGATGACTGGGGGCGGGGGGAGTTTTCCTGTTCCTCAGCATGTTTTGAGTTACATTGGCAAGTGCACCATTGGGCACATGTAAAAAAAAGAAAAGATACATGCAGCATGATTTATAAAGCCACCTTGCCATTTATTAGATTTGTGACTCAGTGAGCTAAAAGGTTAAGTGCCAGAAAATAACAAGGAGATCATACCTGGATTATAGCAGGCTTCTTAACATTGGAATTAACAGAAGGAGTTGTCCAAGTCACTGTTGTATGAGGAGCAGCTGATACTTTCAGTACTTGAGTTCCAGAATTCTTTCAGAAAGATAATAGAATATATATTGTTAGGTAAAAGCCTCAAAAGGAAATCTCAGGTAAGCGGCCGAGCACCATTTCCGTCTAACTGGACACATCAGTGTTATTTGTCCTAACTTCAAGTAGGCTGGGCAAAAGTCTTTTCTGAACAGGAAGATGCAAACGATAAAGAAGAGGATCCAGGAGCATGCCAAGTAGAGAAGGTTTCTTTCTATGGATAGGAAGAAATGCTATGACTTAAGAAGCATTTCAGGCTATGACTGTTCAAGTGTTTTTATTTCTACGTACTGAAATAATTATTTTCCATCCATGTAGTAACAGTGATAGCTGGTATGAGCAAGTTGAATGCAGAGGAAAGAACAGAAAATCACTGTACTATATAGGCAATTAAGGCTTAACATTTTAAAGTTGTTTAAGCTCCTACGTATGGGCAAGTGGTGCCAGAAAAAGATGGAAATGATTCCTGCATCTAGACTAGATTCACTTCACTGCTGCACCCACATCCCTGAGAAAGACATAAACTGGCCCAAGTCCTGTGAAAAGCTATAGTAGCAGAAGAAACACACACCAAAACTGCTATTACAGAGGATGTACAGACCTGTACAGTCTGTATTTTGACTGTAGGTGCATTTGCAGGCAATGATTGTCGTACAATTGGGTTCTTTTGGGACTGGCTTTGAACCTGAGCAAGTGCTTGTTGGGACAGCAGCATCAGCTGTCCAGTGCTGCTTCTGACGAGAACCGTTCCTGCAGGAAAGAAGATACTATCAGATCCTTCCACTACACGTTCTTAAGAGCAAGTACATAAATCTGAGTTTGTTTAATCCAAACTTTTAAGCAAGAAATCGGCAGCATAAACAGTACATGAATTATGCAATATTACAATGCTTCTATAGTACTGCACACTTCCCTTCTAGGCTCCTCTGTTTAAACAGCAGACTACTACATTCCTGCTGTGCTCCAGTTAGTGTTGTGACAGACGTAGCTTATTGTTTGACCTTTTAAAAATCCATCAAACATATTTAAGAATAAATTCTGAATTGGTTTAGTTTAGTCACGCATCTCTGCTCTCACAGCTTGCAATATAGAGATGTTAAGACACGCCACACCACAATGTTAGTCCTGCTTTTGGCAACGGCTTCTGTATTAAATATTTTTAGATTACACATATTTATAACTCCCCCCCTTTCACTCAGGGGTCTGAGGGCAGGGTAAAAACACCTAAAAATCACAAATATATAAAATCAACACAAAACAATCATGAACGAAATCAAACGGCAACAACAACAAAATGAAAATGCAGCCAGGAGAAACAAGTCAAAATGCACCTGACAGCCAGCCACAAAGGCCTGGACAAAGGTGTGTTTTCACCTGCCTTTGAAAAGACCAAAATGTTGGAGCATGATGCACCCAAGGGGAGGTCCTACCATACTTAAAAAGTAATTGTCATAGTCTTGATAGACAATGCTGTGTGACAGCACGCTTCTGAGACCACCTACGTGTTTCTTTTTAGGCAAGAAATCTTATGCTTGATATTCTTCACCAGACAAGGTTCATTCTAAAAAAAAAAAGGTGAGGGCCTTCTTTTGCTCAAATCAGGAATTTTTAATTAGATATACAACTCTAGAATCTAACATTTTAATACTGATTTTAAGGCACTTATCCATGTTTATGATATTAAAGTAGTAAGGGGAAGTCTGCCTCATAGGCACACACCCCTCCCCAGAGAGCCAGTGTGGTGTAGTGGTTAAGAGCGGTAGACTCGTAATCTGGTGAACCAGGTTCACGTCTCCGCTCCTCCACATGCAGCTGCTGGGTGACCTTGGGCCAATCACACTTCTTCGAAGTCTCTCAGCCCCACTCACCTCACAGAGTGTTTCTTGTGGGGGAGGAAAGGAAAGGAAAGGAAAGGAAAGGAAAGGAGAATGTTAACTGCTTTGAGACTCCTTCGGGTAGTGATAAAGCATGATATCAAATCCAAACTCCTCTTCTTAATCCTACTTCCACAAACTATTCACTGCTGGAACAGGGGTATGTTGCCAACAACAGGATTTAACCCAGCCCTAGTGCCCATTAGCTGATATCACAAACCCCACATTTGGGGGAAATGGCCTTGCAGGCCAGGATTGTCCTATGGGCCAAAGGTTTCCCACCCCTGCTAAATATACTTTTTAATAAGACTTCCAACTCATCCTTAAAAGGGCCAAGAAACCATGCAGAAATGTATGTTCCTCCTTTCCACATAGGGCGGTGAGCGTTTAAAGTTACAATCATTTCAGGAGTAATAGCTGGGTACTTGTTAAATCCTCTAAACGGTAGGTGCCGTTAGAGAACAAGAAGTTAGAGAGCTGAAAGTGCTGCTCTGTTGTCACCTCTAACCAAGGCAGCTTCAAAACCAACATAAAACCTTGTGAAACTTGTTTGTTTCTAAAGAGTGGTATGGCTGTCTATTACAACACCATCAAGTGATCCTTCTTTCAAATCCCCCATTAACTCTAGGGAGAAACAACTGTCTCAAAGCTCTTGACACCCCCACCAACGCTTCCCTCAGCTATTCTGCAGGTAGCAAGTCGAGAGCCTAACAAAGGCCAGCCTTTGACATCTTCTCTCAGCTACAGACCACTGCTAGAGAAAAGGTTTAATTGGTATGTGTAGTTCCAAGTTGGGGGAGGAAGAAGGATCCGGGACAGCCTGGAAGGATAAACTAGGGCACAAGTAACAGAAGAGAAGGCAGAAGAAAGAAAAGAGGAGGGGGACTGGTAAACATACGGGAAAACTACAGCAACTGTGGCTTCAGAGGAGGAAATGCTTGAAACTTAATTTATTGTTGACTTTATAGTTCACCCTTCACAGAAAATGTAAGATAAATAGCAAACATATAAAATTCATTAATAAAAAAAGAGTAGCAGTGTGTAAAGAGGGGTAGTAAGAAACATCCAAGTGTTTCCAACCATCAGCAACTCCCAAAGGTGTGAGTAAAGAAGTGCTGGGTACAGGAGTATAAATGAAGACAAAATTGCAAATTAGGGGTTTCATGCTCATCTTCAATTTGCAAGCCTGAAACTGCAATCCTAAACACACATGTCTAAATAAGCTTACGGTGCACTTATTCATAAGTATGCATGCACAGGACCTAGCTGTAAAACACACACACACACACACACACACACCAAAAAATGCTTTGACATCTCAGTACAAAATGCACAGTCTACATAGGGTAGCCTGGGTGCCACAAAGCTTTGGTGCCTTTGTTCTACTTTCTACCCTACATTTATTTTCACTTGTATACATGGGCTGCATAAAAGGCCAAGAGGCACTTCACATCATGTGTCCAAATGTCCTTAAGAATGAAGCACATGGCTCTGCAATAGTTATAATCCTGTCCGCTAACTGCAACATAGTTGTACAACACTGCCATCTAATGGTGCAGCTAGTTAAGTGTGTGTTTTCCCTTCATGAAATTCTAAGCATGTGTCACAAGTGCCTGAGAACATGGATTATCTAGCGCTGTTCTACAACACTCGCCCACATTTGAACACCTGCCGGGAGAAACAGTTCTAGGATTGAACCGAAACAAGCGCTCTGTGTGGTGGCCTGATAACTGTTGCCTTAGAACAGCTGCATAGGATGTTGGGTGCCCCTGAGCATAGAAAGGAAGGGGACAGTGCACATCTGGAAGAATCCCAAGAACAGGTAAGCAACACATAACCAGAAGAAAACCTATTTGCTACTTCGCTTCACAGGAGGCAGTGTTTGGTAACGGCAACAAAAGTGTCACTGCGTAGGTGCCCTGGCTATTGCTATCTTGATCAGCTTTGAAAATCTTTCTAATAACTGCTAAGCCTGCTCAGCCACCCCAACCCAGGAATTATCTGAACAGAACTATATGTGCAGTAGTTTGTATATGCTTCTGCTTTGGTTTTCAAAGAAAGAAGCTATTATTGTGCCAGAGAACTTAAGATCGATTTAATATTTCCCTCTGTTGCCTCCACTAAAATGCCTGTTCCGGCATTTTAGACAGGCATGGGGAAGAATAACTATGAAAGTAAGTTGTGGCGAACACTCGGGTCCTCAAAACACAACCTAGTAAAATGCTACTGAGTGACTTAATCAGCTGAGACCTCTACAAAGGCACTTATGACAAGTTCCCTTTGAATGCTAAAGGCCGAAAGTTCAATGGTTCCCATCGTAAGATTTGGGAAATTAGGAGGGGTAGGGTTTTTTTTTAGAAATTGGGAAATTCTGAATTGGATAAATTTCCTATGCATCAGAAAACTTTCTGAAACCCTTGAGAAAGCCCCTAATGTTTTAGCCTTTCCTCATAGCAGAAAGTTCAGACCCCACATTCTTAAAATGTGAAATTAAGGGTTTTCTGCCACAACTTACATCACTTTACACTTGCTTACACAGAATTGCATTTGCCATTCTACCACCCATTCATTACATTTGGAGAGATCATTTAGAGCTCTTCACAACCTATTTGTTTTACCCACCCTGAACAATTTAGTGCCACCCGCAAACTTGGCTACCCTGCCCCTGCTCAAGGGCAAACTTTGCCCAACTTGGTGCCCTCCAGGGGTAGACTATGATGCCCATGACCCCCACAGCTTCACTGGCTGCAGCTGATGTGAGGTGAGTTCCAGTTCAAGTATGTGGAGGGCACCAGGTTGGGGAATGTTGCTCTCTAGGGCCTGGCCACAATTTTGCTGTTTCAGAGCACCAGCCTTTGCTGACTACAAAGCAGAAAGTGTTACTTCCCAATTCTTCAGCCAAGTTCAAGCATAGCTACCTTAGTGAGTAATGGCAATAATAGTGTGCAAGAACAACCATTCCCAGTGCAGAATGCAAATAAGTTCTTTCAGTACATTATTAATCCTGTATAATGAATACAACTTCCTCAATAGAAAGTCTGGAATACCCTGACCTTTAAGGTGCAAGCACTACCAATGACAACAGACTTTTGACAGCATGTAAAAAGTGGCTTTTCACCCAAGCATTTGGCTAAAGTGGTGCCAGTGTATTCGATGATATAGTAAGTTGTATTTTAATGAAATACTGCTTTATTGTGTTTGTGTGTGCAACTGTATGAACAATGAATAATGGGCTACAAGTATTTTAAATAAACACCTACTGGCTTTGTGAAATTATTATTCATGTGTGTCACTAAAAGTCTGTTTGGTCAAAGGCTCTTCTTGAAGGTTGCCTTGAGCCTTTTGAGACACAGGACACACTTGCAGCAACTTTTCGTCTTGTATGCTGCTGTCCTCTCCCCCCTCTTCACCCATTCATTTCTTTCTGTGATGACACAACACTCTTGACACTCCCTGCAAGATAATTAAGAGTATTGCAGCTCTAGCCTGTACTAACAGTTGCCACCAGCATTTTAGACATCCCCAGCCTAGACCCAGGGAAATCCTGATCTGCAGTATTTTTTAAGGAGAAGGGGCAAACTGCATCCAACTCCCCAGAGCAGTCAAGCACATGTGCTATTCAGCCAACTGTTTACAAAAGGAGTCAAAAGAAGCAAGTTGCAGAAACAGTAGCAAACAGAAAGCAAGAAAAAGTAGCAACCAAACAGTAGCAAACAGAAAGAAAAATCAAAACCAGTAACTTCTAGATAATCTTGCTGATACAATTTCTAAATTGGTTTCAGCAACTTGCATTCAGTCAGCCTTATAGTTAAGCACTAGCCTGCTGGTGGACCATAGGCTGCTCATTACGGACTTCACTCTGGGTCACATGGACTTTACAGTGGAGTGGAGTGTCTACCCAATATTATATTTTACCCTCTATTTTGGCACTATTGCAGAATCCCATTTTTATTAATTGACAAGTTTAGCTGATTTTAAAATGCAAGACCAAAAAGATGCCCCCAATTAATCAGAATGATTTGTCTTAAATGTACCAATACTATCAGCATTATGGAAGAGGCATTATTCCCTAGTAGAAGGGGATGATTCTTTCACGATAATGTCTACTGTAGCTCATGCTTGCATCTAAAAAGAATTGCTTCAAAAAATAGAGAGTGCATGTGTTAATTAGGTAATTGCCCTAGCCCTCACATAAGTCACTTCTAATGCCAAAGCACAGTAAGTAGATTTCATCCTATGCTATCCCTAGAGATGCATGTACAGGTTCTTACTTGTCTGCCACTCTTTGGATTTTTTTTTTAAGACACAGAGGGAGACTGCAGATGCATAAATTCATGCTGCCAATTTACAGTAAACTGTTGTAGAAAGCATGACAAAATCTGGAAACCATCAGCACAGTTGGGTTACATAATTGCATTTTGTCTAGAATAAAGGAAATCGCCGTGGCAGACAGGCAAAGGTAGCGACAAGGACAAACAAGCTTTGCCTACGTATGGCAATCCATTGAGGCTGAGCATTCAAGGATGTCTCACTCACGTGGGTTGCAATATCAGCTACTGTTTTTCAAAGCAGTGCAATCTTAGTAAGAAAAACAAAAAATATTATGGCTATGTCCAACAGCGATGTGGAAAATTTTGAATCAGATGATGTCTCATCACCCTAAATTGATGGTTTGATGTATCACGCTTAACTACATTATTAAAAAAGAAGAAAAAAGGAGCTCCGTGTTAATTTAACATGCTGTATAAAAACCTCAACTATTTCTAGCAGCTCAAAATAGATGAATAGAAATATTTGATTAAGAACGTGTTATGTTTCAATAAAAATAATGAAAGAGAGCTTTGACTGTACAGTGGTGCCTCGCAAGATGAAATTAATCCGTTCCGCGAGTGTCTTCGTCTAGCGGTTTTTTCGTCTTGCGAAGCAACCCTATTAGCGGCTTAGCGGATTAGCGGTTTAGCGGCTATTAAAGGCTTATCGGCTTATCGGCTTAGCTGCTAAAAGGCTATTAGCGGCTTAGCGGCTTAGAAAAAGGGGGGGGGAAAGCGAAAAAAAAATCTCAAGACTTGCAAGACATTTTCGTCTTGCGAAGCAAGCCCATAGGGAAATTCGTCCTGCGAAGCAACTCAAAAACAGAAAACCCTTTCGTCTAGCGGGTTTTCTGTCTTGCGAGGCATTCGTCTTGCGGGGCACCACTGTATTTAAATGCTTGTAAACACTATTCTATAGCAGCCTCTAATCCCTGGAACTCCCTTCCATAGGAAAGCCATATGGTACATTGCTTGATTTTTTAGGAGGGCAGTTAATTTTTTTTCTGTTTGGACCAGCTCTTGCAGCCCTCGTTATTTGGGGTGCTGTGAATTTCTGTACACATGGGATTTTGTTTCTTCTCCTTCCCGAATGCACCCCTGCAAAAAAAATTTAAAAAATCTGCTCTGGAGGGTCACCCAAACCCTCTAGAGCTGATTTTGAGGGTGTACATGGACTGCAGAGAAAGAAGTTCAACTGCATGTACAGAAGTCTGAGTGAGCAGATATGCAGCTTTTGATACAGCTCCAAAATATTTTAAGATGTTACAATTCACACACTTTAGACCTGAGGAAAAAAATTAAGGTGTTGAAAACTGTTAAATACTCATTTTAGCATGCTAGAATACCTGTATGCATAAGTAATTGTGTTTTCTTGGGAACAGTCATAAGAAATTATGACTTTGGTTGTACATTTTACTAGCATTATTATTCATTCTAGCTGCCTAGCTCAGCATGTATTTTTTTCATGCAGCTAATCTCATGAAACAATGAATTTCTAAAACTGAAAACATTATGTAGAAACATAGTAGCGATATTTTTTCCAGCAAATTCTCCCTATCACTGATGCCTTCAGTAATGCTCAGATGTTGTCAGGGAAGACACACTACAGGTTGCCTTGATGTAACAAGTCATCTTTAACACAGCTAGCAGCAGGGACGAACAGCAACAATTAATACTTGGACAATATGGTAAGGTACATTTTTCAACTTGTTACTTGCTCTGGGCCTGCAGCCGCTCTATCAGTCAATGGCACTCATGGCAAGTAATGTTTGTTGTGGCAAAGTTTGTGTGTGACCAGCAATAGCCCTGCCACCACTATGCAGGAGTTTTTTCTGCCACTGGTGTTAAAATGTATATGAAACAAATGAGGATGAAGTAAGCTGCAGCTGTTCTGGAGTCGACCAACCTGTGCCCTTCCTTCAACAGATACATTGGCACAGATTCAAAATTAGGGCAGGAAAATCAGTGCATTGCCATGTTTCCTCAAAAAAAAAGCAGCATCATGAGATATAGATAACTACCGACTCCAAGGTCACCCACACTCAGTTTGAACTGCAGGATCTCCTAGGATGATCACTCCCTTTCATGCATACCAAGGGAGCAATGAATAAGACTGAAACTTACCAAGTTGCTCCTGATTTCATGACATATGTTGTTGGTGACAAGAAGAGCAATGTCTAAACAGGCCCCTGCAGTGGCACTCCTGCCAGGGGTGCTAATTAGATAACTATTTTTGTATTGTCACATTTGCTACACAGAAATTCTGCCATACCAAAGTCTAACAGCTAATATTTCTGTTTGTTCCAACTCCTAATATTTTCTCTTTTTAACACCTACCACATGCACCTGTCAAGTAATAAAGTCTGGGTAAATGAGAGCAATATCAATTTCTCAAAAAGATAGAACTTTAATTAGAAAAATATGATACCAACTCAAAGCTGAAGCTAGCTTCAAAACACATTTTAATCACACAAGTTATCAAAACTTCAACATTAAAAGCTTGGGTGTCAAAACGTTTTGAAAAACTTTTGCAAGTATATTATATCTTTGCAAGCGGGCAGGGAGAAGAGAAGGAAACTAAGCCTACCTCAGGCAGGCAAAAAAGTTCATGTCAGTTTATTATATGTGGCACAAGCATAACTTAGATGAGCAATTTAGCAACAGTTCAGTGGAATCATTTCACGCAAATATGCAGTTGTGGGAACTTTTAAGTCACCGATCTGCGATTAGAAAGTGAAACTAAGGGGATTACAATACTAACTTTCTCCCTTTACTTCTATGATAGTCTATGTCACACTTCTAGAACATAAAAAAGTTCACTTAATATTGAATCGGAGTGTTTCCATATAAAGACTTAATGCTGTGAACCATACAGTACAGATACTGCAGATGGGTTGCTGGAAACATTTTTTTTAAAAGTCCTATCTGATTTTCCCAAGGAATCTGCATTGAATGGGGGGGGGGGGGAGGCAGAGATACACAGGCTGGCATTTTGGTGCCAACAACATTCAGTGGGCAGGTGCTGCGAAAGATCGGAAGGGGTGATGAAGGCTACTCCATCCCCACAATAAACACCATTTAACCTGCTCGGCACTCTGCAGAGTTTGAACCGGAGTCCCATGTCGTTGTCCCCACTCCCACCCCCCACCCCGATAGCAGAAATTGAAGCTGGGACCGTGTGCATGAGAATCAGTTCTTTGCCACGAAGCATCGGCCCTGCTCTCATGTTTAGAAGGCTCATCCCACCATGATGCCCATAACTCGCCACTAGTTCCCTGATGACTTGACCCGTTAGCTGAAAACAAAACAAAACTCATCCAAAACTTGGCCTCATCCAACAGGAGCGCTGCCAGGAAAGGGAGACGGCAACTCACCCGGCGGGATCTGGAAGTTCGCAGGTAGCTGTATCGTCACCGTCTGCGGGGCTTTGGGGGCTCCGGGCTGAGGGGCCGGCAGCCTGGTCCCCGCGCCGGGCGTCTTGGGGGGCTGCTGAGCCGGAGGCGCCCCTTTGCCCGCCGCGGGAGCGGACGCCGCCCGGGGCTGCTGGGCGACGGAAGGAGGGACTCTGCTGAGGGGAACTTCGGCGTTCAAGGCGACCGCCGCGGCGGGCGGTGCCGTGCTGTGGGCCTCGCGGAGCCCCCCGGTCCCATTCAAGGCGGCTGCGGCGGCGGTGGCGGGGCCGGCCGCCAAGGCAGCGAGCTCAGGAGACCCGGAGGGCAGGACCCTCCCCGGCGCGGCTGCTCCCGGGGTCGTCATGGAGGAGAGGGCGCGCGGCGGAAAGTGCGGGAGCCTTGCGGGGACTCCGAGCGAGTCCACAGCATAGCAGCCTCCGAGGGGGCCCAGGAGCCGGCGAAGCTTCCGCAGCTGACGATGCGGCAAAAGCAGCGGCAGCAGCGGCGGCGGCGGCGGCGGCGGCAGCAGAGTCCCCAGCGAAACAAGCTGCCTCAGAGGCTGCCCCGCTCGCGGACCAAGCAAGAGTTAGGGGCAGGGCTGCAGAAAACACATGGTCACGCAGCCGCTGCCGGCTTCTCCTCCTCAGAGGCGCGCACGTGTAGCGCCAGGCACTTCTCGCCTGGAGCAGAAGGCTCCGGCCAGGACAGCGGCGCACGCGAGCCGGCAACGCCCTACGGAGCCCCGCGCCGCCTCCAAGACCCGCCCCGAGGAACAGCCCCCAAGCGGCTCCGCTCTCCGTTAGCCATGTTTATATAGCCACGCGGGGCTCCCCGGCGCACGCGCCCTAGCTCTCCTGGCGGCTCATTGGCTACACCGGGCAACCTCGGCTGGGCGGCGTCACGCAGAGAGCACGGCCCCCCGCGCCGCTGAAGAACGCCGGAGGCGGAAGGTTATTGGGGAAATCGAATGCACTTGGTGGTTTTCTCTCTCTTACACCCAAACACCCTCACTCACCGAAGGCGCACGTTGCATCGAAGAAGTAAGTGGAGTTGGTAATGCCAACAGAATGCCTATAATTTAGGGGTTTGTACTTTTAAAATGTTTGCTTTGGGGTGGTGTTTTCTTCAAATTGATATTACTTGGGGAGTCAGCGCAGTGCACATCCACAGGCACCCCTGCAGCCTTGTAAATAAGCACCCCAAAAGTTACTAGCATGCAAAGAGGAAGAAGCTTTTTACTAGTAACGGAGGAGTGAATAACACAGCAGCGTGCTGTTTTTCCGTAAAGAGTGCAGAGGAAGGAAATGGAGCTCTAACCTTCCACCACCCACCTGCTCACTTTTCTGCATAAAATTTCCTGCACTGAGCTGCATGCATTTCCTTGTTACTTACGGCTTCCAGGCTAGTGGTTCAATACAAGTCTACTGTGTTAGGGCTACTCTTAACAAAGTAGTTAGTGGTTTTCAATTTTTGTCATGAGGCTTACAAAATAAGCAGGGTGCATCCTTTTGAGGACAGGCAGGCTGTTCTGCTTTCTTACAGACATTTATAGATTAATGAAACGATCCTTAATTGTGCTCATTTTGCTTTTTAAAAAACATAAGCATGGATGTGGTTTTGAGAGAGCGAAAAGACTCTCAGGCAGTGCAATTTTATGCTGCCAGTTTACTAGCTGCTGCAACAACTAAAGTGGCACATTATATCACTGCAAGTGGGGCAGAACTGTGCATTTGCAGAGACTGCTTGACCACCTACTACTGAACTCTCTTGTGGTGCCTGTGTTAATAATCACACTGACATGTGATTTTTACTGGATTTTTACTTATTTATTTTGGTCAATAGCCATTCTTGTTGCTCCTCAACAAACTGCTGCTGGACCACTGAATATATTTTCAACTGCAACTTTTTACACTTACCTAGGAGGGAGTCTTAGTTATCTCAGTGGGACTTACTTCCCCACAAATTATGCCCAAAGTATCTTACAGCATTTCACATTTCAAAATAAAGCTTAGAAACATTTAGAAATAATGTTAATTTAGCAAATAAATACAAAAAATAAATCCATACAATGCTGCTGCTTCTTTGGCAATCACTCGTCACCGAGTAAACTATACAAATATGGTAAGCTAGTTTAACAGCTTCAACTTAAACAGAAGAGAGAATAATCCCTAATTCAGAATAATTCAGAATAATCCCTAATAAGAAAGTAGATCACATGTTGCAGACAATGCACTTGTATCCAATAGTGTGGATCTGAGACTTCATCTTTAAACATCCAGAATCTCCACCCCATCTCTCACCTGGCTTTCACCCAGGGGGGCCTTATACTCACCATTATTGTGGGCTCTTGCCCACAGTAAAGCAACCAATAACTTTCCTTCCACACTCCCCCATCAATAAAGGTATGTTCTTCTAGTCTGGAAATCATAAACAAAGTTTCAGTGTTGTGATGACCCCCAAAGTAGCGGACCTTTTAGTCTTCCTCAAGTTAAAAGATAAGGGTAACAATGGAGAAACATGATTTAAAGGACAGGTTTTACAAAGAAAAATAAGCAGTTTCAACATTACCAGTTGAAACTCCCATTAAGCATTTTAGAACATTGCCAATTCTGTGTCTGTGGTTCATGCTGTTCATCATCTTATGCAGACCCAGTGTGTTAGTAATTTAATCCTTAAATATTTCCTACTACTATAATTGGTTAACACAATCTAGCATTTTTCTGCTTATCTGCAGCTGCCAATTCCTAATCAACAAGTAGAAATGGTGGCGTGGGTTTGAGAGTGGGAACAGGGCCTGCGTGGGAGCTGCTGCTGCTGCTGCTAGTCGCTAGCCTTCCAGGCCCTCGGTTCTTAGGGCTCTCGCGGAAACCCCGGCAAGATGTTCAAAAAATTTGATGAAAAGGAGAATGTGTCCAACTGCATCCAACTAAAAACGTCAGTTATTAAAGGCATTAAGAACCAGCTGATAGACCAGTTTCCTGGGATCGAACCATGGCTAAATCAAATTATGCCAAAGAAAGACCCTGTGAAGATAGTACGTTGTCATGAACATATAGAAATCCTCACAGTAAATGGAGAATTGTTGTTCTTCAGGCAAAGGGAAGGACCATTTTATCCCACGCTCAGATTACTTCATAAATACCCATTCATTCTACCACATCAACAAGTTGATAAAGGAGCCATTAAATTTGTACTTAGTGGAGCAAATATCATGTGCCCTGGTCTGACGTCTCCAGGAGCTAAACTTTATCCTGCTGCTGCTGATACAATCATGGCAATAATGGCCGAAGGAAAGCAACATGCCCTGTGTGTTGGAGTCATGAAGATGTCGGCAGAGGATATTGAGAAGGTCAACAAAGGAATTGGCATTGAGAATATCCACTATTTAAATGATGGTCTCTGGCATATGAAGACATATAAGTGAAGAAGCAGGAAGAAACAGCTGGGCCTGTTTTTAATTCTTCTTTTAAAATGTGTGGCTAAATGTAAACTTTGTGGTGATGCTAAATAAATCAAATGAATGCTGGTGGGGAAAACAAGTAGAAATGGCATGTAAATAAAAGTTTGCTTCATCAAACAACTTTAGTAATTCTTCAAAAGAATTGCTGTTATTGTGTTCAGATGATATGCTGTTTAACTTATATTCTCCTGCTGAATTGAAATTCAGTATATTGTTTTCCATCTGTCTGAAGTGCTCAAGACTGGTGAATTCCCTTTCAACAATATGAGTCCCTTGGTCTGAGCTACTCAGGAAAAGCAATTACAATATAATTGTAGGTGTTTTCCCCCCCTCTTCGCTTGTGCAGTGCACCTAAATTCTTTTTAATGAGAAAAAAACAAGACATACAAGTTTTATGCAGCTTTGGGACATCATGAACATGTCACAGTTACTATTCAATTATTGAAAATGGAATTGGAATCAAGCACCAAATATTGAGAAGTGTAAGTAAACCGTACCATGATCATTTTTTTAGGTTTGTGCAAGAAGCTTGGGTTTTACATGTTGCTTTGTCCAACAGAAATATAAAGGTTATAAGAAATAGGGACTCTTTTAAAATGCAAGCAATAAGCCAACCTGTAAGTGAATTGACAAATCCAATTTAGTTGCTTTTGCTGTATGAATTTTTTATAAGCCTATCCATGCTCCTTAGAGAGTTTGGAAAATTATGACATCCATTTAATGGTGATTCCTAGGGAATATTCATGCAACTATTTTTTTGAAGATACACAGGCTTCATCTGGTCTTCGAGCCCCCCCCCCCCCATCTACATCTCCTCCACCCAACACTTCATGGGGCTGCCTTTAAAGACAGTTCAGAAGCTTTTGCTGGTACAGAATGCAACAGCCCAGGGATTGGCAAGAGCCAAATTGGGCATGGGGAACCTGTGGCTCTCCAGATATTTCTGGACTGCAGCTCTTGTCATCCGGGTCCATTGGCAATGAGGTCTGGGGCCAATGAGAGTTGGAGTCCAACAACATCTGAAATGCCGCAGGTTCCGCATTCTTGGGCTAAATGGTGCCTGCACTGATAACCTCAAGGCTTGATTACTATAATGTCCTTTGTGTGGGGCTACCCATGTATTTCAGAGGGATGCGGGTGGCACTGTGGGTTAAACCACAGAGCCTAGGGCTTGCCGATCAGAAGGTTGGTGGTTCGAATCCCCATGACAGGGTGAGCTCCCGTTGCTCAGTCACAGCTCCTGCCAACCTAGCAGTTTGAAAGCACGTCAAAGTGTAAGTAGATAAATAGGTACCACTCCGGTGGGAAGGTAAACGGCGTTTCTGTGCGCTGCTCTGGTTTGCCAGAAGCAGCTTAGTCATGCTGGCCACATGCTGACCCAGAAGCTGTACGCCGGCTCCCTTGGCCAATAAAGCGAGATGAGCGCCGCAACCCCAGAGTCGGCCACGACTGGACCTAACAGTCGGGGTCCCTTTACCTACCTGTGTATTTCAACCAGAAGCCTTAACTAGAGCGGAATGCAGCAGGCAGTCTGCTTACGGGAGCAGATTACTGGCAACAAGTTACCCCATTATATTATTGCTCTGTATTAAGGTTCTCCAAGACAACTGCCTTGCAACAGTCCCCCCCCCCCCCACTTCTCCAGTACTGGACACAGCATGGATTGCTGTGGTAAATTTCTGTTTGATTCCTCTAAATCACCAGGCCCATACAAAATGAATGTGATCATGTCCAAAGTTTATAAGACTAAGGACGCCGGTGTGCAACAGCCTTTGCCAACCTCATGCCCTCCAGCAGTTTTTGAATTTTTTTTATCAGTCTCATCCTTTATAGCCATGTTGGCTGAGGCTGATGGCAGCTGTAAGCTGTAAGCATCATGAGGGCGGCAGATTGAGGAAGGCTGTTGTGCACCAAGCAAAAATTATTAAATGAAACTTCTCATCATCTTTCCTCACCTTACCGCCGTTAAGTTAGTACGCTTGTTCAGAGGATAGTAATACATTCTGAGGAAATATATATAATAAAATGGCCAATTGTATCTTTTATTAGGATCTTTTGATCCCAAGAGCTCTCAGGGTGCAATCCTATATACACTTATCTTGGATTAAGGCCTGTTGAACTCAGCAGGGCTTCCTTCTGAGTAGGTCCATGTAGGACTGTAGTGCACTTTACCTTGAGCTCAGTGGGAGTTACTTCCAAGTAAACATGATTAGGATCAGACTGCACATTACGTAGATCTATGGCCAGACTTGTCTCAGTTCAGAAGAACCAAAAATATTGACTGCATGAAGAAAAACAAGCGAATTGACACAGAAGCTGATGCTACTCACAGCTTGTATTAACAAAATAGTTTACATGCTTCAAGCGAGGAAACTGCACCCCTCCCCTAAAAATTCTGTGTATGTGCCATATTTTTCCATTTAATTTTCTTATGCCTTGAGTATATCTTTCCCACTGTGGCAGATGCACAGAAGCAATCATGAGAGCTGCAGTATGTTTTCCCTGAAATATTAATTGTAAAAACTATTCTTCAGAATTGTATGTTAACAAAACTGATTGTCACACTGTGGAAATTAGGATGGTAATTTCCCCCTAAATAATACACAAAATTATGTTTTCATATGCTTTCCCAGAACCCTTTCATACCCATAATGTTCTCAATATGGGGCTTCTTACAGTATATTATAAATTAGCATCAATTACTATAGCTCACAGCATTGTCAGTCTAGAGACAGAGACAACAGAAGTCACATAACGTTGTACCACCAGATGCTAGGGGACACCTTGTGCACTTCATAAATTTTCAATTGAAAGGCACAGTTGCCAGTTAGAATAATTTATATCAATTCTATACAGGTGTAGTTTGTTTAGCTCCTATTTAGCCAATCACTCATAACCATAATAGCTGGTTTTGTTGCACCAAAGCAAATGCTTGGGTTTCCTGTTGTTGTTTTGCCACACTGTGAAACCTAATATACAACTGATACATGATTTGAGGTGGAGAAAGCAAGTCAATTTTATAGGGGTTATTGGCTGATTCCTAACTGGTCCCAAGACAGGAGCAAGCTAGCAGTAAATCACACCAAGAAAGTTGGAGTTAACTCTTTATTAGCAAAAACAGGATCTACACAGGAGTGTCAGACCTAATGAGCATAGCAACTCATTTCTGGCGGGACTTGCCCCCATGAAGCAGTTGCAGAGACTGCAAGTTCCCGCCTCCCCGCAGCTGCCTAAGTCCCCTCCTCTCCAGGGTTTTCCCCAAGCAATCTGACACAGCAACTGTGTGTAGCTAACATCTCCTCCACCCTTTTCATGACTCTCCTGGTTCTGGGAGACATGGGGGGGGGGGTGGGCAGAAGAGGAACTTGTTGCAGCAGGAGGGGAAGACACTCATGCCTCTTCAACAGTTGGACTCTGCCTCTTGACCTCCCTCCTCTCCTGCTTCAGCTTCTGCCTCTGCTTCTGGCCTCCTCTCTGCCACAGGCTCCCCCAGCTCACTAAGCCCTGTTACCCCTTCAGCTTCTGACACCTCCTCCTCCCAGGCTTCTTCCTCTTCTCTCTCTGACCACCGATTGTCATCCCAGCACCAATCCCCAGACTCTGAACCTCCTTCCTTTTGGGGGTTCCCCAGCTGGTTCCTCCCACCATTCCTCTTTATCCAACCAGTCCATGATATCTCATGATTCTTTGTGCCAGACCATTCCAAAACACACTGAGTTGGATCCAGATTTGGGGTTGTATTCAACACTGTTGTTCCACTTGCATAATAGGCTTTTGCTTGCACGATGGAACTTCCCTGTCCTCTCTTCTGCAGCCCCCACCCGTTCACTCTCGAAATGTTTTTCCACGTGGTTGAGAAACCCTATAGAACAGTTTTGTGGGTCCTTGAGGAATGGTGAGGAATAAGTCCCACTGCACAAGCAGAAGTCTTGAATAAGTAGAACAGCAGCATTGACTACAACTAGTGCTATTTTTCTAGAAAAAGAAGTGCTGGAACTCACCATGAACATCTCCCTCATTCTCTTAGAATGGCAATGGCACTCACCTGAGAGTTGTCAGAACTGAGTTCTGGCTGAGAAGAAGCCCTTAGTTTATTGCGCTTGGTCACCATTGAAATCAGCTGGGCACATTAATAACTTAAGTCCCGGAGATTTCTGTCTCCTAGATTTGAACAGACATATCCAGATGACTCCATGCTCTAGAAGAATGGCTGGAAAGGGAGGAGAGATGTAGAGAAATGCCAAAATAAAAGGCTACAGAAAGAATAATGTCATTATCTGGACAAGTCGCTTCTTGTACACAGTAAGACGCTATTTTAAAATGTCCCCAGGGTTGCAAGTGAGGATTGCTCATAGAAATAAACTCAGAAATCCAAGATTGGGAGCCAATGTGTACTCACACAAAAGACAGCACAAAAGACCTTAACAAGGAAAATATTTTTTTCTGGGAGGTTGATATATTTTTAATATTGCCATTTCAGAACTCAGTTTTGAGTCTATTCTTTAATGTAGAGATTTGCCTGTTTGTCCTATGTAGAATGTGGAAGGGAATTTCTGGCAAATGTCATCTGTCTTATCTGTTATATGTCTTTTGCACCTAGTTGGTACATCTTGGGGTTCCAGTAAAAAGTAAAGTTGATCCAAAAGTCTGCCTACCCCTAACATAGTTGGTAGCAATCAACGAGAATGTCACTGGAGATAGGAGGAAACATTAAACAACATTTGTACATGCATCTACAAAGCAACCTCATCAGTCTGAAAATTCTGTGCACATAATAATCTGAGTCTGAGAAAACCTTCTAAGGAAAGCGACACACACAAATTGTAATGCAGTCAAGCCTGAAGAGTAAACACACAAATTTGTATTCGAAACTACACACTATAGTGACATGTTTAGCAGCCACTATTATGATGATGATTTAATAGACACGTAACATAAGCACACCACTGTCACACAATCCTAAGGAATGAAGGAATCCCCATTTAGGATCTGTGAGCAGTGATTATTGATTTACATGGACCAAGTCTTCAGCACTTCTCTTTTGCAAAGAGAATCCCATGGCTTTTCCCAATCTGCTGCCCTCCGGTTGTTTTGGACTCGAACTCCCATCAGCCTCTGCGAACATGTCCAGTGATCAGGGATGATGAGAGCTGTAGTTCAGAACATCCGGAAGACGCCAGGTTGGGGAAGACTGCTCCATGGTATTCATTACATGACAAGGGCACAATACAAATTACATGCTTCAGAAGTCACCCTATGAAATCAGCAGCAGTAGGTGGTTTGTGATGTAAGCAGTATGGAAAGAAGAAGAGTTTGGATTTGATATCCCGCTTTATCACTACCCGAAGGAGTCTCAAAGCGGCTAACAATCTCCTTTCCCTTCCTCCTCCACAACAAACATTCTGTGAGGTGAGTGGGGCTGAGAGACTTCAGAGAAGTGTGACTAGCTCAAGGTCACTCAGCAGCTGCATGTGGAGGAGCAGGGAATCGAACCCGGTTCACCAGATTATGAGTCCACCGCTCTTAACCACTACACCATGCTGGCCCAGTTCCCAACCCTGAATCACACATAACATGTTAATATATGTTGGAACAACCTTGGGTCCCCAAATGTTGTTGGACTACAACTCCCATAATCTCTGACCACTGGTCCTGCTAGCTAGGGATGATGTCTTGAATGGAGGCAGTCTAAAAAGATGTGTCATTGGAGCATGTGGGGATAACATAGGTTCACTTCAGAGTTGGTGCCTTCTGCTGGGATGAACTCGAGCGAGATTTTGTTCTGGGTTGCTAATGGAGGCAGAGGAGAGGCACTGACAAGGTGTGAAGTTTCCCTCTCATGAAAGCAAGCAAGTGTAGCGTAGCAGTCTGGAAAATGGATTCACGTACCTTTTCAACCATAAAACTCAATGACCTGGTTTGAACACCATGGTAAGCCACAGTGTCTTACTGACACCACCACCTCCATCTCACTAACCTGGGGGGCCTGTGAGTCTGTGGTTTGCCTCGGGTGCCAAAATGTGTTGGGCTGGCTGTGGACACCACATACACCACCACAAGCCCTTTGGAGAAAAGAAGGCATACAAATGTGATTAAGAACGTAGAGCCTGCTGGATCAAGCGATGTCACAGCATCCCACCCTGACATTGGCCAGCCAGATGCCTGTGGAAAACCTGCAAGCAGCATTCAAGCACAAGAGCACTCTACTCTTGATTGATACATAGAATTGATTGATACATGAATTGTAGAAAAGAAGAGAAAAGAAAGAAAACCTAGGTAGATTTTAAGACTTAGGGGAAGTTAGGCACAACACTGCTGTATTTTTTATTTTATTTATGTATGCATTCTTATGAGTAGGAGACTCCCTTTCAAAAAATAAAGTCAGGCCTTTGGAAGATTTTGTCACTAGGACTGTGCCACTTGTTCCCATTAGTGCTGACTGGTGAACGTGGCATGTATTTTTTATTCTAAAATATTTATATTTGCAAACTAACATGTCACAGGACAGAATCAAAATTTAGCATCGCCGTGACTGTCTCTTGTTTCATTATTATCTCTCTGGAAGAGATCTCAGACACTGATGCCCTTGCAAATGTGCTGTGTTGCTTGGTAAGTTCGTTTTTATATCGAGACACAGGGGCTCATATTTCAAGTGTTACTCTCTGAATATTCCACCCAATAACAAATGCAAATCATAAATGTCAGCGCTGAAAAAGCTGGGCAAGACAAAAGAAACCAATAAATGGAATAAACTCAGGGCATATTTCCCTGTTCAGAAAATCCCTCCAATGCAGTAAAACAGCATCATAAGGAAAGTACATCATCTCACCCTACAAAGTTGCTCTTGTGAGCCAAGCTATGGCACCTCATTATCTGTTAAGCCAGTGACTATGGGCACAACCCAGAGAAAGTCAGGAATGCTAAATCGTAAGGAGATCAAGTAGTCTTGAGCAAAGACTAATTGCCAAAGGCTGCAACCCTAAGGTTATTTGTAAGTAAGCTGTACTGAAACCGGCGGAACTGCATAAACATGGTAGGACTTATTTTCAACAGGGTGATAAGTTTATCTGACTTTCTATTGCACTCAGTTTGAAACAGAGATCTTAGTTTAAAAATAAAAAAGAAAATCATGCACAGCCACCCAAACCCCCACCCAGGGAACACCACAGCCAGCAAGCTAGTGTAGCTGAGGGATCCAAGGATCAGCCCCCCACCCCCCCAGATCTGAAGTCGCTGGTTCCGTTGCCCTACAGCATCCTGTTCTGGGCCATTCTGCTTCCTGCTGCTGGCAGGAACCTTCCCTTTAGCACAATGTTTCTCAGACACTGTGCCTTGGGTCACTTTCAGGAGGTTCTCAGTGCCACAACCTATCCAGGGCTTCCTCAGTTGCCTGTTCCATCACCCAGCTGTGACTTGGGGCTGGATCAATGGGCTCCAGCAACTCCTTACATGCTAAGTAAATGTTGCTAGGAGAAATGTGGGGTGGGGAGGAAGCTAGGTTTCCCTCTCCTATGGGGAAAGGGCCAGAGAGAGGAGGTTAGAAATTCACATATAAGGTGGTTGTTATCTTCATCACCACCATCATCAGCATCTGGGAATAGAAAGGAAGGAGATAAGAGGCAAGCTGCTACAGAAGAACGAAGTGAATGTAAAACAGCCAGGAAGAAGGGATGAAAGAAACTTGCAGGTGTTGCGGGGTGGGGAGGAAGAGGTACACTGTGTGTGTAAAAAGAATAGGACAAGAAAATGCAGGAGATGGATAAAAATATGCTGAGACGCAAGTGCATGTGGGAAGGTAAAATATAAAAGCAAAGGCCTTCTCCACTTACAGCATTTAGATCATAGAATCATAGTATTAGAAGGTACCCTAGCCCAACGCCCTGCAGTGTAGGAATATGACACCATCCCGTACAGGGATCAAACGTGCAACCTTGGTGTTATCAGCACTACTCTCGGTATATTCTGCCGACAACGGCAGAGTATCTCCTGAGTAAATGCATGTACTTAGCTTGAGAGAAGATGTGCTATGGAACTGCTCACCACAAGGTAAATGCTGTGGGAAAGAATTGAGTAATTTTCAAAGATAGATCACTTATCAGAAAATGCCAGTGATTTCCAGCTGATTGTGTCAAACTCTCTGCTGCTATTTGCCACCATTTTGTGACAGGTGGGCCTCCGTAATTTTCAGTCTTCACTAGGTTTGAGAAGACCTTTACTAGGGATACTCCTCCCTAGCAGCAGAGAGAATAGGACACAGCATCCTTACCCCCTCAGCTATCAACATGGTGAGTGGTGTTGGTGGTTCTTATTCAAAAGGAAGCCCCTTTGAAATAAATAGGACACGCAACCTGATCTACAGTTCCTCAAAAGTTTTGGTGTCTTCAGTCGCACTTACTTCCAAATATGTGTGCATAGGATTAGACTCTGATCATAAGAGCTTTAAAGCCACTTTTCATTTTGTGCAGCAGTAAAAGGAAACTTGATGTGCCATTTGTGTAAAGCAGGAAACATTACAGGAACTTCAGGCATATAACTGACACACACAAGAAAACGATTGGCCATGGTGCGTTTTATGTTTTTCTGTTTCATGGTTTACATGTTGCTACAGCAAACACCAGTAGAACAATAATGACCCAGGCTGTCATGGTCATTCATCCGCTTGTCACAAAATCCAAAAATGGATTTGGATGTCAATCAAATTATTTGTAATGGGGAGGCTGATTAGTGATGATTTCTATACCACTTTATATATTTAAAATATATCTAAGAACTGTAGCAAACAACTGAAGCAACAACAAACAACTTAAACAAAATATTACAAAAATACAGGGTTACATATAAAAATGTTACAATAATACAAATTTACTAATATTGATGTAGTGTATATATAAGTAACTTTGTATTACTGCAACATTTTTATATGTAACTCTACATTTTTGTCAATCATTTCATTTACCTTCTGACACACCCTCCCTCTCAGGCTCTGGGTTCTTGCCCAGGGTCCAAACAAACTTTCAGCTCACGCACAAAAGTCTCACAATAAAGAGTTCATGTAAACAGCAGACATCACCCTAGTCTCTCACTCTAGATTTGCTTTTTATGGGCAGGTCCAAGTTGGATGGTACATCCTTAGGCTGCCCACAGCTGTGTCCCATTCAGCTGCACTCTCCACACCCAGTTCAGGTACAGCAGGTTAGTTGAGCGGTCCAGGGGGTCCAGAGGATGGAGAAAGGGCCGCCCTCCACTGACAGCTCTTTCCTCACCGTTTGTCCTCTCCTCCTCCAGATGCTGGCTGAGCAAGTGGTAGCTCAATTGCTTTAGATACACCTGTCAGGTTGTGTTTCTGTACGGCTTTCCTCAGCGATTTCTGTTTCCCTGGGGATGCCATGTGTCCTCTTTTTCCAGGACGCATCCTCTTTTTCAGGGGTAAAATTTGGGACAAATCGCATTTAGAGCCAGTGTGGTGTAGTGGTTAAGAGCGGTAGACTCGTAATCTGGTGCACCGGGTTCGTGTCTCTGCTCCTCCACATGCAGCTGCTGGGTGACCTTGGGCTAGTCACACTTCTCTGAAGTCTCTCAGCCCCACTCACCTCACAGAGTGTTTGTTGTGGGGGAGGAAGGGAAATGAGAATGTTAGCCGCTTTGAGACTCCTTTGGGTACTGATAAAGCGGGATATCAAATCCAAACTCCTCCTCCTCCTCCTCTTCTTCTTCTTCTTTAGTTGCTTTGAATGACCATCATAGCATCCTCCTTTTTGCTCTGCAAATTAAGGCAAACTGTAGTCTCTGGATGCCCATCCACCTTTCTGCAACCTATAATACCACTGGCCACAAAGACTTGGTGACTCAGCTACAGAAACTAACAGACATTCAGATGATAAGAATCAAATTGTTCTTCTGGGTTCCTAACTGGGACATCACAGAATGTAACAATGATAACTGCACGTTCTTTGCTGGGGTGCTACATGGTTCAATTTCAGAATGTTTACCATTCAACATCTATATATGAGGCTGTTGGCAACATTCTGCAAACTGGAGGCACAGTATTGGTAATGTCTTTACAGTCTTTCTAGTCTTGAAGTTAGACTGCTGCAACGCACTCTTTGCATGGCCAGCTGTAACACTATTAATAAGTACATTAAAAACAGGAATATACTTGCAGAACTGATAACTGACTACTCAATGTGAATTTATTGCCTTAAATTAAAGCAAGTGAAACTGTTTTGAAGGCTGTAGCTTAAACAGGATAATTGTTCTGTCTCCTGCTTTTTACCCTGACATTTGCCAAAACTCATGACTTAATTATTTTTTTCTGTTCTATAAAATTTGTTTTTGCTGTCCGAGGCATGTAGAGACACAAGATTTCCCCCTCCCCATTTCTTTTTTGATTCTAAAATGAATATAATGAAGTACCAATGGAAAGTAATCAGGTAGAAGCAGAGGAAAACCTCCCCAAATAAGGGCTGGAAGCAAGTTGTTTGCTGGGTGAGGCACCTTACCACAAGTAGCAGTTTTCAGCTTACCAACTTATAAATCAGTTCCTGTAGCTGGGAAATTTTTACTTGTGGCACCAGAACATAATGGGACATGGACCTGGGCATTTTCCGTTGTTGCCCTTAAACTTTGGAATATCCGTCCTTCTGTTATATGTGAAGCATCATCCACTATTTGCTTTGGACATCTTATAAAGACTAAACAAGAAATCCTTGTAAGCTGCTGAAAGAACAGGTGGAATTTAAGTAATTTGTGTGTGTGTATATTATTGTGGTGGAGCTATTTCTTTTAACAGCACCCTGGCTGGTAGAAATATACAGAAGTTTCCCCTATAATTGTGATTCCAAGGCAGAAAAGGCTTCAACTCCTAATCTTCTACCTGGCACAGGAGCCCCGCCAGAAAATATCTGGCAACCCTAGGCGCACAACAAGAAGTTCAGCTTCAGTTGCTGACTTGGCAGGCTGTGCAAAAAAAAAAAAAAAAGTTTGGGGGGGGAGGGTTGGCAACCCTGACTCGCACCAACGTATTTGAATAATTATTAATAATAATATTATTTGTACCCTGCCCATCTGGGTGGCTTCCAACAAAATATAAAAAATTATAAAACCTCAAAAACTTTAATTCAATTTCTTAAAATGTAAAACAACATTGTAAAATGTAAAATGATTGTAAAACAACAATAACAACCTCAAGGCGGTTTACAAAAATAAAATTCACAACTATACTTTAAAAAAAATACAAAAATATGGCATGTGTGTTTTAAATTAATCCCGCGCCCTTTAAAGCCAAGAAGCAAACAGTGCATTGAAGGAGATAGCAAAGATCCCACTTGAAACGGGACTGAGGGTTTCGCTTAGACATGCTTTGCCGCACGAGCTGGAAGCTCGCTTTGCTTCTCGCGACTTGAAAGGGAAACGCCAGGCTCAGAAAAGAGTGGGCTGGACCAATGATGCGAGGAACTCGGGGGGAGGGGGCGGGAATAGATCAACAGAGAACTTCTCTCCCGACCGCCCCCTCCTCTGGGGCTGTAACATTTGTCATCGCTCGAAGGAGGTCGGGTAGGAACGTACCATTATCGCAGCGAAGGGGTGCGCTCGCTAACAGTCCTCACGGGCGCATTTTCCGGACTGCAACGGGGACCGTTCCGTTTGGAAACGGAGCTACGGGGAGTTGAGTCGAAAGCAGCGCCGCGCCGCCGGGGCACGGTGGCGCCCGATGTCGCCGTTGGCCAGGACGTTGCTCCGTCCCCTCCCCTGTTTTGAGAGTGGCGATGGCTCGGCCCAACGGGTAACCGCTTCCTCCTCCACAGCTCGCTGCTGTTCTTCCCAGGGCTTTGCCGCCGCTGTTGCCGCTGTGGCCTCAGAGGCGGGAGGGGGCAGGAAGGAGGAGGAGCGGGGAGCCGCCGCGGTGCGCGCCGAGGCCCGTCTTCGCGCGGGGGCCCAAGATGTCGGTGGCGTTCGCAGCCCCCAGGCAGCGGGGGAAGGGCGAGATCACGCCGGCTGCCATCCAGAAGGTGGGCTGAGGGGCCTAGGCCGGGCCAGGCAGCCGAAGCCGGGGCTGGGGCTCATTACAGGGGGGGCGGGTGAGGGAGGTCGGCGCCCCGGCTCGCGCCTGGGGCTGCTCGGGACGTTGGGAGCCCCCAAAAGTAGTCCTTAGCCGTTTTAATGTGGCGCTTTTCCTTTCTCTTTCCCTGTCCCAACACCTCCCCGCTTAATGGAGGGGTTGCAGTTGTGGCAGCCCTGCGAGGTAGGCCGCTATTGTGACTTCCCCTATGAAGGGGTTGACGGGAGGGGTGGGGTAGAGGTGGCTTGAATATCCAACACCGACTTTCCACTTTAAATAGTAGTAATGGTAGTAATAATAATAATAATTTATACCCCGCCCATCTGGCTGGGCTTCCCCAGCCACTCTGGGCAGCTTCCAGCAAAATATTTAAGTACAATCATTCATGAAATATTAAAAGTTTCCCTAAGCAGGGCTGCCTTCAGATGTCTTCTAAAAGTCAGTAGTAGTAGTATTGTGACTTGCATTCGTCGAGATCGGCAGTGCGGTTTTAGTAGTAGGTTTAAAAGTGTGGGATTAGGACCTGGGAGACCAGGGTTCAAATGCCCACTCCGCCTTGATGGCCTCTGGGTGGCCTTGGGTCAGTCACTGCTTCTCAGCTCAGCCGAACTCAATAGGGTTATTTGAGGGTGGGTGGGGGTTAAATGAGGAAGGGGAGAGCCATGGCATGCCACTTGAAGGCCCTGAACGTGGGATAGAAATGAAATAAATGATAATAAATGTTGGAAATCGGGAAAGCTCAAGCAGTGGCCCCACACAACATAATCATGGAGTGGAAGAGAAGCGTAGAGCTAAATGGATTATAGGGGAGGGGAAGGAGGAGTGCATTAGCTGGAATTGCTCAAGAAATTGCAGAAAATCTTGTTACATGCATGTGAAAATGTCAGAGATGTCCCACTAATTATAAGTGATTCTCTCTCCTACCTCTCCTCCCCACCCCGAAGGCCCACAGCATCCAGCATGTTGCTAACTCATGATCTACTGAGGGGGGGGCACAAATCATTATTTACTGAGTAATATAAGAGCAGGCATTCAGGATTAACACAGTGGTGAAGGCAGAGTATAAGAGAAATCATAGCTCTTACCTACTGTTTCAGTATGAAAATTGGGGAGCAGTTGATATTAAAAGAACTTGCATCTGGAGGTGTATGTTTCAGCTGAAGTACTTTTACAGTAAGTTAAGTAGTTTAGAAGAGTGAAGATTTTAAAGAGTTGCTGTAAGTTAAATTGTTATGCTTCAGGGAAAATGATGGAAAAGGAGGGTGGGCTGGTAATGGAGAGGTTAGTAATAGGGTATGGGACTGTTAAGATGCTAAAGATATATTTGTGATGCAAAAGTACTGTTGAAAACTTGAGAAACCTGGTGGTGGAAACACTTGCAGAACTGGAAAGATCACTGTGGAAAGCATATAGATATTATGGTTTCTGGTGTTGCTTAATTCATGGCAGTGGTAGTTAACTAAGAATTTGATGGTCTGCATTCTTTTGAAGACATTGAGGCTACAGTTTTAACACCAATTCATTGAAGTCCCAGAACTGTTTCTAAATGGCTGAACTAGAAGTTACATTTCTTTTTGGGCATGGTGGATTTTTTAAACCATACAGTTTCATCTTAAGTCACCTCCTCCCCATCTGCAATATGGAACTAATAAGACTGATCTATCAGTGGTGGTCTCACAATTACAATAAGATAATATATGTGAAGTACTTTTATTTGCTCAAACTGGTGCTTGAGTATTGATTCTGTTCAAGTAAACTACACAGTTTTAAGTTCTATATTATCTCTGGTAGCTAACTTCATAAGTGTAGAATCAAGAATTTGATGCTTTTAACTAACTGAAGTAATATAAGTAGTTATAGTAGATTTTTTTGTCTTTTACAGTGACTGCATAAGACAAGAAAAATGAAGTGTCATAGCTCCAATTGACATTTCTTGAACGCAGAAATTCCTATTTTTTTCCTTCTAAAAATTATGAGTAAATAATTATTGTGGGGGTGGGGAGGGAAAGGAATAATCTATGTATGACTAGGAAACTAAAGTGTTCCAGCAGTTTTACTGCTTCAAAATACCTACGGTAATTGCCCGCACTTATTCAAATGAAGCTTCTTTGATTTTAGGTTGTCTGACTTTTCTAATTCTGTCATTCTTAATACCACTATTAAAGTTTAAGTATGCTTAAGATTGTGGTAGAACTTGAAGTTCTTGATAGCTAAAAGGGAAACTGGGAAAATCAGTTACATAGTTGCTGTACCCTCCCCCTTATTGAGGAAAAAGTACAACAGACAAATAGCAGTGGTAATGAAGCTGAACTCGGGATTCCACAAGAGGGACCAAGAAAGTTTATGATCTGGGTTGAAAAGACAGATTGTGACAAAATCTAGCTCCAGTTGAGATCAGTAATCCTGTTGCTATGATAGGCAGCGACTCTGAAAGGAGGAAAAGGTCTTTTGCTAAACTTTCAAAAAGAAAAGAGATTCGGAAGAATAGAGTTCAGTGGGTGCTTGAATGGATTGACCTTATTGAGAATCTGTTTTATTATTACAGATGTTGGATGAAAACAACCATCTCATTCAGTGTATAATGGACTACCAGAACAAAGGCAAAACTTCAGAGTGCTCTCAGTAAGTTAATTACCTGAATGTAATTCATGTTCACTCTTGCCATGTTCACTTTAACCATGCTCTAAAGTAATGTGCTGTGCATACAGAACAGGTTTTTCAGGTGCACAAAACACATTATGCAAGCAAGTGCATAATCTCTAACTTCTGCTTATATAGCATTATTGTACAGTATTGGTTGGTACAAGTAATATTTTTTCTGTTCAGTTAGCTGGTTAGTATATCTCAAACATATCCAACTGTTCAATTGTGATCAACCAGTAGATCGGGGGAGTGATCCTGGTCAATCGCGGGAATGTTGTCGCCCCCTGGCACTGGGTCCCGCCACCGCCACAGCAGGAAATGCCGGGCTGGACGGGAAGCGCAAGGGATGTTGCCCGGCCTGGCTGTGGCAGCGGCAGCTACAAGACCCAGTGGCGGGGGGGGGGGGGTGTGGCGACATTCCTTGTCTGCTTGCCTGCCCCCTGGCCTGGCTGCTGTGGCAGCCCCGGCACTGGGTCCCTTTGACAATGAGGGGGAAGGTGGGAGGGGGAAGGAGGGAGGGCAAGTGTGATTGGAATCCACATCAGCTGTGTGGCTCACTTTGACAGAGGGAGGAGGGGGAAGGAGGGATCAGGTTTTTATACTGGGAGTGGATCGCAGTCTCTTGAAAGTTGGATGTGCCTGGTATATCTGTTTTGTGACATGCACATACATATGTGTGGGCCATCATGGTGTAAAATTTTGAATAGGCAAGTTAAGACAATGGTGTGGTCCCTACAACCAGCATTACCCAAAAGACCTCATTCAACTATCAACCATCTACACAGGAATGTACTTTGGATATGTAATAAGGCTTTTAAGAGCTTTAAGATGTCAGAAGCAGCACCTAGAAGTGGTGCCTAAAACTAATTAATAGCCATTGTGTGGAGACCAAAATTTGAGTATTCTACATCAATTCCTGTTTCTGAGTTGTTTTTAAGTGTAGTCCAGTACAAAGTCTTCATAAGAGGCTGCCGTTAGAATAGCTACATGGCAGTTTTTGACAGTAGTGACATGAGAATCTTTAACCTTAAACTGTAAACATACTCTGCTTTTTTATAGTTATCAGCAATTGTTGCATACAAACTTGGTCTACCTAGCCACAATAGCAGACTCCAATCAAAATATGCAATCTATACTGCCACCAGTAAGTACCTTGTAAATACAATTGTGTGTGTTCTTTCTAATGTAAAAAATGTACCTAAAGAAAAGTTTAATCACAAATATCTGTACTAATTTTTCTGCATGGCATCTTCTACCTTGTAACAAACATCTCTGCCCCATATATCTCTATTTGCAGTATATTACTAAAATAGAACCTTGTGAATAACACTTGCTTGATTTCATTGAAAAGGCTGTAATTCTTAATACAGGATCAGTCATAATTAAAACCAGCCCAATTCAGATTGCTGGTTTTGACTTATAAAGTCTTAAATGGCTCAGGACCGCAATACCTGAAGGACTGCCTCTCCCCATATAAATGTCCCAGATTCTAAGTTCATTGGGGGCCCTTTTTTGTGTGCTTCCTCCATGTGAGATCTGAAGGGTAGCAACATGAGAACGGGCCTTCTCTGTAGTGGCTCCCCATTTGTAGAATGCTGCCCCCAGGGAGATTTGATTAGCACCTTCACTATATGTTTTTAGGTGACAGGCAAAAACGTTCCTTTGGCTGATTACTATTCCACAGCCTTTTAAATGTGTATGTGGGAAGGGGGATTCCTGTTTTGCTGATTTGTTTTACTTATTTACTTGTTTTTATTCTGTATTTTATTCTGTGAACTGCCCTGAGATCTTATGATAAAGAGCAGTATATAAATCTAATAAATAAAATAAATGATTAGATTGTACCTTTAGCACAGATTACCAAGTCTCTGTATGGATATGGTACAGTGATACATTTTGTTTTTAAAATATTAACTCCATGCAACTAATTCTTCCAGTTGCTGAAGGGCATAAGGACATAAGAAGAGTCTGCTGGATCAGGCCAAAGGTCTGATTCTCTTTTGAAGCTATCCTAGTTTGGTGGCCATCACTGACTCTTGTGGGAGTGAATTCCATAGCTTAGCGTTATGAAGAAGTACTTTCTTTTGCCCTGTATCTTCCCTGAGTTCTAGTGTTACAAGAAAGAGAGAGAGAAACTTTTCTCTATCCACTTTCTCTATACTATACTTAATTTTATACAGCTCTATCTTCTCTAAACTAATAGGTGCAAAGGTTATAATCTTTCCTCAGACAAGTTGCTCCATCAGCTTGATTATTTTGGTTTCCCTTTTTTGATGCAGTTTGGGATCTCATGTTAGGGTTTTCCATGGGGAAAGTAAAGCTAAATTCAAAGGTGTCCTTTTTTGCTTGCGTAAGAGGTTGCATAACTACTTGCACAAGTGGAAGCATGATAATTGCTATAGAATCTACTTAGCATAGCATTGCATGAGCTGTAATGCAACTTCTTCTCCAAGCACTTGCAGCTATTTTCCTTCCACCCACAGTTATTTGGAGCCAACCCATTTAATGCAACTTACCCTAATATTTGATTGGTTGAAAATGCCACTTAACACACTATGGTTGTGCCCTATGGTTTCATAGTACCTCATCACAAACCTTACAAGCCTTACAAGAGTTGTTAACCAAAAACACATCTTTGTTTTCTGTTACCTCCATGCTAGTTTTTGTTGCTGATGTCCCCAACACACCCTTTTCTTTACAGCACAGTGCGGCACCATCAACATCGTCTCCCCACTGCCCCCTCTTTTTCAAAAAATATTTTCTGTGGTGGCAGCAGCACCACTGCAGAAAACTTCTCTGGCACCTTGGTTCTTGGAGAAGACCAAAAGCCATTAACGAAATCCAGCCTTTCTGCGCAAGAATGCCTGTGGTGGTACTGCAGTTTGCCAGAGTGGCTTAAAAGGACTTTTAAAACAGAAAAAGTAAGCTTTAGAATTGTTAAAGTCTATCTAGCTGCTGTGGTCAACCAAACACCTAACCACCTTGCCCAAATGCCTGGCTCTGTGAAGGAGCCCTTTTTCCATTCTCAAGAAACTCCCAGGCCAGATAGGGAAGTAGAGATGGTGGCTAGCCAGCTGCCATGGATGAGAACCAAACTCGACTTCCACACGAAGTGATGCCTCTACACACCACCAGCTGGAGCCATTGAGTTCGTAGGTAGCAGGCTGGGCTGGTGAGGGGCACATTTTTAGCCAGTGCCTGACTTGGGCAACAGTTGGTGCCAGACCTGTTGTAATTGGGAGGTGGCGGAAATGGTGCCCTCTAGATGCTGTTGGAGTGCCACTCGCATTAGACTAGAGCATTGGTCATGCTGGCTTGGGCAGTTGATGGGAATTGTAGCCCAAAGCTTCTGAAGAGTACCAGGTTGGCTACTTTTGTTATTCATAATAAATTTGAACTTTATCCAAATACAGCTTGGAAGACTAATTAGGTTGACTTCTATTCTCCACTGAGCAGGAGAGGAACTTGGACTGTCCCTTCCTCCCACCCTCTTAAATATGCTGCTCTGGCAGGGAAGAAAGGATGCTATTGTGGCTGCATGCCAGCATGCCAGCTGCAAGTTATGCCAGTGTTGAGAAAGTTGCACTACACAGTGCTTCTTGCATCTGGTATGGAGCCATAGCAAAATACTAGATGTCTCTACCTCCCCTTGCTGTTGCCACAATTCTTTTTGTGCGGTGGGTGGGGAGAGATGGATAGATGAGTGGGAAGGGCGATGGGTTGTTGGGCGATCCAAGTTCTTTCTGCATTTGAGGAGAACAGTTTTTTAAGACAAATTCCAAGCTTGGCATGGGGAATTTGCCCATCTCTGCTTGCAACTACCTGAAATCTTTCTTGTACCTAGAGTTAAAAAATACGCTTATTGCAAAAGAATTAGAAGTTAGGCGATAAATAGACAATGGATGAAAGAGTGGAAGAAATGTACAGGCTAGGGCTTTTAAAAAATAGCTGAACACCTAAAGAAGAAATCTGAAAACAGATTCATTTATACTTACCTGTTTTTCTTTATAGACTTCTTGAAGCAAACAAATTATTTGTTCAGCCCTGTCCTCTGGGAAAATCTTACTAATATTCTTCAAACTTAAACATTCTGCTAATGTCTGAAAGAATAGTTGTCTTGACACTTTTATGCAGATGTTTATCTTAATATAACATCTTTAACATCCATGAAAGTCATAGCTTGCTTATTTAGTGTTTTTAGATGCCTTAGCTTTTTGAAAATTGGATCCAAACATGTTTTTCCTTAAGCATGAATAACTGTATTTATTGCATGGTTATACACATGTAAACCAAGTACGATTTTAAAAATGTTTCAAAAATCCTTATCCTATACTGGAGTTCTCTATTTAAAAGAATTTCAGAATCTTGTTTCTCTTGTTCCTGTATTTATCTATACACATTTAGTTCCAGTGTCTTAGTTAAAAGTGAAACTCATAGTTTCTTTCCTGTTATGTCTGCTTCTGGTAACTCAGTAACCCACTCCCTGACTTTCATGATCTGATAGTGGGTACCAAGGAAACTTCAACTCTTTAGGTAAAGAAGTACACTTAATAATCTTGTTTGTGAAAGATGTGTAAGTTTGAAACCTCAGTCCTGAACTTAGCTGTTCCACAAGAATGGCTGTATAGTTTCTTCAGGTCTAATATGCATTTTAGAAATGAAACTTAGGAACATAGGAATCTGCCTTTTACTGAGTCAGAGCATTGATCTATTTAGCTCAGCACTGTCTGCTCTGACTGGCAGAAGTTCATCAGGGTTTCAGGCAGGAGACCTTTCAGGATTTTCCCAGGATGGAGTTAACACAGACAATGACTTCTTTCCAGAACTGTGCCACTATAGGGCATGACTAGATTACATGTTTCACTGCCACCCCTGGTGTGCCACATTGACAACATATGTCTTTGGGTTCAAGATACTTCAGGTAGATGTGGTGAAAAAGGCCAAGTTTTGGTGGATTAGGTATAATAGAAGGTCCAAGAAACAAAATTTAATAGGGGCCAAAACAGTTTGCTATTGTCTCAAGTGTATAGGGCAGTCCAGCTGTCTATGCATCCCTCACATTGGCCATCCACATCACATTTCCCATTACCCAGTAGGTTTTTTAAAAAGGTAAGAGTGCGTGGGTTTTGAATAGTTTACCGAGGGTATGTGGTCCTCCAACAACCCCTGGGTTCAGAGGCACTTAAAGCTGCTGGGCCAAAACCAGAAACTAAAAAGTATTAAAATTGCAACTACTGTCATTCTGCTGCAAAGGGCAGGGCAGAAAGTCTTCCTCTCTAGGCTTACCTTTTTTTTAGCATGGTGACTCCCACCACCACTTATCACTTCCATTGCACCATCATGCCCCCTGTATGTACAGGGTTTACACCAGATGGTAAGTTTCCCCTGGGAATAGTGTCTCATGATTACTTCACAGGTCTGTTTACACAGCTGTATGATAAGAGCCTTCCCTGTTCGTGGGAGATTCTCATGGGAAGTATGATGGGTAGTCTGTCCTTTGAAGTTCCCTTCTTTGACTTTCCTAGAGGAGACTGCCATGCATTTATATACCTTTATTTTGCTTTCCCTCTAAACTCTTGCATAATCCTTTTGCTGATGTAATAGGGGAGTTGATTTTTGAAGATTTTCTCTGAAATTCTGCATACCACCTCAAACACCTCTTCAACCCTCCGGAGCAGATTTTCAGGTGGTTGGAAGTAGAGGGGGAATCAGCAAAACTTGCCTGCTTCCTCTTCTTTGAGTGCAATAGAATGCTCTTCCCTGAGCAGAATTTTTTTGCTCTATCCCAGTGTCCCTGCGGGAATTTATGGGATGACTCGCTTAATCATAGAATCATAGAATTGTAGAGTTGGAAGGGATGACAAAAGTCATCAAGTCCAACTCCCTGCAGTGCAGGAATCTTTTTGCCCAACTTGGGACTCAAACCCACAACCTTACAATTAAGAGTCTCATGCTCCCCACAGGCACCCTGAAGTCAGCTAGTTCAACCCCCTGCCACGCCGAAATCTCAACTAAAGCATCCATGACAGATGGCCATTCAAACTGCTTAGAAACCAGCACCTTCCTAGGGAGCCTGTTTTCATATTCAACATTAAAGTAAAATCCTGAATTTATTTTGTAGCAGGTACAGATAAAAAGGTTGACATTCTAAATAAACAGCCTATAAACAGCCTGAATTGTGAGGAGAAAGTCTGTGCCGGAATGGTCATACTGGAAGATAGTGCTGTGCTGCAAAGTCTTACCAGTCATTTAGGGAAGTTTAATATATCAGGAGAAGCAAGGCACATGCTGAAGAACTTGGTTAATGTACCACATGTATATGATGGGTATTTATTGTACTAACTTCTTCTGTTTCATTAAATTGTCTTTCAGCCACCCACACAGAATATGCCAATGGGTCCAGGAGGAATGAGTCAGAGCGGCCCTCCCCCACCTCCACGTTCTCACAATATGGGTTCAGATGGTATGGTAGGTGGGGGCCCTCCTGCACCGCACATGCAGAACCAGATGAACGGCCAGATGCCTGGTAAGTTTTTTCTCCAAGAAGACATTAACACCAGGGTTGCTCAGCAACTGAAACAACATGTGGGCTCAAGGGATAGAAGATTGTTGACGACAAAACTGCTTTGAATGCCCCCTGAGTACAAGCTCTCTAAGTTTGTTAGCTACAGAGCTATGTGACCTGTATTCTGTGTTTATCAGGCTGCCCTTGGGCTTTGATGTAGCTGACACACAGCATTCCTCTGAACAGAACTGGCTAAATTTAGTCTGTCTGAAACCATACAGTTACAGCTGTGTTTAGAAGGCTTTCTGAAGAAAGGTACTGGCCTGTGGTTGAATAAATTCTCACTGAAAGATTATCTCATGCTATCACATCTAACTTAGTGTGATATGTAAGAGGTGAAGCTGATGGAAAAGTCACTTAGACAGAAAATCTAATTTCTACTAATCTTCTCTATGGTACAATGGCGGGGGGAGGGCTGTATATCAAGCAAGTTGTCTACAATACCTCAACATGATTTTTTCCGTTCTAAACTTGAAGTCAAGTTTTTATTACAGAATAAAAGTGTGTGACATGTCAGTGCTTGCAGGATAAAAGCAAAACAGTGTTTCATGTTTTTATCAGTTTTATTAAGCTGTATTTTTCTGGGGAAAGATTGGCAATAGCACACAAAATGTCATTGAAGAAGGAATCCCACCCTACTGTTTGAATACCATAACAACACAAGAAAAGCCATGCTGGATCAGACCAAAGGCCCATCTAGTTAAGCATCTTGTTCTCACAGTGGCCAACCAGATTACTGTGCGAAGCTTGCAAGCAGGATGTGCAAACAACAGCATTCCCTCCACTTGTAGCTGGTATATGGTATATGGAGGCATATTGCCTCCAAGGATGGAGGAGAATGCAGCCATTGATGGTCCTATACACCATGAATTTGTCTAATGCTCTTTTAAAGCCATCCAAGTTGGTGGCTATCGCTACATCTTGTGTCAACAAATTCCATTGTTTAACCATACCACTGTTTTAACCATTTCGGGTATTAATTAAAATGTTTCAAATCTGTATAAACGTGACTTTGGGTCATCAATAGAGTGCTACATTCAGCATGTACAAAGCTTTAGTCAATGTAGGAAATGCTAACAGTGATGCAAAATGTTACTTCTTTTGGAAGGGCAGTATGACTAAATATGCAGGAAATTTCAATCTTCTAAGTGTGTTGTGTTTAAGTGACAAACCTTATTGAGCAGCCTAGATGATTTTTAAATGAGCATCATAGCTCTGTGATTGTGTGTTTCAAGACATTAATATAGAAATTATTTTTCTTCAAAGGACCTAATCACATGCCTATGCAGGGGCCTGGACCCAACCAGCTCAACATGACAAACAGTTCCATGAACATGCCTTCAAATAGTCATGGGTCCATGGGAGGTTATAATCATTCAGTGCCATCCTCTCAAAGCATGCCTGGACAGAATCAGATGACAATGAGCCAAGGACAGCCTATGGCAAACTATGGTCCTAGACCAAATATAACCATGCAACCAAATCAAGGTAAAAGAATAAATTTCTACTCTTTATTATTATTTTATTATTTCTCTTTAATTAATTTGTATACCACCCTTCATCCAAAGATCTCAGGGTGGTTCACAGCATAAAATTCCTCCTTTTCATCAAATAAGATAAAATGATTTCAAGGTGTTTATTTGGAACTGAGTTACGCTATTGAAAAGTAGAGTTGGTTTCTGATCTTTACTTGTTGAAAATGTCTGAAAAATAGGTTTTTTTATCAGTTAAGAGTTCAGAAAAGCAAAGTGAGCCAGACAGAGCAGCTGTGAATCCAAGCAACTTGGATTTTCTACAGTTTGCCACACAGTGAAAACAAGGTTTTTGTGAACAACTGTTTAAATCATAGCAGGTTTTAGTCTGTAGGTAGGAAGAAGTAGAGTTGGCACACCACTGTGATTATAATAAAGAGAAAAGGTACCTAAAATTATATGTTGACAGGTTTTCCAAATCTTTCACACAGAGGACCTGAAGCAGGGTTTTAGCAAATTGTTAAAGCAAACACAAGGTTGTGTTGCAGGAAATCTTAGATTATAGTCTTCAAGATCCTGTACTATGCTAGATCAGCTGAAGCCAATGAAACTTTTCTAGCATATTCAACACTTTACAGTATAAGGTTTGGCCATCTTTCTTTTTGAGCAGGTTCTGCCTATCCCTATATGTTTTTGTATATTAACTACTATATTTTGCATATTAGCCTTAAATTACTTTTTGTTTATCTTGTAGAAAAAGTTTTGCAAGACATTTTGTGTTTCTGGTGCCCCAAAATTGTTATTTGTCAAAGCTGATAATTAGAAAAGTTAATGTTTCTTTTTGTTTGTCTTGAATGTAGGTTATAGTTAGAATGAATGCATAAAATGTTGCTATGGCTTTTCTCACTGTAGGCCCAATGATGCACCAGCAGCCGCCTTCTCAACAGTATAACATGCCCCAGGGAGGTGGACAACATTATCAGGGACAGCAGCCACCAATGGCAATGATGGGTCAAGTTAACCAAGGAAACCATATGATAGGACAGAGGCAGATTCCTCCATACAGACCTCCACAGCAAGGTAAGATTCAAAGTTGCCAATTTTACCACTTGATTAATTAACACATAAGAAAAACTTTCAGCTGATTTTCTTACCTATATCCTGTTCTCTATATTCTTGACATACATTCTGTATTTATCTAAATTTTTCAGAGAAGGCCACAAAAGTTTATAGTACACAATTTTACGTGTGCACCTGCCTGCTCTGTTTATCATTTCAGGCCTAAAAGAGTTAGCTTTTGCAAAGCTTTTCTGCCTCAGAACATAAAGGCAAATCCCCAAACAAGTGGCTATTTCCAATCCTGTACTATTATGTTTTCCTCAAAATAGTACTTGAAGCCAAAAGGTCACTATTTTGGAATTAAATGTTGAAACCTGTTTTTTTCTGTTCTAATTTTCATTTTTGAATCAAAAATTATATAAAAAGATAAAACTTCGCTTAAATCTATGTTCAGTATATGGAATACTGTACAATCTGTACTAATGTAGAGTGGAATTGACAAGTTGCACACTAGACAAGATGAGATGGTTTTCAAAAACTATCTGCTTTTTCTTTTCTTTTTTAAAGAGCAACAAGTATGTATATATATACACACATATATAGATATTGTCTTTCTGTTTTTAGAAATTTATATTCGCATCATCTTGGGTATATAATTCAGTCAAGTTGCTGTATATATATAATACATACCTGTTTAGTCACAAAGCATTAAGTATGCTTTCTGAAACACAGTGACACGGGTGGGGGAAGTCTTAGATGAGGACTGTTTCTCATAGTAAACTGAGAAATTAGTGAGCGTGCTAACAGAGAAAATAAGTTATTTACATATTGACTGGTTGTGGTTTTTCAGGCCCACCACAGCAGTACTCAGGCCAGGAAGACTATTATGGGGACCAATACAGTCATGGTGGACAAGGTCCTCCAGAAGGCATGAACCAGCAATATTACCCTGATGGTAATTTCTCATAATATTAATTTTCCCATTTTACATACCTGCCCATTACCAGTTATATATAAAGCTATTTGATGAACAACTTTTAGCAGCTGATCACTAGAACACTTCTTATATTTACTAAAGCTTGTAAGTTCAGTAATCTGAAACCCTATGGATAACTTTATTTTACAGCTCACTCAAAGTATAAACTTTGTAACTTCAGTTCTAGTACCCTGATACAGATTTTATCAGAATTCCCTCTTTTGGCTCAAGATATATTAAATTCTTCACTGTTTGTAGGACACTTGATGCAGTCATGTATTATGTCTGCTTTTCAATATCATTTTGCTTATAAAAAGAAATTTTAAAGCTCAATACTTACTTAAGAGCTGTTAACAAAACAACCAACATGCTTTCAAAGTCTTTTCTTTCTGTGTGTTTTAAAGAGCAAGCTGCGGTTGCAATTACTTTGACCCAGTTCGTGGCTGCATTCTATGCTTGCATTGCAGAATTCTAGATAACTCCATTTTTCCTTTTAACATTTTTCTGCTTTTGGAAATCACATAATTTTGGGAAGTACAAATTCTGGCTCTTAGCATTGTAAAATTTTCTCGTAAATTAGAAATTCTTATTGTATATTATAGGGAAATGCAAGGATGTTCCTCAGGAAATGAAATTTTTAAATTCAATTTTAATGTATGGTAGTAAAGGCAAATTAAAAATATATTGATGGATTCATTGCTGCTGTAAGAGCTAACATGACACTTTGTACATTAATTTGTGGCACACAATATAATACCTTTTTCAGAGCAACTATTTGTTGCAAATGAATTGTGTGGTGTGTTTTTCTTAACGTGTTCAGATAGAATTTGCTGATATTTTACCACATTTTTATCATTCATCACCATCATATTCATGGTTTACTTAATCCACATGTCAGGAAATCAGATTTCCACACCCCTAATTATGGTTCAAGTTAGAGCCAGTTTTGTAACATGTAAAAGTATGGTAAGGCAGAGTCACACAAAAGCACTCTTTCATATTCTATCAATCACTGCTACAACTTCCCCCTTGGAAGTCATACTGTGTCTTATCTGGCTGCTAGATGTTATGCACAAGACCAAACCAAAAGTGTAAGCTGCCAAGAGAACGTGAACTATAGAGTGGCTTATAAATGGTATAAAATACATAAAATTATGTTTTCAGCTGTGGCATAAGTAACTTTTGTGAACATTTTCTAAAGTCCATTTGCAGCTAGATGAATTAGAGCCACTATGTTCTGCTCTGTTCTTTTCTGTTTGGCAAATGCCAGAGTTGTCTTGTATAACATGATTTGCAAATCATGTCTTTAATTATGAAAAGGTATTTTTAACTGACAAAAAGTAGCAGGATATGGAATATGCAGTTGATTAAAATTTGGGATACCTATAATCAGGAATGATTTTATATACAGATAGTAGCCACAAAAGTTGAAAGCATTTTGAAAAATGTACTACTTTTTAACTAAAAGAAGCATATTATTACTGACCATGGTCAATATTACTTAATGAAGTAGATTTCTAATTACAAGCAGGAGAAATATGTGAGAACTTAAAGCAAGCATCAGGTAGGATGTTTCTTTTACCAACTGGATCCTAATGGCAGGTGTCCATAGCATTTACTCATTGCGCTTATACGATAAAGGAGAATTTGGAAGGAAAGCTGTCCTTTCTCTTGTGTCCCCCCGCAAAGGATTGCTGTGGATAATAGTTACATTGGGGCAGGGGAAGATAAGTATTATTTTTTAGATATGCCGTACAAAAAAAAAGCAATGAAGTTTTTTGGAAGTTCATTGTAGTGTATGCTGCTTTTAGCAGCATATGGTTTTGAATTGGAAATCAGTAGAACAGGTGTATGATAATTGGTTTCTTTGTTCATTCTAATTAAATTCAGGTTATTTACATGTGCAAGGACTAAATGCTTTTATTTTTATAAAAAAAGACAAAAGTACTCCCCACCCCCCCACAACAAAGATGATCAGAAGCTTAAGACTATCCCTCACTGTGATGTTGCTAGAACTACTTCATTAGCTGACTTTTTCATATCACGTGTTAATTCCGTATAAAAGGAAATCCTATTGGTAAATCCTTCTAAATCAATTTGAAGGTTCTTTTTAATGTATTTCCAGCTGACACTGATTTTTCAGTAAGATGAAAACTTCTTAGGATTTTCACTCAGAGGCCATTAACGTTTCTTCCTGTCTCTTGTCGAATTGATGTAGGTCATAGTGATTACGGTTATCAGCAACCGTCGTATCCTGAACAAGGCTACGATAGGCCTTATGAGGATTCCTCCCAACATTACTACGAAGGAGGTATCTATATACCTTCACACACACATGCGCACATACATTCCTTTTCCTCTTCCCTTCCACAAAGGAACGAAATCTTGCACAATATAACCTATTTCCTGCCCATGCAAAGCTCTTGTAGACTACTAGTCGCTGGCTGTTGAGAACTGCAGGGAACTTGAAGCATTCAAAATAGTTTCTTGCAACATCTAAACCTTAATTTGTCATTTCTAACAGCAGTAAAATGACTAAAACACCGTTGGCATCTATTCAAATCGTACCTTTTTATTTAAACATAAATCCATTGGTCCAGTTGTATATTTTGTGTGTATGTGTACATACAAATATAGTGCCATTAGGAAACAGCTTGCTGATTTGTGTAGCTAGTTTGTGCTCTGTAGCTGTCTTTAATTTTGTCCTTTTTTTATTTATTTAGCATAGTCATGGCATTATCAAGTCATGACATCACGTTCCAGTAAACTTAATGCTCATTTGGCAGAGATGCTGAAAAATGCTGCAGTTTAGCCTTGCAAAATCTGGCTTTAACTGCAGTTTGTTTGGCCTAATTCCTTCTGTTTTGGTTTGTTTGTTTTCTTGGTTTTGTTCAGTTTTTGAGATCAAGACTGGATTTTCATTTTGTTTTTGTGGTGTTCACTGTGCATATTAAAACAAGTGGGGAAAGAACTAGAAAAAGTGCCTTTAACTGTCCTTGCTTAACCTCATGTTTCAGGAAACGCGCAATATGCTCAGCAGCAAGAAGCCTACCAAGCACCACCTCAGCAGCAAGGCTATCAACAGCAGCAGTATCCAGGTCAGCAAGGTTACCCTGGGCAGCAGCAAGGTTATGGTGAGTAAATATATAGTCAGGGGTATACAACCTATGGCACTATATAGTTGAACTTCAACTCCCATGAGCCTTGTCCATCATGGCCAATGGTCAGAGAGGATGGGAGGTGAAATCCAGCCATTTTTGGAAGGTTACAGTTTCCCTATCACTGGGCTTTCTGCTTTTAGTTTACTTCTTTATCCTTTTGTAGCTGTCTGTGGAACCAAAATGTCAATTTACCAGCAGCAATAGAGCATTTATGCACCAACAGTCACAGAAGGTTCAAATCCACAGGCAGTTTATAAAGCAGGATTATACACACACTCCCCATGTGGCTATGGGGAGAGGATGGGGAGTTTTCACTTCTGTTATTAAACTAACCAGTAAACCATATGCCTTGAAAAATTTGTTTTCAGATAACACTTCTCCACTCTGTTAAAAGTAACATTTGAAAGCAGCAGTTTCAAAATCATTTTTGACATCCTTTGGCTCAGTTCCCTTCCTACACAGTAATTGGGAAGGACGTAGGTAGAATATGCCTAATACACACATTTGAATTGCCATTATTTGAAAGTTAGTCTTGTTTATTTCTGTATAACTTCCAAGTGAAATAAACTCAAGATCACAGCCTTCATGGTGTTAATTTAAAACAATATTTTTGGTCTCCTATAAGTTCTGAAATTGAAACAGACTGTGATAGAGTGCATTTGTGTGTTTTATCTTTTGCTTTTATTCAGATTGAGCAACTCTCAAAATCAGTGTTGCTTGATGTGCTAGTTTTTCTAATTTCAGCATCTCTTAATGTTCTCTACAGCTTTAATCTGTTTCGTACATAAATAGAAAGATCAGTGTCTAACCTTGCTCTGAACCATTTTGCAATATGAAGTAAACATAATATAGATATTTTCATCCTCATTGAATGCCTAAGATGCAGACTGCAATCTGTGCACGCAAACTGAAGGTCACTGAAGTGAAGCTTCTGTGAACAAATTTCTGCCTGGTTAAGGAATTCATTGGGTTGTATCCAATGCAATATTCGTACAAGGATGCTTATATAGAGGGAATTATGAAACCCCCCCTTCCCACTGCAGCCCCTTTCACCCTTGAAAAACTTTCCCCAAGACTAAGGCATCAGATGCCATTGGGGGCGCTGGCAGAGAATTGGGTAGAGGTAACTTGCACTCTCCCAAGAGTGGCTGGTTTGGTGTGGTGGAGCTGCCCTCCTAACACACCTGTCACTGCCTTCTTACCTGAACAATGCTAGGGCAGGCTTGGGACCATTGGGCTGACACTGCCAGTGTGCCTGCACAGCCCTGCCCCTGCAGCATCTGGGTAAGTGGCAGCAATACTCACCCTGCTGTTGTCGTCTCCTCTTTCCAGTATCCAGCCTCCCACTGCAGCCCTCTTGCTCCATTTGCTAGGCCTCAGGAAATGCTTTTCAGGGGGCTGCAGTAGAAAGGAGAGAGTGGGGAATTTAATGTGTGTAAGCATCCTTTTGTTCTTACAGCATTGAATGGACCCGACTGGTAACAGTCAGTGTTGCCTATTAAACAAACATGAGGCTGCCTCAATCATACCAGATCTACAAGTAAGGGTGTTGTTGTTAGTAAATTTTTATACCACCCTACATCTAAAGTTCACAGGGTGGTTTACAGTATAAAGTTGTAGGTCAAGGATGATGGGAGTTGTAGTCCAGAAACATTTGGAAAAACAGATTCCCATCATCCCTGAATGCCAGCTGGAGGAGATGCTGCTGCGGAAGACCAGTACCTTCTTAAACTCAACTTTAGATAGCTTTTATAGCGTGACTGCTATGTAATAAACATTGGTCAGCATCCCGACTACTGCAGTACTAGTACTTAGTGCCCAAGAAAGCTTTTAGCAGGTGTTCCTTGAACACCAGTCTTTCCTTCCACATTGCTGGCACCATGTCTAGTTTTGAAACAGATGGGACTTCCAAGTGTAGTTTGTGATATGCCGTGAGAGTTTGCTGTTCAGAGGAAAGTTGTCAGACATCACGCTGAGCATCCATTTAGGTGTCTTAAGGTACACCATTGAAGTGATATCCTCTATAAGGCAAGCAGGACAAAGTGAGCAAATCTGTCATCTCTGGAAAGCCTTCCCTCTACAGCCCTTGTTGTTGCATTGGCAAGCAGTGTTCTGTAGTGTACTTATATTCATTGTGAGACTTGAATTTTAACTTAATTCCTAGCTGCTGGATTCCATCCTAAACAGCATTCTCTTTTAAACAAGCAAATAACATAGTTTTATTTGAAATGTTAATATTACTGTATTTGAGAGAGACTAGATAAATCAGTGATCTGACCCAGTATGGAGGCCAAGTACTGTGGATGTAAACCACACGTTTGCAGCTTTTGTTGAACAGACTTCTTTAAGCAGTATGTATTTTTTTTCCTCGGTAGAGCAAAGAGGATATTGGAAGGTATCGGTGTCTTTCACCAGTGCAAAATGACAAATGTGTCAGCTTGTAGATACATACTCACTATATGATATGTAACAAATATGCTTCCTAGTGTTGGATCAAGTTAAGTTAATAACTGCGTAAATAGACTTGGCTATATACTAGAGTTCCCCTACTGATTTTTAGATATTCATAGCTCTTTTAGTTTAATTGGATCCTGCAGAGTCTTTATAGGAGGCATCAAAGAATTTGGACACTAGATCCCAACAGCTTTGTTCTAATGTTTTTCCCCAATTGTAGAACAAAGAGATTCCGCCACCAAAAGCTATTGAAAAGGCGGATAGATTGGAAAGTGACAAGTAAAGCTTTGAAAAGAGTTTCTTCACTTGTCTTTGGTGGGCATCTATCTGGTAGGCTCATAGCCACACTCTTACTGCCTGCCAGAAAGCAAAAACAACAGGGTGTATTTATTAAGGGGGGAAAGGGTTGTATTCTTTGTACTTTTTTCCAGAGTTTAAACAGAGGGACATGGTAATTATAATTTGGCCTTGATAAGTCACTGCTATGAGCTCAGCTTAACAAAATTGTCATGTTTGTAAAAGAAGAAAGATAAACATATAAAATGACTCGTATCTTTCAAATCTGGATAGCAGAAATTATTCTTGCAAACCTGGAGTTATAATATTAAGCAAGGAAGAGTCACAAACTTTCTATGATTCATGCGGAAAGGTTGCATCATTTAGGCCTTCCTTGTTTAGAGAAAAGGTGAATAAGAAGGGACATGATAGAGGTGTAAAATTATGTGCGGTGTGGATAAAGTGGATAGAGAAAAGTTTGTCTTCATTTCACATAATTGTAGAATTCAAGAGTATCCAATGAAGCTGATTGTTGGAAGATTCAGGACAGACAAAAGTATTTCACGTTGTATTTAAGCTACAGAATTATCTCACTTAAAAGGTAGTGATGACCACTAACTTGAATAGCTTGTAAAGACGATTATACAAGTTTATGGAGGTCAAGGCTAGCAATGGCTACTAACCACAATGTCTGTTTTTTTACCTCCACTGATGGAGGCAGTAAGCCTCTGAATGCCCATTTTTGGGAATCCCATGCAGGGAAAGTGCTGTTGCACCCAGTCCTGCCTACTGGTTTCCCCATGGCATCTAGTTGGAAATGTGAGAATGGGATGCTGGATTAGAGGGCCCAGTTGGTGTGATCAACAGCCTGTTCTGACTTTTTGAAAGAAATAGTTTGATGATTATGATTTGTTTCTGACTTTGTAGTTTTAATGTTTGAGTTGATCCTTGTTTAATTTTGCTCTATAAAATATTTCAGGTCCTTCTCAAAATGCTCCAGGACCTCAGTATTCCGGTTATCCCCAAGGGCAAGGGCAGCAGTACGGAGGATATCGGCCTACGCAGCCTGGGCCCCCACAACCACCACAACAGAGGCCTTATGGATATGACCAGGTGCAGTTTTTGTATTCCCATTTTAATATTTTAGCTTTCAATTTGTCATTTCAGGTACAAATTATTACACATTTCAGTTTTCAGTCTTTGCAGGCTTATCGTGTATCCTCTTTAGCCCTCTTTGAAGGAACAAATTGGTTACAGCTAATCTGACAAAATTAATGTTTAGTGAATTTACTGAAAGTCAAATTCTAAAACAAAATTCAAAGTTAGTGTGCATTATTGTTCTCTAACAAATGCTCAGCTGTGCAGTGTGCCATGTAACCCTCTGTCCTGCAGTGGATGCAGGTTGGTTTAATGCAACACCATAAAAACTTCCCTTATAGCTTTATCTGTCTTCTGACTTTTATAATATTTCCAGGCCACATAGAATCAAGAGGTGCAACTCTGCTGTTTTATTTATTTAAAAATCATTTCTTGTCAGCTTTTACAAAACACTCAAAGTGGCCTGAGTAAAATTAAGAATACATAAAACAATAAATTTAATTTAGCTACTGGGCTTTGGTGTTGTTCTTAGATACAGGTTGTATACAACTTGCATTTTACTCAGTGTATACACATTGAAAGTAATCAATTAATCAAGTTAGTCATGTTCATTAATTTCAACTTAAATTACTCAGAATAAACCCATTGTAATTAATGGACACTAAGTTATGCCCATTAATTTCACTAGGTCTGCTCTGAGTGAAACTTAGTTGAATGCATCCCACAGGGTCTACTAATAGAAATACTTTATTGTCACTGTACCACTTGTTTACAGCGAGATTAATTATTTATATTTTTATATATTTATATATTGTATTTTTATTTTAATTGTAAGCCACTGTAGGAACACTGTAGTTTTGAAGGTGCAGGGTTTAAATATGGTGAACAAATCTGCCGGTTTTGTTGGAATGTCAGAACAATAAGTTAAAGTCTGAAGGTCTTTATTGCCAGTTCCAGTTTCTAAGAAAATCAATAGTGTCAAGTTTACAATTGAAATTTTAAAACAAATCCCATTTGCCATTACTTTAGCTTTAGAAGAAGTGAAAGTTCAGGGGTATGTGCAAGTCTTATGACTTTGGGACATATTCCAGGTGTGTTGTTTTTTTCTAGGAAAATAAGGAAACCAACAGTATATTTACATTCATTCTCTCCCTCTCTCTTCTTAGGGGCAGTATGGAAACTACCAACAATGAAAGAAAAACAAAAATCAGGAAATAACCAGTAAATTTTAGCAGCTGTATTGCCTCTTCAGTATTGTGGACATCTCCTTTTGAAGAGAATATTCTAGTTTATCTAGTTTGGGAAACAAGAGAAACAGAAGAAAAAACAACCCTGCATTGTTGATAAATGGCTGCTTTTCAGTATATTGCCTGTCTGGACTAGTTTATAAACAAAAGTGATAGTCTTTCTAAAATAATTTTGCATCTGTACTCTAGATGGCAATATTGGACAGAGAATACTCAATTTTGCAAGGAGCTTAGAACTATACATCAAACAAACTGTTACAAGCTGAAATGTGTGAACAGCATTGTATGTTTATGAAGGTTAAGGGAATTTGATATTTTTCCACAGATTCTTTTGTAAGGGGAAGGGGAAAATTTTTACAGCAGCAATATTTTATATATTATGTTTTTCATATGGAATATGCAAGGCAGTACACTACGCACTGGGCAAGGTCAGAAACCCATATAGATTGGCACATGATGCATTCTTTATTGTGTTAGTCTCATTGTTGTATGAAAGAGAGATGCTCAACCTACATTCTTGACAGACTGGTATGCAGAATTAATACCCCATCTATTTAATGACAGGATGATCATGGACAATAACACAGTCTAGTATAAAGAATTAATTTTTAAATATTTTGTGCAAAGCTCTTTTGTAAAAATGGTTTCTAGCAGTGGCAATTTTCTGTAATATTATTATTTTGGTAACAAGAAAATGTTCAGATTGGATTTGTAAGTGTCTTGTAATGGTTTCACATAAATCAAGCTGTGATCTTTTTCTGATTGCAGTAACAAGGAATTTTAAAAAGTGTTCATTTAACCTGGCTTGAATATACAAAGTATTTAAAAACAAATTATAGATAGGTCGACATGTATTTTATTTCATAAGTGTATTTAACTTTTAGTAGGAACATTTCTATGTAACAAAAATAGTATAGGCACTTTTGTAAAACTCTTGTCTAAACTTTATCATATGAGAGTTAAGAAAGAAGGCATTTGTTGTTTTATGTCCATTTTCATACTGGTTAATATGAGACCAAGACCAGGTTCTAGTGAGGTTTTTTAAAATGCCAAACTCCATTGTGAACTGCATTAATTTTTAGTGTTGTGTGTGAGTTAGCCATCACTTGGATTAACAGCAGAGCCATAGAGAACACAAAACTGTTTGAGATCAACCTGCAATTGTTTTCTCAGGTGCATCACCATAGAGTGTGTTGCACAGAAATACATGCATTTAGGCTGTCTTAGTAAATATTTTTAAAAATATAACTAAAATTGGCCCAGGAGTTAGATAAGTTTATTATGTGTTGCTATATTTTTACATGATAAGCTGTACCTGAATGCATAAGACATAAAAAGATGCATTCCTCCATAATTTTAAATTCAGAACAAATTTCTTTTTTATATTGGTTCAAATTAAAATCAAGTTTTGAACTGAAAATGTGAGGAACATAGGTATGAACTAAATGCTTCTAGGTTCTATGCCAATTTCCCACCACTGTGTACTTCATTGCTATTTAAAACTCTCCTCCATCAACTCTTAACAGAAGAATAAATTATTTGTGATTTTAATTTTTTCATTTGCTCCTTTAGATTAGATCTGTTTCACTCTGATATTTCATTTGCAAGCATTGCTGCAGTTTTTTATTTTGTAGTTGTTGGTGCAGGATAACCAAATAGTATTTGTATTCTAGAACTTTATCAAAATTCTCTTCCCATAGCCAAGTTAATTAGAATTAACTGTTCAGTAATCAGTATGTTGTTGTGCGTAGGCTGTTTGTTACAAAATTCTCTCTGAAAATGATGGTCCATGAGACTATAATCAAGATGACTGAATTAGATAAATGAGTTGAGACAAAAAAAACATGCTGAACCCAACCTGCTATAGATATGTTATCTCATTTAAAATAAGCTCAACTGACATTAAGAAATAATTTGTCTTTCCAGCCGATCTTCTGTTGTCTTACTCTCATTTTTAATGGAAACTAAAATTGCAGTTTTAATAAGCAGAATTTCCTCCAGGGTTTCTCTCCAAGGGAATAATGCATTTTCAAGGTTTAATTGTTTTATAACGGTCCTATTTTGTAAAAGTTTTTAATTGGTGGTGACAAACATTACCTTATTCCTATGATATTGTGTTAAAACAACAACTTAGGAGATGGCTTCCCTTTGATTATTGGCATTTTGTTTAATGTATTTTGAAATCTAAACGAAGTAAAATACCAAGAGAGAAGAATACTGCAAAATGACAAGTGTGATAAACGGTTGATGCAAGTGGCTATTCTTTAGCAAATGAAAATCCAACCCAAAATTTTCTGCCACGATTGGCAGAAAAATATAAATTACATAATTATGGGCAGAGGAAATCAATAGTAGCATATAATTGGGGGGGGGGGTTTCAACAGAAGTATATTATTTACACCTGAATTTTTAGGGATATATATTATATATATACAGCAACTAGGACTGATGCAACTTGGGAGTCCAAGAATATCTGGAGGGTACCAGGTTGACTACCTTAGTTTTATACAATCATGTATACACACATGCACACACAGAATGAAGTTGATGTAACATGATATCCTATGTTAAGAGTAGGATTTCACCATTCTGTTGTAGTGAAGTGAATTCTAGTGTGCTATACTGGTGATTTTTATATTTATTAATATAGATTTTCAAAAGGCCTTTGTCAAAGTCCCTTGCCAAAAAAAATATAAAATTGGAATAAAAGCAATGAAGGAAGATTAGGATTTTGCATGAAACAGAGGAATTAATGGGGAAAAAGATAATTGAAATGTACTACTAGTCTATACTAGTCTTTTTTACTAGTCTTAATTACTGGTTTCTAGTGTCATTTGTTGAAATTTTATCTACAGCTTGGGTTGTAGGTCTATAGTAAGTTATTTCCAGCCTTCCCTGTTGGAACATTCTTTTCCCTGGAAAAAGATAGCCATGTTGTCACCAAACCTTTGGTGATTTCCTGAACACATAAACTTAACAGTGCTCACAGTGGAGCAAGGATAGGGAAGAAAACTTTACTGAAACAGTTGTAATTAAGTAACGGGATGCAAAGATAATTAGGAACTTGATACAGATAAAATCATAAGAGGGACTGGATATAGTAATCATATCTGACCTGATTGGTGGCTTTCATCACTGGGAAGAGATGCTAGTGGTGGCTTTCATCACTGGGAAGAGATGCTAGAAGATTGTGCTGGTTATGAATGCTTGGCTGTGATCTACAGTATAGCCAACAGGGCTAATAGTGTCCGCTTCTGATCATGAAGCCATATTGGTTTCCTAGATTCTCTAGGAACTTAAAAGAAACTTGCCCCAAAGGCTGCAAATGCCCTTCTTGCACCTCCTTTTTTTCTGTAGTCAAGGTGCCTGCTCACTAGCAAGTGCTACAAAAGCCAATATACTCATCAGTCTAGCTCAGAATTGGGGAACTTGTAGCCCTGCAGTTGTTGCAGCTCCCATCAGCCCTTGCTGAAATAGCCTGTAACTTCCATCACCTCTGACCATTGGCTAGCAACATCTAGAGGGCAACAAGTTCCCCCTCCTGCTGCATCTCATCGTCCTTCCTTAAGTCCAGCAGCTGTGCATGATTGTCTTTGAAGGGGCATGACTCCTTGTTTGAGCACTTTGTGTGTCTGTAATCGTTCTGTATAGGTATCCCACTTGATAAGATTCTGGACTTTTGTACAGCTAACTTTTCTATCAATTTTTGTGCTAGCCACTCTGCTTTGGGGAGCTCAGGTACTAAGGTCCAGAGCATTAGTATGAATTCTTTGCATGGTGTCTTGCACTTGTTCTCAGACCTGGCAGGCACAGTTGATGCACTTCTCCCTCTTCGCTGCATGACAACGGGTAGTTTCAGTGCCAGTGCTGTTCATAGCTAAAATCTGCCCCATTGCACCGCACTTTTTGGGGTGCCCATATTGTCCTAAGGCTCTCGCCTAGGTGCCTCCTTCCATGCAAGATATTCTACAAATCCAAATGAAAGATTCCTTTTGCACAAGTACTAAGGCAAACGAGTGATTCCTACCTACCTTTTCCTTGGTACTCTTGCTTCATAGTACGTTTAGATAATGGGCTTCCACTTTCAGGTTCAGGTCTCCCACTGCTATTGAGCAGCCAGACTCATTCCACTTGGAACTCGTAAGGAGTTCATCTCTCCAGGGCCCTTGAAAGTCCTGCCAGAAACAAAACCCTACAGGAAATAGGCACATTAAAAAGGTCTTCTGGAGATAAGTGGTAATTATGAGGTCAGCCTGAGACTGATCATGAGATACTGCATACTTTTGCCAAAAAAGGACCTACCATGGTTTGGGCAGGAGAGCAGTCTTTCCTGTTCAAAGCAACATGGGTAAACATGCTTTGGAATTGTGTTGCTAGTAACCGCCACAAATAAATTAATGTACATGGAGGGGTGGTGTTTTTTATATATATCTCCATTCCCCCAGCATCTGCAACAGCTGCTGTCTCAGAGTTCTAAGAGCTAGGAGCTGTTGCTACCATCTGCCCAGTGAAGCCTACAAGACGCAAGGAACATCCTATTCCATAAAGAGGACAGAAGAGAAACTCTACCAAAACAGAGTAAAATTATTTCCCAGTTTTACTCTGCAAACCTTTGAAAACTATTCCAAATAAATAGACTTCCGGGTCAGCGCCATTGGTGAATGGCGGAGTTCCTCCGGCTGGAGGAACGGGCTCCGTGGAAACTGGGTCTTCCCGCCGCGGCAAAGGTGGGGACCCGCTAGAAATCCCAGGCAGAGGAAGCCTGGGAACGTGGGGTTCGGCAGGGCACCAGAAGCGCCCCCCTACTCGCGGGGAATCCCATTTAGGGGCTCCGGAGCGAAGTGGGGTGAGAAGCGCGGTGCTGCGAACTGACTGCTACTTTCACGGAGTGAAGCCGCACAGCCATTGCCAGAGAGCGCTGACTTTTTCCTGTGGACAATTGGACTTAAAACAAGTACCCGTGAGTAGAAACGGAAAATTGGATCAAGAAATTGCTTAATTTGGTATCGAAACGGGAAGGTGCAAACAGGAAGTCCGCCTTCCGCTTTTTGTATATAGACTAAAGCAAAAATTTTGTAAGCTAAAGCCGGGAAAGCTGTCAAAAAAGCCTAAATTTCCTTCATTCAGAAGCACTGAAACCCCCCTTGGAAGCAGGAGAAAAGGGGGGGGGACTCTGTTTAACCCTAGCAGGAGAGGGAGTGAAGAAGGATAAGTTTCCACCGTCTCTAACCTGGGAATGGGGTGTCAGAGACAGAAACTGTTGAAGTGGAGTGGCTCATTGACTGTGAATGGAATACTTTGACAGATAGCTAATGAAGAGAGACAAGTTGATTCTAATGTTGCCTTTTGCATTTTAAAGAAACAAAATATCTGAAAAACATCTGAAATATCTGGAAGTAACTTTCCTTTGCCTTAAAAAAAAAAATGGATACAAAGAGAAATTGTCTCCTCTAGAGGGAGCTTGTTAAATTGTTGCTGCAGTATACTTGAGGATCCAACATCTGTGAGATTAAGATCGTGGGAACAGTCTTTTCTGACCTTGACCAAAGATGAGCTGGGAGGAAGATTGGGTGCTTGCTTTATGCAAAACAAATGCCTTGCTGGAACAGATGCAGGAGAAGATGGACTTGATGAATGAGAAAATGGATTTGACTGTTGTGGTTAATAACTGTGGACAAACAGGGAACATTGATACAGAAATCATCCAGGGACCAACCTATGATTCTCTACTGACTGGGCAAGTGCAGATGACGATGAAGGAAGATGCGGTTGCACCTCAAATAATTCAAATGGAGAGACCCGAGGCCCTACAGGAGCATAAGCCGCTGTCATTGAAGATTGAAGTTGAAGTGGGCCAGGGGGAGTTTGGAGATGAGGAGGTTCCTAACTTTGGAGAGACCTTGAAATATGACATTAAATACTTTTTGGATTATATCGAGGACTGTGGGGAATGGGTGGGCTGGATGAAGGGAAATGGAGACAATTTTGGGTTGGAATCCCCCAGAGACCTACTCCTCAATGAGAAAGGAAAGAAATTAAGAAAGAGACCAACAAAAGACAAGGAAAAGGGCAAATATAAACAAGAAGAAGAAGAAATGCAGAAGGGACATGGAAGAGACTTAAGGCCCTCGGACATAAGGCTTCCAGGTTGATGGACTAGATGGAATGGATAGTAAGGACTGACACGATCCGAGACCAGGAAGAAGAGATGCTGGATGACGATTGAAAGAAACTTATAAAGGAAACTTTTTATTTAGAATTAGCTTAATGAATATTAGGGAAAATGTTGGAATGAAACTATATGACTCTAGCAGAAATGATATCAGGAGCTATGTATATTTGAAAACTAAGATTCAAGCTTTAAGGTATTTTGGGGTAAGATAAGGTTAAATAAATTAAGGTAATTTGAATAACAGAATATGGGGAAAGATGGAAAGGATTTGTTGAGTTAATTATTAGGTTAAATTGTTAAGATATATTTTTTAACAAAAATTGAGAAAGATGGAAAGAATTTGCTGAAATAATTAATTAAACTAGAATACAAAAAGGGAGGTGTGAGGAGGTCAATGAAACAAGCAAATGGAAATTATAGATATGCAATTTGGGATTTGTGTCTTTCCCCCCCCCTCTTTTTATTTTTATTTTGCTGTATTGGTGTATTGGTTTTTATGTTCTGTGTTTTTCTCTTTTTTTATATTGTAGTGTTGTTCTTTATTTTGTCTTTTTTTGTAATTTTGAAATTATTAATAAATATTATTATTTTTTAAAAAAGAAAACTATTCCAAATAAATAAAATGGTCAGGCAGGTAGAGTGCTCTCTCAATGTTAAACAAAACAAATTTCTTATGCTATACAAATTGTGGAAGTCATTTCCCCTCCCCCTTTCACCAGTAGATTTCCAAATGGACCTTATTAAGTCATTGAATGGGTGTAAGAACCACCGTGTGATCAAAGTGTCTATCACTACAAACCTGTGGTTTTGGAGCTATTCGTGATTGACTTTTCACATACGCTGTCTTCTAGTTTAGTGATATGATGATGGTGATGATAATAGGATTACAGCTCTGCAGATCAAAATCACTGAGATGACTTCAAAATAGATGCTTCCCATTGTAACAGTTTCCAGTGCTGGTCTGCCTCAGCAAAAGCAGCAGATGTGTGGTACCTTTAAAGGCCAACAAAATTATTATGGCATGACCTTTCATGGAGTACAATCTAGTTCATCAGATACATGAAGTTTTAGCTTCAGCTGCAGCCATATACCAGTAGTTGTGTGTATAATGAATGAAATGAAACACAGCACAGACAACTGCTATTCAAAGTGGTCAAAATTCTTGAAGCACCTGAAGCAAAGTTACAGTGTAGGAGAGAAAGAAACCCAAAATGTTGTGGTGCCTTCAAGACTTCTTGATATATTTTGACATAAGATTTTACAGGTAACAGCTTACTCTCTCATGAAGTAGCAGTCAGAAAATAATAGATTGACTGATTTAATGGACTGGATTCTGAGAAAGTGTTTTCAGTGACCCAAGCTGACCATACTTGCTCTGGATCCAACCAGAGGCATGGGACCCACACTGGAATCTCACGTGCTTCAACAATGAACATAAAACCCATAAAAGAGTGGTGGCTACTTAGCCAATCTCACATATTTGTCCAGTATCAAGCTGCATGGGGAACCAGTCCCAAATGTGACACAGACTTTAACTGTATTGCCCTCAGCAGAAACACGGGTAAGCTCTAAGACCCATATGTTAACCTGATGCTGTGCTTTGTGGGGCTTCTTGGGTTGGAGAAAAATGTTCTACAAAAACAGTTATAATGCACAGATTTAGTGTTTCTTAATGGGATTTCTGAGGCCCATAAGTAAAGAAAAATGTCCAATTTTTGAACCCCTAGGAATATAGTTCCCCAAGAAAACATTTAAGCTGCTACATAGCAAAGCACTGAAGAGTGAGACTAAATTCAAAAGAAGATCATGGCTCTCTGTCTTTAAAAAGAAGGGAAAATCCTGATTTGCATTACTCTTTATTTCTGTATTTCCCTCTTCACCACCTCCACAGCAGGTATGCCTGTTTTAATCCATACAAGTTAGTACTTAGTCTTCACTCCCACATAAACACAATCATTTTGCAAACATGTTCTAATATTAATTACCCCCTTGGCACTAAAAGTCAGGATTTCCTGATGTAGCCCACTAATGTAAAATGCATTAGTGCAAATGCTGTCTCCAAGAGTTTAGATTTAGATTCTCTTAAATAAACAGTGATTACTTCCCCCCTCCTCGCTCTCTCTAAAGGGAGGGGGGAGATCTATACTATTATCTGCTCCAAAAGTCTAGTTTCTCAAACAAAACTTCTGCCAACCAACACCTTTGATCTTTTAAAAACAAAGTTTTAAAAACAATTCAATATCTAGAGAGAAAATTGTATTTGGCTTCTATTAAAGAAGGTGGTGCTCAAGTTTTGAAGTCTTCCAAAGGTCATCTGGTTGGCCACTGTGAGAACAGGATGCTAGACTAAGTATGGACCTTTGATCTGATCCTGCAGTGCTGTTCTTATGTTCATCTTAGATAAAATGGACTGTAGGAAGAAAAGGCTTCAAGTTGAGACTGTAGGGGTTGGAACGAGACACATCTGCCCACTCCAAGTCGCCATATGAATGTGTCCTGTCATGGGATTAAACTTCCAAATTTATTTTTACAGTCAACTGGGGTGCGTCATAGCATTTTTGTAATGTTCAACAACTTAATGCAATTTTTTAAATAATATGAACTTTTAAACAGTATACATAGAAAGATGCATAAAAGTAATTTACTCGTCAAGATCAAATGACAGACTGAGATTCTGCAATGTATTATGATTATTAATTTTATTACTTGCGAATTTCTAAAGCCCTGGTTTACAGGCCTGCTCAACTCTTTATAATCAATGCTCTGTGACCGTATAGATCCATCTATAATCATGCAAAAGACTGCAGCCATACAGAAAGCTTCCAGAGACTTCCAAGGTATTTTGACACTCAGTGATAGCACAAATATTGCAGTTTAATACAGATTTCCACTATTCTTTTGCCCTTTGACAAGCTCACCAGCAACATAGATGACTTGCTCCCATAAAACTACACTTCTAGGCTGTAATGATTTATTTTTAATGGGTTTTTAAAATGCAGACATGATATTTAAGGAAAGTGTTTAAATGAGTTCCTTTTTCCTCCTTCTCATTTGGGCAGCAGAAACAGTGTGCAGGGCCAGAGTTGGGTTCAGCCAGAAACAGCGTCTATCTGCACAGGTGAATAACTGTCTTAAAGTCTCTGTGTGTGTGTGTATTCCTTTCCCATTTGAGTTGTGTTTTTTTGTGTTATTTTTAGTCCGATCATACGCAGGAGAGGGAGCCGATGGTGCCAAAGCTCAGATTAGAAATGGAAAGCAAAGCCGGAACTGCTCTGAAAATCAGTAGGTGCTCAGATACGACTGTGCCGAGTGTCATAGAAATGCCTATTAAAGCACCATCTTCATGCTCGGAAGAGCAGAACGAAGCAGTTAAAACCTTGGGCTCTGCCAATTTCCCCCATAGTTTTTGTATGAAAATAATATTTAAGCTGAGTTCTACAGTTCCAGATACTGCTTCTTTCTCGAAGCGAGGTGGGTGCGGGCAATGTTTTGCTCGTGAGGCAAGCGGCACGCACACCGAGATGCGCCTGCAATGGCAGCACTTTCAGGCAGGAGGGCCACGAGAATAGAGAGATCTTTCCTACCAAGCCTTCAGAATAAGAATAGAAGGCTGCCTGAACTCTCGATGGAGAGCTTAAAGGGAGAGTGAGTGGAAGAATGATTGGCAGCAGGAATCGTGGGTGGCATCGGAGTGAATGATAGCTGGAAAGCATTGAGGAGGAGGAGGACAGTTAGGAAACAGCTGGACATTGAGAGGAGACTGTCTTCAGGGTTAGTGAGCAGGATCTGAGAGAGAGGAAGGATTGATTAAAAGGCCAGTGTTCTAGATAGCTGTTGAAGAGGAGGGCTAGTTGTCAAGCTAAGGCATTTCAGAACCATTCTTTCTTATTTTATCAAATTGCTATATCTTTTAGGTGCTATTTTCTATTATAAATACGTTCAATGCTTTTAAATATCTGAAGGTGCTCTGGTCTGGAGGATTCTGGGAGAGCATATTGCACCCCCTGAGCTGGCTTTCTTTTACATAGACCAACCTATACCTGAGTCCTGCTGTTCTCTGTAACTCAGTATGTGGTGGTAGCAGGTCATTTGGGACAGTTTTAAGACAATTCTGTATTTCATAGGGCCCCTAAATTGCTGACCAAGTGGCCTCCAGTGACCAGGACCCTGTAGAGGACTCCTGGAATATCACAGAAGGTGAAACAATGGCTCTTTCAATATTAGATGCTCGCTGGAGAAAGGTCCGTCCAGAAGAGATGGAACACAAGGGGCAGCCAATCTGCTCCAACAGAACTGTGGCTGGGTGTATGTTTGCACAGGGGATAAGCGGCACAGCTGGTTCAAAGGGATCTGCCTGCCTTGAAATGACCACAACACTGCAAATGGCTTCTGCCACCCACAGCAGATAGCAACAGCTGGATGATTATAGTAGTTGGCATCTATATTCCGTGTTCAGATACATTCCCTTTTATTCAGCTATGCATTCGAAAGAGAGTGGGAGAGAAGAATTATAAGTGGTTACGGGCTCATATTTTAAGTACTGCATCATTTGTCTACCAGGACTAGAAAAAGCTGAATAAATAGGGCAGATTGGGCTCCAGAAGGTTGTGGTGTGACCAAGCTTGGCTCAGCCCTGAGACATTTTGGTTGCAGGATCTAGCACAGCAGTATCTTGTCCCTCAAGTTGTCTACATGAAATGGCTTGGAGAAATCATCAGTGGATTGGGGGTGAGGTGTAATTGGTATGTGAGAGACTCCCAGCTCTAGGTTCTCTTTTTTAAACTGATTATGGCGAGGCAGTGAAAATCCTGAACAGTGAAAGTCATAGCTCAGTGGTAGAGCTTCTGTACTGCATGCAGAAGGTCTCTGGTTCAGTCCTTGGCATCTCCAGGTCGGACTGGGAAGTCCCCTGCCAGAAACTCTGGAGAGCAACTGCCTGTCCTTGACTAGCTGGACCAGTGGTCTGACTCAGTATAAGGGACCTTCCTATGTTCCTATACCTGGAATCATTTATGGACAGAATGAAGGCTAATAAATTCAGTCTGGACATGGTGCAGTTGATGGACTGAGTTGAGGAAGACGGAGTTGATCCTATTGGCATCTCATCTTAAGCCCATGCTTCTCAAACATTTTGAAGTGGAGCCCACCTGAAAATTTACTCAACCTTCCAGTACCCACTTATAAATTTACTTTCACTTTTCAAAACAAGACACAGACACTGTTAGTGGGTGGTTCTCTGGTCCAGAAAAGTGGAGTGCAGCTGGTTTGGAGTTTCAATCAAGTGCCCTCAGACCACACTCTAGCTACCTGACTGACTGCTATGAAGAATCACTTTTTGTGGTACAGGACTAAAAGTGAAAAGTCTGGAAACTCATCAAAGGATAAATTTGGTATAGTATGTTAAGATTAAATAAGTATTTTTCTTGGCCTCTTGTAGAAAAAGAGTATGAAATGGTTCTTATTTCTTATTACACTAAGGTATCCTCCACAGGCAACAGATAGCCAAGTAATAAGAAAACTTCCACTAATAAGAAAAAGGATTTAAAACAAAATATGTTCATTCTCCCTCAACATAGACCATGCAGTAATAGCATATATTGGCCCAGTTTGCAACAATTCAGTCTGCCAGCTCTTAAGACAGTTTTTCCCCCTTATAGAAAAAAATGGTATTCCCATTACCAGATTATCACCCACCATCTGCTGTATAGATTCTACAGCATTCTCTGAATGTATACTTTGTGAGGATCAAAAGGCTCCACATTAAAACAGTAAATAGCAATAAAATAATAGTACTTGGTAGTAAAAAAAACCCCAAACCTGGCAGCGCCAACCTCTCTGTCTTTGAACTATAAACTACTTCACCATTTTACCCTTTGATGACCGACTACTATAGAAACTCGAGAGCCAGCCAAGTGCAGCAGGATTGCATTTTTAATGGGGGCAAAAAAGAAAAGCACACCTTGATAGGTATTGTTGAGCACTGGGTCAAGACTAAGTTCACTTCCATTTGGGTGTATTTTTTCCAGATCGCAGGACTATTAATTTAATAAACCAGATGTGACAGTCACATGGAACCTATGCGTAGTCCACATGCTCATTTACAGACGTCTGTACAGTGGTACCTTAGGTTAAGTACTTAATTCATTCTGGAGGTCCGTTCTTAACCTGAAACTGTTCTTAACCTGAAGCACCACTTTAGCTAATGGGGCCTCCTGCTGCTGCCGCACCGCCGGAGCACGATTTCTGTTCTCATCCTGAAGCAAAGTTCTTAACCTGAAGCACTATTTCTGGGTTAGTGGAGTCTGTAACCTGAAGTGTATGTAGCCCGACGTACCACTGTATATGGGAAGGGTGACATGGCCAAGCTCTGCCTGTGGTTCTTATAAGCGCATCAGAAGATCCCTGCTGAATTAAACCAAAGACCAACGAGCCCAGCATCCTGTTCTCATAGTGGCCAACCAGATGACTATGGGAAGCCCACAAGCTAGTCATAAATGCAAGGGTGGTCTCTGTACTTGTGATTCCCAGCAACCAGTCATAGAGGCATATTGTCTCCAACTGTGGAAGAAAGACATAGCCTCCTTGTCTAGAGGCTATCGATAGCCCCATCCTCCATGGGATCTGTATTCTTTATCAACTTATGTGAGTCATACTTTATCGTGGCACTCCTTCATTTGTATGGTGCCTATAATGTCCCAGGCTTTATAAAATAAAATAAAATATTCGGAATATTGTGTTATATTTGATTGAAATGTAGCTTGATAGGCTGAGGTTACACATTTAGAATCAAAACAGACATATTTATTTTATATGCTTACCTAAAATTTTTCTATCTTCGGTCCAGCAGGACTCCCAGAACAGCTTGCGGAGAAAATGTAAAACAAGGAAAAAACCAAAAATCAATAAAACAATATAATACATTCCTCAATGCAGCAAGAAGCATTCTAGCATTAAAACAGAACTTTACACTAATAGTCCTGAAAGGGTAAAACACTCCACACTGCATGCTGAAAAGAAATTGGACTTGGCAGCCAGTAAGTAGGACTGGACCGGACATAACATTAGGCACAAGGCGGGCAATGCCTCAGTTGGCAGATGCTGGGGAGGCGGGGGTGAGTGGTGGCAATGCATTGGGAAGACAAGGCTATGTGTGCCATGTGGCTTGTCATTTGTCCCCTAAGCTAGTCTACTGCCCTCAGGTTGAGTGGAGGTGTAGCAGACTCACCCCGCTAAGTGCCCCCAATTAAATATAGTGGACCCACCACACAGTACACCAATTAAACAAATTTCTACAATATACCACAAGCTAAAGGGACGCGGGTGGCGCTGTGGGTTTAACCACAGAGCCTAGGACTTGCCGATCAGAAGGTCGGTGGTTCGAATCCCCGCGACGGGGTGAACTCCTGTTGCTCGGTCCCAGCTCCTGCCAACCTAGCAGTTTGAAAGCATGTCAAGTGCAAGTAGATACTGTAAATAGGTACTGCTCCGACGGGAAGGTAAACAGCGTTTCCGTGCACTGCTCTGGTTTGCCAGAAGCGGTTTAGTCATGCTGGCCACATGACCCGGAAGCTGTACGCCGGCTCCCTCAGCCAATAAAGTGAGATGAGCGCTGCAACCCCAGAGTCGGTCACGACTGGACCTAATGGTCAGGGGTCCCTTTACCTTTACCTTTACCACAAGCTATCTTGTGGGGCTCTTGTGTGAGGGAAGCTTCAATTCAGGAAGTCTCAGACGAGGTCAAACAAGAAAAGTTTTATTTACAAAAACAAAACAAAACAAAACCAGGGAAAACTTATTCACAATTAGGTTCACATTTGGACAAATCTCTCGGTGGATGGATTGAGGGGTACAGACCATTGAGGGACTGAAGTAGCTCATAGGTCTAGAGCAGTTCTTCAAGCACATCCCATCCAATTCCAGCTGGCTAACAAGAGTGAGGGAAGCTGCCAGCCACCCCCACAGCCATCCCTGGCTGGACTTGAACCACCAACCTTTTGGCTAACCTCCAGATGCACTGACACATTGCATCACCTGTTGCTGAAGTAGTTCAAATGTTAGTGTTGCCAGAGTGTGAATATTTGTGACTAAGCTCTCTTTTCCCAAGTGGGGCTGCAACTGGTACACCAGCATTAGTTTTGTGCAACTGAAGCCATTTGGGCACCTGTGAAGTCAAGGCTGGATCTAACAGAACATCCCTGTTGTGAATCTGATCCTTCAGCGGAAGTGCAATGCCATCCAAAACAGACTGAACATCACCTCCCATTGAAGATATTGAAGTCATCAAGCAATGGACTTGCTCATGTGAATTCACCTTCACTCTGTAAGCCGTTTGGCAGAGTCTAGAATGGCAGTTCACCCCAATGGGCGATTCTATGCTACAATCTCACTGGGGAGAAGAACTACCTTCGAAGAAGTTGCACTGTGCCCTGCAACTGTGTTAGGGAAACTCCACCCTCTTCAGGCCCAGCATGGGTGCCAATTTGGCTTGCAAGGTCATTCTGCACAAACCACACCCACCTGGCCTGCACCTGATATCATACGTGACATCAGGTGCAGGGCAGGTATAGCTAGGAAGGAACATTTGGCAGCCTACAGTGAACTTGCAAGTGGGGCTCCCTGCTAGTGTCATTCAGGTGATTGGCACTGACAGAGAGCCCTGCTGGGATCAACTACACCAGGGGCTTGCTTTCTTCATTTGTGGGAAGCTGTTTGGATTCTAACCACACGTGTTTGCAGGGCTGGGGTGGAACTCCATTCAGATAATGTGGTTAGAGAATTTCTTCATTTAGAGCAGGTTTGGTGAACTTTTGGCCTTCCGGATGTTGCTAAATTACAACGCTCATCATCCCTGGCCACTGGCTACTCCTCTGTAGAGGAAAATATATTTTGTTTGAAGGACAAATTCAAAGTGGACCTGTAAATGGATTTCATAGAGGCTCCCTATAACTATTTTTATGTTACACTAACCAGGTGGTTGGTGCTAAAAGTATGTCTTCAAAGGAGGTTGCATTGACTGTGTCAATGAACTTCAGGGTCAATTACAGGTGTCTTTAAGAGGGCAGGTAACTGACAGGTAGGTCCACCTGTCAAAGTTGGCTTGTGGTGGTTGGGAGACCTCTGGCCTGGAGTTTTGCTATGATGGCTGTTCATTTTGACTGCCAGACCCCCTGGTGTTCCTCCTGCTAAACTATTTATATTAGCAGTGTTTGTCTACCTTGCTATGTTAAAATTCTGACGATTTAAAAAATGCATGGCTGTTTCTTACTATGCCAAAAGTTGAGTTCAAAAGGTGTATATTCACTTTCTGCAAGAGAAGTTGTTTGACTCCATGTTTCTTATTCTCCAGGTCTATGCAAAAGAGTTTTGAGCCAAATAATTATTACTTTTTTTTTTACTGGGGATGCTCTGCAAGTGTCGCTTGTGATTTTATCCAGGCTGATCAATATGCCATTTGCTTTTAACTACTGCTTTTTTCCGGAGAACAAGATGCTGGAAGAGGCAGGTGAGTAAGGTCAAAAAGAATTTAGATAAACAGAGGTAGAAAACTACAGAAAAACACAGCAACCAACAGTCCTTCACCAAATGTAAATCCTCCCCCACCTCAAGTTCCAGGCTACAGCAGGTCTTTGTGTAATAATTCTGTTTACATTTTTGTCTCTCAAAGAGAACTTGTGTGCAGTTCTGTTTGGGTTTAGCTACAGAATCTCATGCAACAGAAGACTTACTGTATGCAAAAGAGGTGATCCTATTGGGGCATTTTCTCACAGCCATAAATAAATAAATAAATAAATAAATAAATAAAAATAATTTATTTGTATCCCGGCCTCCCCGGCCAAGGCCGGGCTCAGAACGGCTAACATCATAAAAACAACACAATATGCATAAAAACA